CTACTATATGCGGCTTGGCTTGGCTCACGAGCATCGGCGGGGACCGCACAGCCGCGCTTGCTCGACTGAACAGTGGCCCGTACTTCCGGAGGAACACAGCATTTTTTTTTTCAACCCCAGGTGGCCGCTGAGGAGACCGCATTCCGGGCCTTGTTCCAACCTCGGGCGAGCGGGTCGAAGCTTGAATGGATGCGTTGGAGCGGCGGCAAGAGCTTATTTTCCGGTGACACAGCGGTGGCAATCTGCTGAGTGCATCTTGCGAGACCGTGCCTCACACCCCAGAGCCCCTTTGTTCCAAAAGTATCCGATAGGGTGGTGGGCACAGCTGAAGCGGACGACATGGAGGGCTGCGACGGACACTGCACCATGGCCTGCGGGACCCAGGGGGATCGGCTACCACTGAGTGAAGACAGCCCTACATGTGGGGCCCTCGGCGGCGATTAGGTTCGAAGGAGGGTCTCAGCTTCCGTTGCAGTCGCGCTTACTGCTTGCTCTCAATATACATGACAGGGTGCCTTCCTGGCTGGACGCTGAAGGAGCGCCGCAGTACGGAAGAACGGAGGAGCAGTCACGAACAGTGTCGCTAAGCAGCATACAAGGACCGGTATCGACGCTACGGATCCTCCCCCCTCCATGCGGCCGACACGCTCGCCGCCCGCAGGAGACGTGGCTGTGGTTAGCAACCCCCGTAGCAGAAGGCAGCGCACGCAGGCCCGGGCTCCGAGGGCCCCGCGGCATCGCGCTCCGCACAGGATGGGGGTGGCATGCCCCCTTTTGGGCAAAGGCTGAATCTCTATCGCTGAACGTGCTTGCGCCCACAAGCTCAACGCCGGGCACCTCGCCGCGGATGCTTCGCCGATGGGATCGTCCAGCCCAGCGAGGAGCCGATCAGGTCATTTTGGCCGTGCCCGGCCCCCCCTGGGGCTTCCACACTCGCAGGGTCAAGGACATCAGGGTCCAGGCCGACCGGCGTTCCTGGAAGACAAACGAAATCAGTAAACGGCAACACCGGCTGGCTTTCGTTTGAGCTCCTCTCGATCCAGCGACGCGGGGCGAATGACGGTTGATCCTTTGGAGGGATATGGCACGTCGCGAGGGTTCGTTCACTATAGTCTCAAGTACTGAGCTCGACACGAAATGCCGGATGGGCAGTATCGGAGGTCTATATGTCGTGGAGGCCGCTGCCAGGTGCCAATCGTGCCATCAACAACTTCGCGTGGCGATCTCGTAACTATCACGTGTTCGTGCTTCAAAGGCGTGGTCACGGGACACGTCGTCGATGTCAAGGTCTGTCCAACTGTACTGTCAATGCTTGAGACGCTGGCTGACCACATACAGCGAGATCTACCCCACCGGCAGCTTGTAAAAGCGACTGTCCAAGCCCCCGTGTCACCGATGCACACTGTTCTGACACTGGATCATGTCTATACTATCACCCGTCGCGTTTGGACCATGGTTGGGTTTTCAGAGTGAGCTTGTCCTGCTTGCATTCGTGCGGAGCTCACTAGCACGTCGTGTCACTCGGCTTTCACACCTCAATATACATATCGACGTGCATACCAAGTTCTAACAACTCAAGCGCCACGGCATGTGCTCGACATGATGTCGTAACTGATGCGTTTCAGCGACACCTCTCAGTCGCGTCTCAAGAGGAACATATCTTCCCACCTCGAGCTCTGTCGCGCATCGAACCATCCGTGGGTCTACCTATGCCGGCCCGAGTCGACGCATCCAACTCCGAACTCTGTTGGCCATCTCACGCTCTGCCCAGATGTTGAGCGGCTTCCCGCCCGCCTCCCGTACATTCCTTGTAAGTTTCCACACATAATGCGGTATTGTCTGCGTGTCTTCGCAGGCTCTATCCGTCCATGGGACGCCGACATCAGCAAGAAGTTGCTGGGTCGTTGTGAGACGTGCCAGAAGAAACGCTTTTCGGGTTTATGGCGGCGCTGCCTCGCGTTTCAGCAAGGCATGGCTCCAAAGGTGGCAGGATGGATTGGAAAAAGAACCATAGTGCGTATGATCAACGGTGCTTTATATGCGGCGGCGCGTCGAGACGTCTGCCAGGTGGCGACGATGAACAGCAGGGAATCCGTCAGACTGGTCGAGACGTCGCTGATGCATCCGTGATAATCATGACGCAGTGTGCAGGCCGCACGACGTGCTCTGATGCTCTCGTGAGTGTCGGTGAGCAGCGGGACTTTCGCACTGGGCTATCAGGGCCGTCGTGATATCAGTCGTTCGCCGGTCAGTCACAGATGACGTTCCTCAGACGGTGACGCCGCTGTGAAAAGCACGCAGATCACACAACCTCGTCCGCACATCTCCCCGCATGCAGATCATTCCGTGCTTGCGTGGAAGCCCGCAGATTGGCGGCACAAATGGACTCGATAGCTATCTCGGGCGCTGATGGGAAGCACGTTCCGCAAGTATATAGAGAGGTGCAAGCGGAAGCGCGCAAACCCAGCCGCGATGATCACATGCGGGCAGGACTCCTCGACATCGACGACCTCCGGAGCCTGCGGCGCACTCTTGGGCAGATGTCAGATGGACGAGATGCGTGCGGTGGCGACGCACCGGTGCAGAGATGCAGAGAGGAGAGAGTGGCGATGGGAGCAGCAGCGCGAAGGCGCGCGGGAAGTGTTGTGCCGACTGGAGATGGGCTGGTGGCAATAGACACCGCGATCTCGATACAGCAGGGAATTGGCATTAATCTCCCGCCTCGAAGAAGGCCGATCCCGTTGTGCGATTGGCTGGGGGAGGTGCGTGAGCGAGACTGCCACGGCGGAATCTGATCTTCGGAGGCCTTCCCACAGCCTCGGCTATGGTGGGCCAATGTCGTCGTACAGCTCTATCTGCACTAGTACATAGTGCTCTGCCTTTCTTCCATTTCCCGCTAGTCTGTGCGCCACTGCGCCTATACGCGTGCTGCTGGGACTCGGAGGCACGTCCACAATAAGCGTCTGGGCTTTCCGATATGCGGAGGGAGAATGGAGGGCGGGCGGGAGGCGGGGGGGTGCGCACGTGGAGGCAGGAATGGTTGTCGCGCGCTTGGGAGGTTAGCGGCGGTTGTTGGAGTGTTGTGATCTTGGGCATATGTCCTCTCTCGTCTCCTGGTACAATCTACTCTAGACTAATTCGACCCCCGTAATCTGTCCTCTTCCTCCCCCCGTCGTCGGGCTTGACGCTCCTTCATCCTGCTCCTCTCCCAGCTTTCATCGTCTGCTCTGGCTGCCCTAGCCGTCACACTCGTTTCATGGCACAACTAGTCGCTCCCGCCCCAGGCTCAGAGCGCATCTCCCAGATCCTCCCGACAGTCAAGTGTTCGAGCTGCAACGCCCCGGTCCCCATATCAGAGCTCGGCGACCATGTCTGCGCCGCCGTCCCTCCCGTGCCTCAGCTTCCGGCCTTGAAGCCGCCCCAGTCACCCCGCTCCGTGGCAGCACTCCTTCCAACGAAGCTCCAGAATCTCGTCAACGTACAGAGCCCACCGCGCACATCCTCTCTGTCCCCTGGTCCTGCACGCCAGAATAGTCCTGCCCCGCGCGGGAAGAGCCCGGGACCGCCGCCACAAATGACGGGGCGTGCCCGTGCCCCGTCATCAGCCTCGTCCTTGAGCGTGCGGAGCGGGGACAGCAGGCCAGAACGCGTCCCAAGTCCGCTCGCGAGGTCCGAGGGGCGACCCAGCACGGAGAAGGTACCGTTCCCCTCCAATCCTGGTCCGTCGGAGCCTCGTATGGTCCCCAGCCCGCGTGCAGCTCCTTCGATATCTGCTCTCCCCCCGGATCCGTTCGCGGCGAGCCCCGTCGCGGTCGCACACAACGTCCCCGCCCCCCGAGCGACGTCCTTCCGTGCCCGTGCGCCGTCAAACGCGAGCGTGCGGCCGACCGGGATGCTGGACGGTGCCCGCCAGCCGGCCCTCTCCAACCCTCCGCGCATTTCGATGGATCCCCGGGGCGGTCCCATGGCCGGCGCGGTGCCCCCTCCGGACGTGCGGCAGCGGGCTGGCACGAACGTCGGGATGCGGCCTCCGCCCAGCCAGACCCCGGACATCATTTACTCGACGGACATGCGCTCACGGACGCCTGCGAATGATCCGGCGAGGATCCGCGCCCCGTCTGCTGCGAGCATGCGTCCTTCCATGGAACGGGCACGACCCTCGATGGATCAAATGCGGCCGTCGATGGACCAGATGCGGAGGCCTTCAGCGGACTCGCAGCGCCCGCCGTTTGTGGGTGCGGGACCCCCGCCGCCCGCTCAGACACCGCCGCTGATGGCGCCGCCGCGTTCTGTTGGTACGCCCGCTCCGGGGGAGCCTGATACGAAGAGCGGTGGTGAGGCGGGGATGGCGGGCGTTGGTCGGCGTGGGTTTGCAGCGGCTGCTCGGGCTGCGATGTTTACGACGCACATGGGCCCTGCGCCGGTGGTGGACGCGAACGGGATGGTCGGGCCTTCGATGCAGCCGAACCAGGGCATGGACGGGAGGCGGGCGAACGCGCCTCGTTTCCTGGATATCGCGTCCGCGACCCGATATGGTATGTTCCCGCCATGTCGCCGCATCTGTTGCCAGGATACTGACAGGCATGCAAGCAGCAGCGAACACGCCACCGCTGTCGCCCGGATCGGGGACCGCGTCGATGTCGCCCCACTCGCCGTATTCGCAGAAGTCGCCGACCCTCGCCGGGCCGCCGGGCGAGCCGCTCTCGCCGGGGTCTCGCATGTCGCCCAACGTCACTCCTACCACCCCGGCCGCGGGAATCGCTGCATCGCCCACGAGCCCAATCTCCGTCTCCAGCCTGCGGGACCGAGTGCTGTCTCCCCCAGAGGTGCCCGCTAAGGAGGCGCCCGCGACCCCTCGCTTGCCGTTCTTCGACAAGTTCAAGAACAGCTTGCCAGCCGTGGATACCAACAAGAGCGCGGCCGACATGGACCCTTCCCCGTCGTCACCAACAGGCTCAGACGACAGTTACGGTGGGCTTGCCTACGCTAATTCGGACGACGAGGACGAGCCTATGAATATCCCGCTGCGAGCGAGTCCACAACCCATTCCCCCCTCCAAGCCTGCAGAATCCACGTCAGCGCCCCCTGCGAGCGGCCTAAAGGTCCGGTTCCCGTCTATGACAGAGTCCAGGTACTCGTCTTCTTCGTCTTCCTCCTCTGCCACCCGGTCCCCCATGCAACAGCGTACCCTCTCATCATCCACGGGCGCTTCCTCCTATACCCAGCGGACGGTCTCCAAGTCCACAGGAGCCCTGGACCGCGCCATGGAGACCCTCTTCGAGGAGAGCCCCGTATCCCCCACGTCCTCGAGCTCCTCCCGCATCTTTGCGGACAGCCCGCGAGATAGCGTGTCCAAGTCGGGCAAGTTCCCGACGCGCTCGCATACGAGCCCCACGCTACCCTCGAACAGACTCACGCTAGACAAGGCGGACGGGAAGGCGCGGAGCGCGTCGACGGCGAAGCGGCCGCGGACGAGGAGGTGCGTGCGGTGCGAGAAGGCGATCGAGGACGGGAGGTGGATCCAGATGGAGGGCGGGAACGTGCTTTGCGATAAGTGCTGGAAGAATATGTATCTGCCGAAGGTGCGTCTCCTTTGTGCTCGTTTCCTCGTCGTTGCGGGGCTCGGGCACGTTGGTCCTCGGGCGCGTCTGGGAGGATCGAGACATGCCGCGGCGCGATACGACGAGATGCTGACGTCCGGTTTCTGTCGTCTACAGTGCAGACGTTGTAATAAAGTTATCGAAAAGCAGGCTGTGTCGTCGTCAGACGGCCAGCTTAAGGGGAAGTGGCATCGTGAATGCTTCAGCTGCTTCACCTGCCAGGTATGTCCTGCCAATGCCATAGCGCTCCGGTCTCCCCTAACCAGTCTTTCCTTCTCCCCTCAGAAACCGTTCCCGGATAGAAGCTTCTACGTATACGACGGGAAGCCGTATTGCGCATACCACTACCACGAAGAGAACAACTCGCTCTGCGCCGCCGCCCGCTGCGGCCAGCCGATCGAGGGCCCCTGCGCCGTCTCGCACGCGGGGGACCGGTACCACCCCGAACACTTCCTCTGCGAGTACCGCGGCTGCAAGGAGCGCCTGGTCGAGTACTACGAGCTGGAGGGCCGCATGCTCTGCGAGAGGCACGTCCAGAAGGCGATCCGCGAGCGCGAAGACGGCAGCGATGACGAGTACGGGGACGTCTTTGGCGGCGCGGGCAACAGGAACACGATGGCGATGAAGCGCGTGACGCGGTTCATCGATCTCGACGCGCTGGGGAAGACGCTGTCATGAATGTCGGGCGCGAGACAGGCAGGAGGAAGTCGGGGCCGCTGTTGCTGTGGTGGACTGGATCGACGGCCGGCCGGACGGAGGTGGTTATCTTTATGTGCATGCATTGCGAACTTCGGGCTCTAGTTGTACATCTCTCTCTATCTCTCCATCTCTCTCTCTCCGACCTCCACCCGCATTGCTATCCCTTTTTGATACCTTCTCCGGCACGCACATCGCAGAACGGGTGGACATCATCGGACCTGAATTGTATTTTGACTCCCGAGTCCTTACTACGTACTCTCTTCGGTAGCTTGCGTCCATCTTCCTCGACCAGCCCCTATATCCCCACCTGAATATATCCCCATCTGACCCCCCAAAGTCTCGCTGTTCGTCACGTATCTAATACCTATTCTGCATCTAGGACATACCAGCCTCTCTTAACGCATCCCCTGATTTCCTTTCTTCTTGCTCGGCTATCTCATCAACGGGTTCTCTTCTCGCCGTTCGTTGTATGTAACAGACTTTCCTTCCCCTCTCAGATCCTCATGCTGCCTCTGTAGCGTATATACCACACACTACAGTCGCGCCCAGCTAATGCAACGAAATTGGAGCAGCCATCCGTCCGTCGAGAGCGTACGTGTGCATCTGTCGATTGCTTCCGTATAATACAGCATGTTGTACACTACCGCGCATCCTACCTCTACACGTACTTCGTTTTGTAGTCATGAAGCGTCGCTGGTGTGCTGCTGCTTCTTCACTATCCACTCGCGAATGTAGGTGCTGCTCATCTTCGCCGCCCTGAGCACTGCCGCGTCCCCCGAGTCCACAATCGCCTCTGTCGCGGAGATGACGTCGATAACGAAGGGACGGAGAGGCTGGAGAGACATCTCCTCGCGCTTCTTCGCAACTGGGCACGGCCGTCAGTAGACCGTGGCTGCTTGGGCGAAGGGAGACTTACTGGACTCCGCGCCGGAGAGCGTCTCCTTGCTGACGACGAGGGCCTGCACGTTCGGGTCGTGCGCGGTGGGTCCGTACACGTCGTTCAGCGGGGTGATGAAGTACTCGAGCCCGGGCTTGAAGTGCTCGAGGAACGCTCTTGTCCTCTCCGTCCGGACGGGCAAGGGCTCCAGGACCTCCTTCCACTGCTTCTTGCCCAGCAACGAGTCGTCTGGACGGGGATGTCATGCGTCATGCGCCATCTCGTCTCCTTCACCCTCTGGGAGAACCAAAGCGGACATACCTGTGATCCCGACGATGAGCTTCTCCTTCGCGATCCACGCCCCCATGCTCAGCAGGATCTTGTGGCCCGCATGCAAGTGGTCGAACGTCCCCCCGAGCGCGACGACAGGGTACAGCGGCGGCAGCGACGGGTCCGGCGGACTCGATGGAGCAGGCGCAGACAGGCCCGAGGGGAGGTCGTCCGGCTCTACGACGATGATCTCCGACTTGCGGTCCGCCGCCGACGCAGGGAGGGGAGGGAAGGGGATGCCGTTCGGGGCGACTGCGCGGCAGATCCCCGTCTCAGCGCGACGATCCCCACACGGGTGTGCACCCGTACGCTGGAACGAGAGACACACACCTGAGAATATGCGCTCCGCGCTGCGTACGGCCTCGTCCGGGAACGCGTCTGCGGGGCCCTTCAGGTAGACGTCGACGTCCAGCAGTACCCTGTCCAGGTCCTGCGCGATCTTGGTCGCCTGGACGTAGACGAACGTCAGCAGCCGCTGCACGTCCTCGAAGTGCGCTGTGCGCGAGATGCCCGGGGCGTGCCAGTCGTCGTGTGCTTCAAGTCTCGCGGGAGCGGGAGCCGAGTCCGACTCCGTCGTTGCAGGGGGGGCGTCCGGGGGAGGGTTGAACAGCGGGGATAGGACGATGACTTGGAGGGCCTCGGTCGTCGTGGTCGCCGCGGTCACGACTGCAGTTGCGAGGAAGTGGGGAGACTCGTGCAGGTCGTGGACTGTAGTGAGCACGACTGTGCGCTTGACCTCCTCGAGGGTGAACGCTATGGCGGGCATAATAGATGGACGGGCGACGCCTTCAGTCGGCAGACTTCCGAGTTTCCAGAGGTGAGGTCAGAGGACAGTACTAGTGCTGCATTCACAGCAGATCGCAGGACACGGGTGTCCAACAGCCTTGGACGAATTGCGCCATGGTGATGATGGCATTGTCTCTCGATGGAAGTGGGCCGGCATCCGGAGATGAACCAACGTGGTGATGGCAGTTTCTCTAGGCACGTCATGCCATATGTCCAATGTGAACCATTTATGCGATATTCAGAAGAGATGGTACACAGGAATTAGTATACTCTGAGCTACCAGATAGCAATAAGTCAGTGTCATGAGCGTGTCGTAAAGAGCGTCCAGGATGTTGCGGAGTATATGGAATGCGGCCAAGCTACCAACCGAGAGCACAATAGAGAATGATACATCAGTCTCCTCCTGCCATGCGAGTGAAGAGACAACGACTGTCCAACCAGACCAACAACAGCGAACCATATGATCAGCGATATCCAAGACTATGTCCGTGTGCGGGGAGATGCCCGACTAGCATGGAGATCCTTCACGTCGAAGAATATGCTGATGCCGAAAAGGAGACACATCAAGCACGCGGCAGCTGTCCCGATGTTGTATGCATCGCACCTGAGAGGCATCTCAGCTATATAGACGCGCGGAAGGGACAAGCAGGACTCACCATCCGAGATAGCCACCCACTGGACATCGCTTCCCCAGCAGAATCAACACAAACTCCATCCCCCACACGAGCATCAGAAGAGCATCGATGGTAACGCCCCACTTGAGTGTCTTTCTCGCCCTCTTCCACTGCTCCTCCATCGCCAGTCCCGCAAAGATGCCTCTTCTCCTGGGCTGGCCCCTTCTCCGCGCTGCACTCGACGCGCCAGAGTACGAGCCAGGGACCGCTGAAGAGCCGTCCTCCTCCTCGTCTTCCTCGTCGTCTTGTGCGCGTTCTGGGTCGCGTCCAAACATCGTCGGGTCGACGATCAAGTTGACTTGGACGTTGCTCTCTGGGGACCCCTTGCCCTTCTTCCCCTTCTTCTTCGGCCTCTGTCCGGGAAAGCCCCCGACAGGGAGTACCATCATCCCGCCAGGACCGCCAGTGAAGGGTGAATCCTTCGGTTTGCGGGCGCCACAGCAACATGGGTAGATGAGGAAGAAGAAAGAGCAACCGATGAATGTCAGGAAAGACATGATGTAGAGGACGTATGCCGGGAGCTTCCCTGCTGGCGGAGCGGCAGGGTTAGGTTTGATGATCTACAGGTAAGCGGGCATCCCGACGTTAGTCGGGGGCAAAACATCATTTGTGTATAAACATACCAGGCCGGAGTAGATGGAGGTTATTGCAGCAGTCAGCGCGAGAAAGACCTGCAGACAGCGCACCGCTAGCCTCTTCTTCGGACCTTCAGTAATCAGCCTCCCCTGCGGATCAACGCTCCCGACTGTCCGCTCTGGCGGAGCATCCTTCGCTGTGTTCTTCCCAAACTCCCGCTCTAACATGCGCATGCGCTCCTCCTTGATCTCGGGGTCGACGGCGCGCTCATCAGGGTCCGCGCTCCATGGTACTAGGTTGTGGTCTCGTGAGGAACGCGAGTGCGGGCCAAACGAGGAGCCGTAAGGGTAGGAGGGCGGGGGAGATGGATTGTACGGGTCCGAGAACGGATCTCTGTCGAGGGTGTAACTTGGGTCGAATGGGTTCCGCTTCGTGCGATCGTCCCCGCCGTGGCCGTGGCCCTGTGAGGAACCAGGAGGAGAGAAGGGGCTGGCATTGTCGGGGGCGTACCATCCCCGAGTGAAGGACGGGAAGTGCGCGATGTCGATCTCTGAGCTTGGGCTAGCTATCTGTGGCTCGTGTCTTGTCCGCTGAGATGGATGACTGCCATGAGAATGTCCTGGGTACGAGGAAGGCGGTGGCAACGAGAACGGCCGTCGCAGGGGTGAACGGTAAGACTGGGAGCTGGAAGCGGAGGCAGCGGAGGTAAGGGATGGTGGGCTGAGGGAATCATTCCTCGCTAATGGCCGGTTCGATCGAGGGGACGGAGGATAAGGATCGTACGGATTGTATGGTGGTTGTTGCGAGAAGTGGTGATTGGCGTTGTTGCGGTTAAGTGTTCTTGCATAGTCGGCGAGGTCGAGTGCCTCCACAGACACATCAGACGGTTCACGACGCCGTTCAACTGCCCATTGCCCTACGGACTGATACGGGTTCTCGTCGTGTCTATTCAGGTTTGAGGACGCCGGCAATGGGTCGTACGGATCAGGCGACCATGGGCGGCGGAAACGGGAAGGCGGGGGAGGAGACTCGAGCCAGTGGTCAGGGTATTGATTCATGAGTGGTCGTGAAGTCGTGATTAGTCGTGGCGTTCGTCACTGCGTGTAGCAAGTAGGCTTAGCAATGGTGCTGGCTGTGGTCACTGTCGATGCTGAGGACGTCGGCGTCGAGGGAGCGAGCATCGACCGGTGAGAGAGGAGGGAGATGAGACCAAGGGCGACTGCACCCGCCGAGAGGGCCGCAGCCACCCCACGTTCGTGATTTCTGCTTACGGTTCTGGGCGATAAGTCCTCAGGATATGTCCCGATATGGGACTTGACCGGGTGTTAGCACCGCCCGGAAGTCCCGAAAAGTCTTTGTGCGGGCCTGTCCTCCGCCACAACAGTCAGAACGACTTACTGGCGGTCGTCATAAACTTGACGCCTCCATGTCTCTGTCTGTTGCGCGATGCGCATCCTAGCCTCTCTGCTGCCGCTATTACTCTCCGCAATCTCTCACACCGCATCTACTAATGCTAGAGAAGGGACTACAGCACGCACACCTATCTCATTTGAACTGCATACCGAATATACACCTCGTTTGGAGGATGGCGACGTCCGCGAACTCAGCGAAGTTGCTTTCGAGATCTCCACTGGAAGCAGTCAACGCCCTTCGAGTACGGTGATATTATTGCAGGCCACGCCGACTACTGTTCATCGTCCTAGGAACGCCGCTGCGTTTCAGCATGCCCGCGTCCGGTCGTCACGATTCCAAGAGAGCGAACCGGTCGAGTGGGAAGAGGTCCAAGTCCTCGCTCCAGACGTAGAGGACAAGCACACCCTCTCACAGCTTGCTCGTATGACAGGCAACGCATACGCGCTCCCGGGACGACCGAATTGGTACGATATCGATCCCGCATGGAACACGGTACGTACGTTCTCCCGTCCGGCCCTTCTCCACCCCGGTGTCGAAAGCCATAGAGCGAAGACTGATATGACTTATGTCGTGGGTGCAGAGCTTTCCCTTTGGCTGGGAAGATAAGGCGGACGGCTTCCGCGGCCACGTCTTCCTTTCCCCAGACAATGCCACGGTCGTGCTTTCGATCAAAGGCACGACCCTCCAAGGCCCCTCTTCGAAGAAGGACAAGTTCAATGACAACCTGCTCTTCTCATGCTGCTGCGCGCGCGTGGACATCACCTGGATATTCCACCAAGTGTGCGACTGCTATGCTAAGCACTGGCGATGTGACAATACTTGCCTAACCGATGCGCTCGTCCAAGACAGCTTGTTCTACAATATCGGCGTGGTGCGTTAAGAGGATCTGATCGAAGAGCTATTGCGCTCATGTCCAATAATAGGGTCTCGTCAATAACTTGACCGCACTGTACCCTAATGCAGATATATGGCTTGTGGGACATTCGCTCGGCGGGTCACTTGCGTCCCTACTGGGGGCAACCTTCGGCCTCCCAGCCGTAGCGTTCGAGGCACCTGGCGAGCGTCTCGCAGCTCAACGTCTCCACCTACCATTCCCCCCTCCAACGAAGAACAGTACATCCCCGTCACCACCAGCCTACGGGCGCGCCCCCGTCACCCACGTCTACCACAACGCCGACCCCATCCCGCAAGGCGTGTGCACGGGTGCGGGTTCGCCTTGCGCTCAGGCAGGATATGCCCTCGAGACGAGGTGTCACCTGGGCAGATCGATCGTGTATGACACAGTGGGTAAGCTCGGCTGGCGGGTCGATATTCGGAAGCATGTGATCAAGGAGGTCATCACGCATGTCATTGAGGCGGAGCCTGAGGGGGGTTGGGATGACGATAACGAGGTTCCTGTCGCGAAGGCGGAAGACGAGTGTTTAGTGAGTCTGATCGCTGGCTGCTGTTGATGGCCCGGGCTAACCTATACAATTGTAGGATTGCTTCAAGTGGGAATTCGGAGAGTTCAAAGATAGGGATGGTGACGATGACTGAACGCCCAGCAACATTCTGTATATTACCACGGATTGTACGGTAGCGCAAGATGTAAAGTATATCATGGCATGTACATATACTCAGTGATTCCACTACGTATGCGTGAGCTGATGTCCAGAGGTCATCTTGACGATTCACAGGCGTGCCAGGCAGACTTCTGTGGCATATCGCGCTGAGGCGTTATGTGGGGCACAAGTGCTCCTTACATTTGGACGCAGTAGGCGGTAAGTCCAGTTCCCAATCGTGCCATCATTGATGAGTCACATACCGTTCCTTGACCCAGCATGCACATCGCCATTTCCAATCTGGTGCTTTGAACTGTGCTACGAAGTCTATCGGAAGGAACGAAAGTGCAGGCGTGCTGCGAGACCAATACCTCGGAGCCAAACACAGCCCGCTCACAGCCTGAAATGGATGGCCACCAGCACAGCATCTCACAGCACCGTGCCGCAGCCACTCAGGTATGTGTACATTTCCTATAAAGCGTCACTGACCCTCCGCTTACTCTTCGATATTCACCCTCCATGCGACTCATTGACACAAAGACCGGGCTGTTCCATTGGGTAGACCGCCCAACGGAGATACCCTATGCCATTCTCTCTCATGTCTGGGACGGCGATCGGGAGCTGTCGTATCAAGCTCTGTCGAGGGCCCAGGCGACTTCGCACCAAAGTACCGACCCCGACTACAACATCTTTACCCACATTCCCCAGAAGGTCAGAGACTTCTGCGCCTTCGCTCGCGAGCAGGGATATGACTACGGCTGGGTGGATACCTGCTGCATCGACAAGACCAGCAGCGCAGAGCTCTCCGAAGCGATCAACTCGATGTATGCGTGGTATCAGCAGGCATCCGTCTGCTACGCCTACCTCGTTGATGTGACCTGTGTCGGGACTCCTCACACCTCCTTCGAGGTTCACGAGCAGTTCTGCAATAGCATCTGGCACAGGCGCGGATGGACGCTCCAGGAGCTCATCGCCCCTCGCACCGTCATCTTTCTTTCGAAGGATTGGCGAGTTCTCGGCACCAAGGACACCCTCGCCCAGATCATCAGCACTGTCACTGGTATCGACCTCGAAGTCCTCAACCATCGAGCACCGCTCACTGGTGTAAGCGTTGCGCGCAGGATGTCGTGGGCGGCTCGTCGGGTTACCACTCGTCTCGAGGACCGCGCATACTCTCTTTTGGGTATCTTCGGTATCCACATGCCGACCATCTACGGGGAGGGCAACTACGCGTTCGTCAGGTTGCAGGAGGAAATCCTCAAGCAGCTCCCAGATCAGACCCTCTTCGTGTGGGGCCCGAGAGTCTCTCACGTCAACTGGTCGCGAGCCTCCATCTCATCTACCTCCCCCGAATCCGAAGGACATCTGTTCGCGTCATCTCCCGAAGCCTTCGATAATCCCAACCGCAGGAACATGGATGTGACCACGATCTCTCATGCGAAACTCGCAGGCCTCCTCGGCCTCAACAACCTCCCTCTTCCGCGGTACGCTATTACCGGCTATGGCACGCGCGCGAGGCTGCCTACGCTCCCCGTCGGCACTCTACCTCATCGCGAGCATCATCTTCTACTGGCACCCCTGTGTTGTCTAGACAGCAAGAACAGGGTATTGGCTCTTGTTTTGCGCCGTGAGGACCCGCGCTCGCAGCAGTACGTCGTCGGTGCCCAAGTCATCCCTGGCCTTTCCCACAAAACATCTTGCTTCGTGCGTTTCGCGGTGCTTGGTCGGGCTCAGCTCGAGGCGCTCCGAGAGGACGTCTGCATCCAAGACGTCTACATATCCCACCGACTCCCACAGGATCGTCCAGCGTTGTTGCTGGGGGAATCCTCACCTGTTGCCACGGTTGCGTGCAGATGGCCGTACGAGCCTCGCAGCGTTATGGCCGACATTGAGTTGGCTCCTTGGTCTCTCATGATGCTCACTGGGCTCGGCTACAAGGTCGATATCTCGAAGCCCAGGGAGCCGCAACCGGCCTCCGAGCACAGACAAGAGGGGTCGCCGTCGGTCGCCGCAGGGACCGAATTGCTTGGCATCAGTCTGGCAAGCAAGACCATCCAGTTCCGCATCTCCATCATCCCCTGCTGCTTCACCACTTCTTCACGTCAAACAGCGTATATTGTCCGACGTAAGCATTTACGGGCAGAAGTGTCTTACGTCTGGCCCGACTTCTCCCCCCCTGCCGACAAGCTCACAACCCTCGACACATCGCACCAGCCTCTATCTCAGGACAAACCATCCCAATGCCGGCTCCCCGTTTCGTGCCATGTCAAGAACTGGAATCGTATCGCAGAGACCTCGGCCGTCCAGGCAACCTTCTCATTCCCGACACATAGGGACGAGGTGGCCTCCCAGGCGAACCCTATCTGGGGCCGAGTTCGGCTCACGCTGCGTCCTAAGCCTGGCCAGCGGACCGTAACTCGCCGACGGTCAGAGGAGGACCTTCCCCCCTTTGGCATGATTCTGGACGTCGAGCTGATGGAAGAACGGCCAGAGCGGATGTGGGGTCGGACTGCCATCCGCCCGAGGGAAGACTGGTCAAGTTCAGAGCCGGAATCGGAGGGCGAGGATGATCACCGCCAACCATCAAGCTCCGAGGATTCGGACGAGGATGAACATTCGACGTTGTTGGGTGCTGAGCGTGTGGGCAGGCGACGGGCGGGATGCTGATGACGTCCTCAGATGGGAGCAGGAGGGCCTGATAGATACCGATTACCCTCGTGTCAAAGTTCTAAGTAGACTTGACTTGCGGAATGTTTATGAAGAAGCTTGAGTCTTGGCGCGTATTTCAAGTTTGAATGATCCTGGGACTGAGCACTACCCCGCCCTACACCTTCGAGTTTAGTCGAGTGAGCACATCATTGAATCACACGTAAATAACCTCCCAAGCCAGCCCTCCTTGAGCTGGCGTTGGCTCAGAGCGTGAAGATGCTGTCAGATTTTCAGGCTGATATATGCACGTCAAGGTTCGTGGGCATGTCTGATTGCATGATGCTACTGCATGTCCTGGACGGTATGCCATATCTCGATCACTCCTTTGCCATCCTTCCCGAACCCGGCTACAGCTACCCGGGACTGGCTGCCGGCGATGGCGTTCACCTTCTCCAAGCTTTGCGTGGATGCGCTCCACCTCTGCTCCGCTCGTAGTTTCCCATCTGCGCCCCGGGACAGAGTGTACTCGGCGAGTGATCCTAGAAGTGAGCACGTAAGGAAGCGGTCGTCGTGCGTGAATGCACTAGGCCAATCATGTCAATGTACAATAGTGGCTCAAGTCATCTTGATTTGACTCACGCTCCAACGATGGGACCATCGGCTACTTGCAACCAGAGGCCATCGTCTTCCTTGAGACCTTCCCATCTTCGTGGTCTTTTCTTCTTGCGGTCGGAGCGCTTTTCTCCACCTCCACCCACCCATGCTCGGCCATCCGCCGTACTGACAACAAACAGACCAGATGGGCCGACGGACAAGGAGAGCACGAATGGCGGCGAAAGCGAGATTCCCCCGGAGGGCGGTGGTGCGGCTGAAACACACCATTGGAACGGTGCTGGCAAGTAGACGAGAACGACGAACATGCACTTACTGATATCACGTTGTGATAATATGCTACCTTGCCCTATGTCGAAGTGCAAGATAGCGGAATCAAACCCGCCACTAACAATCTCGCTAGGGCGATCTGGTATGAATTTCACGGAACCACAAACCTATAATTCTTCCGTTGATTCTAGGCATATTGTCGGAAACTTGCTTGTTTGTACCCACCGTAGTGTGGCGGCTCTTCATGCGCGTCACTAATCTAGATGAAAGGTCCATGATCCCGACGGCACCAGAATCTGAGCTGAATGCAAGGTATTTTCCGTTTTCACTGATGCTGAGCTGGCTACCCGGCGGGGCATCAGCATCCTCCGAATGTCTGGATAGCTCAACCATACCTCGTTGAGAATGTCGTCGTCATCTTCGCCAATGTCAACCACAACGACTGCATCTTGTATTGTGCTGATCATTTTCGACGTGTCTGAAGGAAAAGATAGTACCTAGATGGCTGTCAGTGAAACTGATATCGGACCCTCAGCCACGCTTACTCGGCGACCGCTTGCAACCCAGATGCTGCCTTGTTCTGACTTCTTAGGGGGTTGATATGCTATCGACGCTATCTCTTCTCCAAGCGCTTTGATCGCCTTGACGACTTTGGTCGAGGGAAGTGTGTACCATCTCAGAGAGCCGTCCTCTAGATGCCAACACTCAGTATGGTCCAGCGACTGCGTGCTACAACCTACCCGAACCAGCGATCACGGTATCGTCTGCTCCGAACGATACCGCAGACACCCCGGATGGGACTGCGACAGTTTCCCGGAGTTGCCAGGACATGATGATTGTACTTTGTGAGATAAGGCCACTGGTGGATCGAGGTTGAGGCGCTCGGATGCGATCATCGCAATCTGGTCAGGGCCGCTCCAATACCGGCGTCTGTATGCGTCTGTGGTTCAGCCCGCAGCTCAAGCTTCAGGACGTCCATCAACTCGATTAGTTGCTCATTCGACATACGCCAGACAGAGCTCCACATATTCAGCTACTACAGATATTCAGCGGCGCTCGCCATGTCCGGGAACAAAGTCGTCGGCGTGACGCCGACATCGAGTGCTCCGAACTCGATATCTGACCTGGAAGCTTTGCTCAAGGACGACATCAAAGTGAAGGTTGCGGGTGAGTAGAGAACCTGCATGCAACCTGTAATCTGCTCATTATATTTAGGCATTGATGGTATGTTGCTTAATCTCCCTGGATCTACTAGGACCGCGATTGAAATAGGTCGGCTCCTAGTCGATGGTGTCCTGAGAGGAAAGTACATGGTAGGTTACATATAGCGTTCAATCATGATTCAATAAGCTGACACATTCCTCTAGTCTAAGGAGAAGTTTCTCAGCGCCGCGAGTTCCGAAGGGTTCAACTTCTGCAGCGTCATTTTGTCAGTGTGCTTGCATACTGCGTCATTGATAGCGTGCTCATGAAGTCCTTCGAACTGTAGCGGATGGGACATGCACGACACCGTATATCCCAAGGAGCTGTTGATCTCCAATAGAGCGAATGGTTACCGTGACCTTATCGCGTCCATAGATCTCGCGACATATCGGCGGATACCCTGGGAGGGCAACGTGCCATTCTTCCTCGTCTCGTTCTTGGACCCGGACACAAGGGAGCCCATCTGCGCAGATCCCCGCGGCGTGCTACGACAAATTGTCGTCAACGCGCGCAACAATGGCTGGCGGTGTATGGCCGGCTGTGAATATGAGGTTGGTGGCCCACACAACGCCCCTATTCTACTTATCGGCTCCTTATATGTCTGCAGTACTTCCAATTCAAAGGTATGCACTTTCACAGCGACAAGGATTCGTCCTCATCTAGTTACTCATTTACACAGAAACTCCCGATTCTTTGGCGGCGAAGAAGTTCACCGACCTTCAGCCGTTGACGTCCGGAAGTATATATTCCTCCTATGCCAAGGCGACGACTATCTCATGAGTCTCTCTCTCTCTAGTGCATGGGTATTCGTTGTTGCGCACGCAGCTCAACACCGGATACTTTAACGACATCTTCGATGAGAGCTTGAAGTTCCAAGTACCGCTGGAAGGGCATCGTGCGTATGTGAAGTCTCAGCTTGGCCAACTTCTCACCTTGGTATAGACACGGAGACCGGGCCGGGTGTCTACGAGACCGCGCTGGCATATACTGACGCTCTGCGAATGGCTGATAATGCCATCCTATTCAAATTCCTTGCTAAGAGTATCGGTATCAAGCATGGAGTGGTACCAAGCTTCATGGCCAAACCCTGGGGCAATGTACGCTTCAATGTCTTGGGTCTCGTGCATTGCTGATTGTTCCTTGTCAAACCAGCTTCCGGGCTGTAGCGGGTATGTATCTGAGTCATGCACTCCTTCGATTTTTGCTGACGTTACTCAGGCATATTCACGTATCGTTGCGCGACGCCAATGGGAAGAGTATTTTTGCCGTCTCCGATGCTGATTTGAAGAACGGACGCACTGATGCGCAATATGACGACACGAAGTTCCTTAGTCAAGAAGGCGAATGGTTCCTGGCCGGAATCCTGGATGGCCTTCCGGATGGTGTGTGTTCCCCTGATGTCTCCATATCGAGAGCTCATCGCATCCCGTCCGTCCAGTTATGCCTATGGTTAGTCGTGCATCTGAACCTGAACCCGACGACATTCACATTGTCTGTCTGTAGCTCGTGCCGACGATCAACGGATACAAGCGTCTCGTTGGAGGCGAGGCGTTCTGGGCGCCGAATGCGGTCACCTACGGGTACGACTCGCGCGCCGCGTCTGTTCGGATAATCTCGCCCCCTTCCGTCCCACCAGCGGCCACTCGGATGGAGATCCGGGTGCCTGGGGCGGACATGAATCCCTACTTTGCGTTGAGCGCAATCTTCGCTCTGGGGCTGCGTGGCATTGAGAAGAAGCTGCGTCTCCCTGGGCCACCTGTCAGCCAGTTGACGCTCGAAGACAAGAAGGCAGGGAAGGTGCGTTCGAAACCCTCCTCGTGTTTGAACGAAGATTGACTGCTTGGTACCTCAAAATTACTCACTACACTACACTCCCCTCCGAAATATCCGAGCGATCTGTACAGGTTCAGATGCTGCCAACCTCCCTTGAGGCCGCCACTGAGCGCATGATGCGTCCAGAGAGCATCGCACGCGAGGAGGCTGTGTTCGGGAATGACTTTGTGGAACACTTCGGTGGTACGAGACAGCATGAGGTTAGGTTGTGGAACGAGGCGGTTACCAGCTGGGAAGGTTTGTGTTCCTTTGTTCCCTTCTATCAGGACGTGCCCAGCCTTGGGATTGACACATCGATTTTCTATAGTGGAAAGATACTTGGAATTGGCATGATTGAACCCGAGGAACCGTAACAAACGCATGTACGATAACTCGATGGGGAGGACCGGAACAAGAGGGACAAATGTACAACGAAGCGAGGTCCGGCAGCATGTAATTGGGAACTGTACAGATGGGGAACACAACGTTTATTCCTCGATTAGACATTGTCCAGGATGGGAGGCCTTAGCGAGGGATCAGCGTTGGCCATGTGATCGTCTGTTACGCGACCCCAGCAGCAGCTCCCGGTGCAGAGGCTTCGGCGGCGGCTGCGTTGGGCACAGCAGATTCCTCAGCGGCGGCAGCATGGACTTCTGCAGTTGCAGCAGGGGCGACGTCGCCGGTCGCCGATTCGTCTGCCTTCTTCGAGCCACGTACTCCCTTCAGCCACCCTAGGAAGTGTTTCACATCCTGTGAAAGTACGCGGTCAATGAAATCTCTGGTAGGGAAAGCAACGACCGGACTTACGTTCGCGATGGAGCCTGGTATAGAGGATTCCGCGATGAATACCGGGATGTTCCCACCTGGAGTGCTGGAAGTCGCCATGCGCCATTCGACCTTGCCGTTATCAAGCTCCAAGATGCGTTCAACACTCGCGTAACGGCCCTTGACGCCTTTCTCCTCCAACTTTTCGGCCTCCGGGTCCCCCGAGACATCGACAGGCACAGAGACGACGATTCTAGTGTTAGAAAGGTAAGATCAAGGGATTCGCATAAACCCATGTAAGAAATCTGCTTACCCTGTCCTCGGAGACGTCTCGCTGAACCAAATCGTTTGCACGACAGTGAATACACGGGGCGAAACTGGGGGTGGGAATTTGTAGAATAGCGTCCAAACGGACTGGTTTTGGGAGATCTGTTTGATCAATTGGACCTTCTCGATTTCAGGGATATATCTTGGCGCGTGATATCGGTCAATACCTCCTAGCCATTGCAATGACTGGTAACATACTGCATCTCGTTGTTTGCTTTGTCTTTCCCTAGTTTGTCCCAAAACTCCTCGAAGGTCACTTCGTCCTTGTCGTGTTCGCTCACCCGGGCATGCCAGGCTGCGCCGTCCTTCGGACCCTTCTTGCGGGACAGCGTCTTCACAGTGTTCTTGTGGAAGCTCTTTCCATGTTTCCAATTCGCAGTGTCGTTCAAAACCTCGCGACCGGCTTTGATGATTACGTCCTCGGAAGGGATTTCTGTGGAATGATTCTAGCCTGCAACCCCACGGAAGCCGACAAAGCAAGACGTACCCGACAACTTGAGAGGTGTGATCGACAAGTAAAACTCCGATGTAGACATTATGAGCAGTCCTATGTTCGAAGGGATGGTGGTCTCTGGCAAGCAGTAGACTAAGGCAACCGTAACTCGACGGGAAGCATCGTGTGAGATGTTCGCCTTAGAACCGATAGCTTCGGCTATTCTTGGACTTCCACTACCACGTTGGACAGACTTCGTCACTGTTGGCCATCGCGAGCTCGCGGGGCAAGTGGTGTAGGGAACGGGGTCTGGCACGATGGATTGTATTAGAAGGCTGAGAGATTACCCCCGCGCGGAGCGATGAGGCTGCCGCGCAGGACGTATCGATGGCATCTTTGCTCTCAACCTCGATGTGATGTCTCTGTTCGCTGTGCTTTACTCTCCACCTTTCCTAGTCTCGGGAAGATCACTGCGCTACCGGTTTTCATTTCTGCGTTCGTGGACCCTAATACCCCGCATTGGCAAGGTGTTCCTGTGTTGGACGGCGCTTCGGGACATGCAACGTGTCCGGGGCGGTTCTTGAAGGCATGGTAGGCGTATCAGAAGTTGCCAAATACAGGCGGGGCGAGTCGCAATGTTCTCTCGCAGTGACTCCATTGGCGAGGAACGAGGTCCGCACAGTCCGGGGTGGGATGATGTTAGGCGGGGGTCGAGAACCGTGATATAGGGCGTCAATTCCCCCAAGACTTCGGAGAGCTTGTTGACTCTCAACGTCCACCCTCGACGTCGCATTTCATGGCGACTGTCTCTGCCCTCCCGGTCGTCGTCCCGCTCCTACCTGCTGTCGATGAATTCGACCAGCCAAGGCAAGGCAACAGTTCGACGAGGTTGACCCTTTCGCAGCTGCTTAATCCCGCGCTGTGGGACCTGCCGGAGTGGAATGGACCTCAGTGAGTGTATTCGGGTACCTGGGGACGTAGCTATAGCGCTCTAACCCTGCTCCGTACCTGCAGTGTAGAGGATCCCAACAATATCGCAGCACAGGTGGGATAGAAAGTTGTCCAGTCAAAGATACGGATAATGACCCGGATACCAGGTTGATAGTATTGACTACTCTGTCGCCTTGCTGAAGCGGTACCGAAACTCCCTCCGCCCTGTCCACAGGCTATCACCAGATATCATGGCGCTCATCTTCCTTGAATTGCTCGATGACCACGATCACCCGCTGGGTTCGACGTTTGGCTCGTGTTCATGGAGTTATCTCGCTCACGTCTGTCACCGCTGGCGAGCAATTGCTCTCGCATGTCCCTCTATATGGACACAGATCAGCACACGATACCCGGAGGCGGCCCTAACATGTCTCGAACGTTCTGTGGACGCTCCCTTGACGTTCGTTATCGACTCGCGAGCGACCATGGACAACTCGAAGGACGTCGTCGACCGCGTCCTACTACAGATGAGTCGCATGCGCCACCTCTACATCCCGTGGACGCTTCTACATGACGACGACGGGAACGTATCACCGCTAGTCAGTGGCTTCATTGATGCCTCTGCACCACAGCTCGAGACATTCTATCTATATCGCGTGCGCGCGGACGGCAAGTGCTTCGCACTCCCTCCTATCTTCGGGGGGCAGACGCCTCGTCTCACCGTTATGAAGCTCTCCTATTCATACCCGAAAATGGGTAGCGTTACCTTCGGGAACTTGAAGGAGCTTTACATCCGAGGTAGGAAGCGCGACCTCATCACCCTCGAACTCGCCCAGCTCCTCGACATGTTGGAGGCATGCCCCGTACTCGAGGTACTTGTGACAATCAAGGCCCGCTTCGTGCATAATCAGCCTCTCGAAGAGGACGACCAGGCCCGACGGCAGATAAGGCTTGACAATATGAAGCGAATCGACATTGCCCGCTGCGCGGCTTCCGTCGTCACCAACCTTCTCGACCGGCTCATCGTACCGAATTGCCAGCTACGCATAAGCGTCTGGCTCGAGCGTCGGAGCGACTTCCGTTTCACATGGGGTGTCCCGGAGGAGCTGAGCGAGAACCACCCTCTGCGCGACATCCGCAAGCTCCAGATCGCCTATCGCAGCGGCAGCGGCGGCGTCATCGTCGAGGGCACGACGGCGAAGCACCCGTTCCAAGTCATCGCCACGATTGGTACCGGGAGCGACATCGGCGACATGCCCACCGTGTCTGGTCAGCTCTTGGAGTCGATCGCGAAGACGCTCGACCTCAGCCTGCTCGAGGAGTTCACGATCGCAGAGACGTCCTACTACCACCCGCACGTCGGCTTCTCGAAGGACGTTTGGACATCGGTCCTCTCGCGGATGCCCCTCCTCCGCACGCTACACATCCGCCTGCAAAGCATCACGGACAGCGGCTTCTGCCGCGTCATCCTGTCTGCGCTCACGCACCGGGACGACATCACGGGAAAGCTGGTCTGCCCGCTGCTCGAGACGGTGACGCTCGTCGACGACAAGACGTGGTCATCGCTCCAGTGGTGGCGGTTCGCGAAGCAGCGCAGGGACGCGGGGCACCCGCTGCGGCGCTTGTCGCTCTGCCTGCCGCACTACGAAAACGTGGAGGACATGGCGAGCACGGACTTAACTGACCTCCGCGAGGTCGTCGATGCCGTCGACCTGGACCCTCCTGACACGCCGCACGTCGAGTTTCCGAGTGCCGCCTGGTGAGCGGTGCGTGCGTCCTGTTCCTGACTCAATGGTTCTCGCTGTATGCCTAGCTGTCGCTCTTCTCTCTGCTTTGTATGTCTCACCGGCCTCGGTCAATCTCTCCCATGTATATCTGTATACCTAGCTAGAAAGCAGCCAGTGCTTCATCGTCCATCCTATGCCAATGTGATTATAATATTAGGTGGTGTACGTTACATGTTGCGCAATGACATTATGCCCCACAACGATAGAGCGAGCAGAGCATGTGCAAGATGCGTATCTGGAGCAGGTCATGATAGTGCTGTCGCTGTCGCTTGTGATGGTGACTCCTTGTCTAGTGCGTTCAGGTCGACAAGGCCGAAGTACCGACTCCGGCCGCGGTTGGTCTCGTCGCGAGGGAGCTTCTCGCCCCTCTCGAGCACGATCCCGACGAACTTGCGGTCCTTGCGGGTGCCGGGCACCTTGTAGAAGCGCACGAAACCAGGGACCGTCGCGTACAGCGTGTGGTCGCGGCCCATTTTCACCTATTGATCGACAAAAAGCGCGATCGGCACGACCGTTTCTACACGCGGGAGTGAGGATAACAAGAGGGGATGGCACGTACATGCTGGCCGGGGTGAAAGACCGTGCCGCGTTGACGGACGAGGATGTTTCCGGGGATGACATATTCGTCTAGTGCATACACAACGACACGATGTGAGCTACCGCGCGGCTGGATACCTCAACAATAACCACTGCATGCACTTTGTCCACGCCCAGACGAGCAAGACGCAGTGGCAGGGGCGATGGCAATGGCCCACGCACCAGAAAACTTCTTTACGCCCAGCCGCTTTCCCGGGGAGCCTCCGTGGTTCGAGACGGTTCCTCCTGCTCGCTTCGTGGCCGTGCGGACAGAGCCCAGACCTATGCGTCCCAGGGACAGGACGGGGAAGAGGCGGAGCGTCAGCGGTACAGGATTTTAGGTCGGGATATTCGAATGCGGCCCTACGCACCAGCTGCCCTAAACGGATTCCTGAGGACGTCCGCACACCTCCACAGTGTCTGGAGAGACATGAGTGCTGTGGCCCGTTAATTGAGCGACGGTAGCGACAAGTATGAGAACAGAAGGAGACAACAGACAAAGAGGGACGGCGGGACAAGGCTCAGTACTTGTCGGGCTAAGCGCGGCCCTGCCACCGAAGGGCGGTAGCAAGGCTTATGTAAGCGCCTGCTGCTATCTAAAGACCCGAGATGGGCAGGCCGCTTCTTGCGTCGTCTCCGCACTCACCACCTTCATCAACCTACCATCGCTCGTCCCTCTCCTTTCTTACAGTCTTCACTCTCACCATGGTACTTCTCGTTACCTCAGATAATGAGCAGTTTGTCGTCGACAAGGAGGTCGCTGAGCGCAGCGTCCTCATCAAGAACATGCTCGAGGGTGCGCACGCCACGCCCTGTCCTTGGCCCCAGTACACCTGCTAATCTTCCTTTGCTTTTGCGCTCGGCCTACAGATGTTGGAGAGAGCGATCAGCCGATTCCCTTGCCTAACGTCTCGTCGAGTGTCTTGAAGAAGGTGAGCCTTACGCTTGTCGGTGTCGGTGGCGCGACCCCTCTCCAGACGAAAGGCGCTGACTGATGACTGCGGTCGGTCTTCTTTTTGCTCGTTGCTGTGTGCCCCATATGCATTAGGTTCTCGAATACTGCGAGCACCATCGGGGCGAGCCGCTGCCCGCAGCGGACGCGGAGCAGAACCAGGACGAGACCCGCAAGCGGACGACGGACATCAGCGAGTGGGACCAGAAGTTCATCACCGTCGATCAGGAGATGCTCTTTGAGATCATCCTCGCTGCGAACTACCTAGATATAAAGCCGCTCCTGTGAGTCCCACTCGGTCGTCTTAGTGCTTGCCGTAGCGTCTCGAGGGGACATGAGTTAGCTAACATGGGGTGGGGGCGCGATGCTGCAGCGACGTTGGCTGCAAGACGGTCGCGAACATGATCAAGGGCAAGACGCCTGAGGAGATCCGCAAGCTGTTCAACATCGTCAACGATTTCACGCCCGAGGAGGAGGTACGCGTCGCTCATTTTAGCATGGGCGCTGTCGCTCGTGCCTCGAGGCGTTTTGCTAACGTGCTGCCTACCCCTTTCAGGCCCAGATCAAGAAGGAAAACGTAAGTGCTGTTGTTCCAAGTGGATGGCAGCGGCACGGGGATGCTGACTCGGTGCGTGCTGCAGGAATGGGCGGAGGATCGCTAGACTGTGAATGCTGGTCGGGAAGAGGAGTGTGTTATTACGTTGCAGCGCTGTGTATATGTTCTCTTTCATTCATCGCCATCCCCTTCTGTATACTAGCACGCGAGAGAGAAAAGACATGCATGAGTGCAGCAGATGACGAGCGAGGGCGCGAACGGCGATAAGACGATAATCGAGAGGCAAGGATCCCTGCCTGTGTCCAAGACTCAGATATTCTGCGGCCGAGAAGCGAGACCGCAGGGTGCCATTCTGGGCCTGCGAGCACAGCCTGTGAGTCAAAACGTAACGCGATGGCGTGACCGTGTCTCATGCTTATCTGGGACGGCTCACGTGCGCAGTCACAGGCGCGGCGTGTTATTCTCTCGCTCAGCCAGTAAGTACATAACAGTAACTTAAAGCGGTCTCAGCTCGCCTGCTGCTGCTCCTATCTCTCGTTCTCCTCCGTCCCTCTACTCCAGCATGGTCCGAATACCTGACCTCCCTGGCAATCCAATCCCCCACAGAACCGACCAGGAGCTCTGGCTCAAACGTCACGTCGCATTTCTCTGCCGTCTGGACAATGAACGGTATGTGGCGCCTCCGTATCTGCCGTCCGACCCTCCCAATAACCACTGTGGCGCAAAGATTCCCTGGTAGCCAGCCTGTCAGCTTTGCGGCGAAGGACCTAGATAAGCTGGAGGCTCAAGAGTATGTGTCTGTCTGGGTGTACACATTTGCGCAGGTTACAATGATGTGCGATGCTGCAGTTACTGGGTAGCCGAGAAGTCCGACGGCGTCCGCGTCCTCCTGCTCGTCCACACAGACATGAACACCTCCGACCAGATGTGCTACCTGGTGCGTCCCGTAGCGAACCGTCGTTATCTTCTCCGTTCCTCACTGCGTCCCGTAACGACTGTTAGATCGACCGCCACAATACATATCGTGAACTCCCTGGCCTCTTCTTCCCCCACCACGAGGACCCTCGCAAGCCGCTTCGCGACACGATCGTAGACGGGGAGCTCGTTGTCGATGTCGACCCCCGCACCAAACAAGTTTGTGAATTCGCCCTCGCCAGCGTAGGACTACACTGACTGCGCGCCTACGCCTTTCCGCTTGGCTATGCCTTCACAGGAAACGTTGCGTTATCTCGCGTTCGATTGTCTTGTCGTTGATAACCAGAACGTCATGTCACGGCCCTTGGACAAACGATACGGGGTGCGTCACCTTGGCGCGATGCGGTAACGTCCGTGCGGTCAACTGACATGCGGCTCACTCGTGCAGCGGCTGCAGAAATGGGTGTGGGAGCCGTACCGAAAGATGATGCGAGACCACCCGCATATGGCATTACAGCAACCGTTCGAGTGCGTTGTCGTGTACTGCAGAGATCAGTTTGCGCCGGGCTGACGGTGTGCGTCCGTGGATCGCTCGGAACAGGTTCAAAGTCAAGGACGTCAAGTTCTCGTACCACGTGGAGGACGTCTTCAACATCGACATCCCGCAGCTGCAGCACGGCAACGACGGCCTCATCTACACGTGCGTGAGCACGCCGTACGCGCCCGGCACGGATCCCAACATGTACGCGCGCGCGTCCCTCGCCCTCTTCCGTCTTCCTTTCGCTTCCCTTCTGATGGCTGCACTTTGGCTGATACGTGTGTGACGGCAGTCTGAAGTGGAAGCCCCCGTCGGAAAACTCGATAGACTTCAAGCTCGTCCTCCGCTTCGCGCCGACCCCCGGGAAGCCCGCCGCGCCCGACTTCCAGACGAAGCCGATCTTCGAGCTCCACGTCTGGTGCGGCGACGACCGCGGCGTGCCACGATACGAGTTCTACGACGTCATGCACGTCGAGGATGACGAGTGGGAGAGGTTGGTCCCTGCCTGTCTTCTGTGTTCCGCTCGCCGTCCTGCCTGTGGTGCTGACTGCTTGCCCGCGTTGGAAAGCAGGATGAAGATGTCGAGCGAGCAGCTCGACGAGCGCATCGTCGAGGTGCACTGGGACCCCGAGCTCGAGCACTGGCGCATGATGCGCTTCCGCGACGACAAGCCGAACGGGAACCACAAGTCCGTCGTGGACAACATCATCAAGAGCATCGCCGACGGCGTCGAGAAGGATGTCGTACGTACACTCTCCTTCCTTTCCGGACCCTGCGTCGTCATCACCGCAGCTCTCGCGAGACGTGCTTTTCTGACTCCGTTTCGCGATCCGTCCGCACCCGCAGCTCCTGTCACGCTCGTCCGCGATCCGCAACAAGTGGAAGGCCCGCGCGGCAGCGCCGGGCGGCGGGGCACCCCCACCCCCAGCCACGAAGGCTGCCCACCCTCCCCCGCCGAAGCCGATACAGCACGCCCTCCCGCCGCCCCCTCCGCCGGTGCGGACCCAGCGGCCCGACGCGCCGCGCGTCGAGCAGCGGTACTCGCGCCTCGCGCCCTCCCCTTGGAGCAAAGTCACCGGGCCGGCCATGGTCGGGGGCATATACCGATGAGCGTGCATCCCCCTTTGCCCCAGGGTGACTCAAGGGAAGGGCGCATGCCGAGCTCAGCGCCGACGGTCGAGAGTCGGATTGGCGAGACGGCGTGCGTGCGTGCAGTATGCGATGCGGCGGGTGGAAGCATGCCTCGGGCGATGGAATCATTCACGTGGGGCCGAACTATTCGCGACGACGTTCGGCCTCGGATGGTCGCGTGCCCGGGCACTCCCGCGTGTGCCTCACACCTTACCACAGCGTCGGGAGGGGTTGGTGGCGGCTGGTGGCCGAGGTTGTTGCCGGCTGCTGTCAGTGGTGTGTAGGGGGAGGTTTACGGTCGCGGTGTGTGGGTCTGCGTAGTCGGTGGCGGGCGGTCGCGATGTACGTAGCTTTGTGTCCGGAATGGAATTGACCTTGTGCGGTACTCTTCGCCCGCGGTGCGCTTGTATTGATACTGCGCTCTTTCGACCCTACTTACGGTCTGTTACGTGGGCGCGGCAGACACGGCGTGAAAGCGAACAGAACGCCGTTTCGCTACAACGTCATCATCGATTCGTAGTCCCTCCTCCGCGCACGCGCGGCGAGAGCCCGTGATCGTATGTATGTACTATGTACATCACCAGCCAGCCATGCACGTATAACGTACGCAGCGAAGCGACTAACCCTCCGCCGCCATGCGGCGTGCGCGGGGGCAAGAGGGCTTTTCGAGCGTTCGTAAGGGAGTCTCGTAATTCGTAAACGCGCCAAACACGGTCAAGCGGGCCAATGTGGTAAGGATGGGGTGGTCAGACGACGGTTAATGAAGAAATGTCGGCAGTCAAGCCGACTACAACAACAACGTTGCAAGCAAGAGCGCAAGTTAGGTAAATAGGTAGCCGTATGCTTGAAGGGGGTAGGTGGTGACAGTGGAGAGCAACAACAACAATACTGAGACAGCGGGTACCGAGACGAGGTAGAGGGGTAGAGGGATGCGTGTCTAGTCGTTACAGAGATGAGACAGAGGCAGTTGGGAGAGAAATTCAGGCACAGGTTGGACGCGGCGGCCTGCAGAACAAACTGCAGGCTGCATTCACGTATTCGCAATGTGGGTGGGCGTGATATAGACACGGGATTGGGGAGCAATGAGGCACGAGAACCGGGTGCGCGCGTGTTCGTGCGATCGTCACATCATGGGCGTCGTGAACAAGAACAGTCATGGGACCTAAGGCGTGAGCAATGGGACGATGCGGACAAAACAGTGGATTGAAGCGGGGCCGGGCGGGATGAGTGCGTGATGAAGCAAGATCGCAAGAGTACAGTGTCCTGAGATGATATGCATGAGTGACGCCCCGCCTATGCGAGCATTGTAGATGAGGAGAGATGAGATGGAGTGATGGAGGGAGGGATAAGATGGGACGCCAAGGGGGAAGTCTGTCGTAGTCGAAGGACTCGTATCGGCCTGCTTGCGACCTCGGGGGTGCCGACGTGCCGCGAGACATTGCACCATTCCAACGGGGTCGTGACAAGAAGGACAACGTGATAGAGTGCGGATGCCCGTGGGTATTCAATGGCTCAGGGAAAGGAGACAAGGAGATCATGAAAGGACAAGATGCCGGGCGCTTGTATCGACGCTTTTCTCCCCTCGCAGCAGGACAAACCGCCAGCCTACGCGCGACGACCTCAGTAGAAAAGGTCGTCCATCTCGCAGTCGCTCATGGTGGTAGAGAAGAAAGGCGGGGGAGTGGGGACCATGTCGTCAAAGCGGTTGTCACTGAACCTCGTGCTGGACAGCTGGAACTCGACGGCCGAGTAACTGACAGACCTGGATGCCAAGGGCGGGACCCGGCCGGCAGGCCGACGAGCTCCAATGCTCGACGCGAAGACCGATGGATAAGCGGGAACCGCGGGTTGGAGGATGTCCATGTAAGTCGGCAAGAAGGGGGAGCCCGGTGCGGACTCGAAGCTGCTGTCGAGCGAAGACTGCGACGACTCTGAGGCATGCCTGCGAAGCGGAGCCCGCGGGGCAACGGACAGCGACGCGAAGTGAGGGAGAGGCGACATGACCTGGAAGATTGTGCCTAATGTTCAACTACTCGGGAAGTGGCGTGTGATGGTTGATACAACATACCTCAGGAGTGCTGAACCCAAATGAGCTATCCGTGGACACGTCCCAGAGAGGGCTTGAAAGAATTTCATTCTCATGGCCCCCAGTGGCGATGGCGACGTCTGCCGCCGCGGCAGGAGGGGCCTCGACGATGTCCTCGGACGTAACCACGGTCGCGCCACCGAGAGGACGAACCTGCTCGTTCTCCGCCGCAACTACCTCATTTGCATCTTCGTCCTGCCCTGATGGCGCTACGAATTCGCGTTGGCCATCCTGGACCACCCACCAGTCGATGTCGGCGAGTACGCGACGGTTACTGGTATCCGAGCCAGAGGACCGACGGGGCTGAGGGTTGCCTGCACGCGTCGCGTGGCCCAATGCGCTGGAGGAGGGGTTCCGGTAGGGGGAAGAGCGGACAGAAGGAGACGAGAGCGTGCGGCGGAGAGATGGCATGACGACGTCGAGCTGAAGAGGGGCGTGACCGGGTTGGTGGATGGCGGGAATGCGCAAGCAACGACGACGAAGACTACGACAACGTCCCTCGCGATGTCGAGGGTATCAGTCGACGTGTACAGTGCCTGGCGCAGGCGGGGAGGGCGAAGGAGACAAGCTGGGTATATAAGAATTTTATACGCGTGTGGGCAATCCGATGTGAAGGGTGAAAGAACCCCGCCAAGGCGCCAGTCCATGCTCATCATTCCTGCCCCTATACGCAGCGTACAGCTCCCGCCCGGCCTTCCCCTTACTTTGTCCGCTGCCTTCCTCTTCTCTTGCACACGCTGGGCACTCGACCATGCACAGTACTGCTAGTACTCAGAGGCCGCATGGCACCTATGCAGAGGCCAGTCGTGGCGAGCCCGCGAGATGCAATGCAGATCTGAAGGCTGACGGGCGGTGCGGATGGTCCAGCCCGTCGCGCCGCCCACGTCATGGCGTTGAGGGAAATGGTGATGTTGCACGTATCACTGCACGAACACATTAATGCAGCGCGGCCTCGTGCGACGAGTACTGTGTTCTGGGCACCAACGGGCAATTACTCCACTTGCTCTGCAGCCGGGACTGTTGTCGCTACAAGTTGCTAAACTACCTTGAGCGCGGCCCAGTAGAACACAACGCTAATGCGCCCGGCGGCCGATCGGTTGCAGCGCCCAAGGGTCTTGTGCTTCTCCCTCCCTTTCTCCGCACTTTGGCAGGAGGTCCTGCTTGTTTCCTCGCGAGTACAATGTATCCTTTTGCGACTGCTTCTATCCCTCATTGCTGAGCCGCATCGGGCATCGAGGCGGGCATTCCGCGCAACGTGTCCGGCGTCGACGCGAGCATCAAGTAACCGGTGCCTCGCAAGCAACACCCGTGCTCGCAGGCTCCACGGCCAGGAACGCACAAGTATGCAATCGATCGCCGGCATTCGCGAGAGGATTACGCGCAAGACCCGCGCTCTGATGCGCTTGCCCTGCACGTCACTTGGTAGGCATGTGCTCGGTGCTAGTGTGGGACGCGGCCCAACCAGCCACACACGCGTCCGACCCCTCCCCGACGCGTCAACCGCCCCTAGGACGCGTTTGCGAGGCAGGCGCAGTACCAGAGGTGCCATTGCGACTCATCCCGAGGACAAAGACGCGTCGCACAGCGGGGAGCATCGCGTCTCGTGCCCCGAACGGTGCCTTTGTACGTGCGAGCGCGACTCATTGGCCTTCTCAGCCGCGTCACCATCGCCTTCCATACTGATGGCCCCACGTCTGCTCGCCTCCATACTACTCTTACTCGTCAACACACGGCGTCAACGCGCGCAATGGGAGTCTGCTTTGCCACGGCCGGGCTCGTGCCATGCGTAAGTATGACGACTCCGGGCTTCGCGTCTTCCGTAGGCGGACCCGCGCGTAGCTTCAGACGGGCGTGGGAGAGCACGGAATGCGGTGCATCATTCGATGTCATGGTGGGCCTGACCGTGATTTTCTGAGGCGCGTGCGTACATCATATCGCCGGATGCTTGAGATAGTAACGAATGAAATGACCAGATTGATCGTCGTTCAAATCCCGGTGAATGCGGCTCCAGGGACTGCGAACAAATCCACTAGAAGGCCCTATCTCCTTGTTAAGCGGCGTCGTTGCGCCGCATCGTCGGACGTTCCCTCTGACAACGCGAAGCATGACCCCGGTGCATCGCGCTCTTGGCGAGCGAGCGATGCAGCTCCGACAAGCGCGGAGAAGGCCTCAGCAGCATCAATGGGTCGACTAATTACACAACATCTAGTCATAGTGAATATGCTGTAGCATCTGCATATATCAGCGGGGATCAAGTAGCTTACACTCGGCGGGCACACAAACGGTGATGTGGCCAGCAGCATGCAACCATCTTCTCACGTAGCGCGGTACATAATATGTCATGCATGCTCATCTTAACCACGATCCAACACGTCTCAGAGTCTCGTGCAACAAAACTCTCGTACCCCCGCCCAAGCAGGCCGTGAATCTCGCAACGACAGCGCGTCCGGAGCGACCCTGAGCGAGACCTGCGAGGTCGAGACTCAGGGACGCTTGACCTCAGGGTCGCCGGAGGCGCCTGCAGCAACTCTAATTACCGAACATACATACCTTCCTAACGCGGATAGAGGAGAAGGAAGCGCTTTGGAGTCGGCGACGGGCGCCTCACTTGCCTTTGACGGGCCGGGACTCGGGGCGCCAGAGGCGGCCTGCTCGCGGCACGGTGTGGAGGCGTGCCAGTCGCGCCGCCATCATGCATGCGGCCGGTACTTATCTACCGTCGCCCCTCTCGTCATCCTCCGTGGCTGTCATAGACGCAATATCTGCTGCGCGAGCAACCCTGCGCTGAACGCGACATGTCTACCATCTTCTACGGCGCGCTCATCACCCCGACATCCCTGACGGAGTACCGTGCGCTCCCTCGCGCGCTGCTATCGGTATCGCGAGACACTGGAGACATCGAATGGATCGAGGATGACGTGGCGGCCTCCGAGTTGCAGGACGCGCTCGCGCGCCACGACGCGGTCTCGGAGAACGTGGACTTTGTCGAGCTGAAGCTGGGCGAGTTCTTGATTCCGGGCTTCGTTGACACGCACATCGTGAGTTCCTAGAAGAGCACCTGCGCTCGAGCAGTTCAGGTTGACGTGATATCGTAGCATGCGCCGCAGGTCCCGAATCTTGGAAGGTGCGTCTTCTACTTATCGCGTAGCCCATGAACGGTCTCAGAACCGTGCTATGCTCCAGCGGTCAAGAGCATGAGCTGCTAGACTGGCTTGCGGAAGTCACCTTTCCCATGGAGGCCCGCTTCGCGGACGCAGACTTCGCGAAGCGAGCGTACAGCTCTGTCATCAAGCGCACACTAGACTACGGGGTACGTACGCCCGCCGCGCTCCCGAACATCACTCAGATTGACTCGCGGAAATGAAAAGTCTACGACATGCTGCTACTACGGCACCCTCCATCTGGAAGGCACGAAGATACTCGCAGACGTAATACACAGCTACGGTGCGCATCCTGATCCGCTTCGCCGCAACAGTACGCGCCCTCGCCTGACACCGCAGATCTCTCCAGGACAGCGCGCCTTCGTCGGGGTAGGTGAGCCCCCCTCTCATCCCTCCCTTGTTCCCTCCTCAGCACACCCGGAACACCCCCCAGAAATGCAACATGGACAGAAACTCACCCGAGTACTACGTCGAGCCATCGGCGGATGCGTCCCTCGCCGCCACGCGCGCGCTCATCGCGCACATCCAGGCGCTGCCCCCACCCACCGGGTCCGGGACGGCGGCCGAGCCGCTCGTGCGCCCGATCCTGACACCGCGCTTCGCGATCTCGTGCACGGGCGAGCTGCTGGACGGGCTGGGGAAGCTCGCGGCCGAGGACGCCGGGCTCAGGATCCAGACGCACATCTCGGAGAACGCGGCCGAGATCGTGTTCACGAAGCAGCTGTTCCCGCCCGGGTCTCTGCCTGCGCCGCCTCCGCTGCCCGATGCGGCTACGACGAAGGCTGGGGGGAAGGTCGCGAACGGGAAGGCGAGGGAGACGACGTATGCGGGCGTGTATGATGCGTATGGGCTGTTGCGGCACAACACTGTGCTCGCGCACGCGGTGCACCTGGAGGAGGAGGAGATAGCGATCATCCAGGCGAGGCGTGCGGGCATCAGCCATTGTCCGACGAGCAACTTCAACCTGCGTAGCGGGTGTGCGCGGATCGGTATGCTGCTGGACCGTGGCTTGAAGGTGCGGTCGTGCTCTCTTCTATCCGGACGTTCGCCTGGCTTACCCATACGCCTCAGGTGGGCCTAGGGACAGACGTCTCGGGCGGCTTCTCGCCCTCCATCCTCACCGCGGTCCAACACGCCAGCATGTGCTCGAAGGTCGTCGCCCTGCACACGGAGTCGACTCCTCCAGATTCCCGCTTCACGGACCGCCAGCTGCCGATTGCGACCCTCTTCTACCTCGCGACACTCGGGGGCGCAGAGGTGTGCGACTTGCAGGCGCGCATCGGCTCACTCGCTCCCGGGAAGGCCTTCGACGCATTGGTCGTGAGCGTCCGGAGCGAGACTGGCAACCCCGCGATATGGGGTATGGACACGGCTGAGGAGCTGGGAATGGGACTGCGAGACGATGGGCGGACGAGGACGAAGACGGAGGAGGAGGAGCTGGCGGGCATGCTCGAGAAGTTCTTGTTCTGCGGGGACGATAGGAACGTAAGGAGAGTCTATGTGCAAGGGAGGTTGGCCGGCGGGAAGGAATCGAGGGTTTGATTGAAAGTATTTGGAGGCAACGTGGGGGATATAAGTGAGTGCTGGCGTCGATAAGTCATACGCTTGATGCAACATAGTCACGTACAGAATATCAACACATGGGGAATACACTTGGGTTTACGCTGCACCTCCTTTCTGGTCTGCGACGATCCAACAGTCAGCTTTCCACGCCGCACCCACAAAATCAACCCCAACTTGGGTATGGTTCGGCGCGCAAGAGTTGGATATCAGTACAGGCCATGACACAGAAGCGCCCATGTGGTTGTCGGGGCCAATTGACAACGAAATGTTTCACAGTCGGTGCGTCCACTCGGTTTTTCATGCCGTGTCGCTCTCATATTTACTCACTAGTATGGGAAGCCTGTTGCGCTTAACCTGCATGCGCAACTAAGTACAAGGTGGAACACCATCGTCGTCGTCGCACAACTCGGCACTTAGGGAAGTCCTCCGATGAGCGGCGCTCCATCAGACTTCTGCTTCGATTTGATCTCTCTTTGAGTTCTCGGGTGAGCGGCCCCTCATATGATGCGACCTGTCTGCATGGTATCTGGTATTTTATCCAGGACACAACGGCGGCGACGGTACTCGCCATTCATATGCGATGCGCTGGCCATCTGAATGAGTGTAGGACTATGCGCTGCGGCAGCATATCGATTTGACGTTGCTACGCTGTGGCCTGAAGTTAAAGTCGAGGTGTGCGCGTACACATCGCTACTCATGCGCTCCAATGGCATCTTTTCCCCATGACGTCCCATGACCCTGTCAGGAACTTCCAGAATCTGGTGGCTTCGTATGGCGATGCAGCTTCTCATTTTGCTGTTCAACGACCCAACAGAAATAGACCCATAAATTCCTCTCGGCTGCTTGAGCGCGGAGCACTCGAAGACATTCCCCTTCAACCGCTCCAATGCTCGGCCTACATAAACCTCCTCCTACTCTTACGATTCACTCCAGCGAGTCGGAGGAACATATACCTTTCTCTCGCGCACCAATTTTCAACGCCCAATCGTCTTTCACCAATGGCAATTTTCTTGTGCCCACACAACTGCCCCTCCGGGGTCCAACGCCGCCTTCTACTCCTCCAACGAGACTAAATTCTCTTGATTCTACAGCTAATGTGTCCGTCTCTTCCATTGTCGCTCGCGGTCATTGGCGTCCTCCTTCACGCGCAAATGGCCTTGATTACGCCAAACCAATCTTCATCGTCTCGCAAGAAAACCTCACAGCTGAGCCGCGCATGATGGCAGAGGAGCCGGAGGGAACTCGCAACCACGCCCCCAACTAACGTTCACATCCTAACCCAACCTGACGTCGATCGCATCCTTACCCAACCTGACGCCGTGACGCCAAGGCCCCGCCGAGGCAGAGTCAGCCTCACTGCTGTGCCCGTGTTGTTTTGCTCGAATCTCAGGTATCAACGGAGAGGAGACATGTACGTGTACACAGTACTACTTCTTCAACAACTCATCGCTCACGTATTCTTATATCAGTAATGCGAGCCACAACAAGATCATCCCTCCGAAAAATGACCTTCCTCTTCGGTCAGTGAGCCCTCATACAGGAATGAGTATATTTCTCACTATCAGCTCCACCAGTGGAACACAGATCGGTCTTGGATGGACCCCGCTTGTTCACCCCGGGGGCTTCGTTTACTTCAAGTACAAGGTGAGTTTTGGTCACGCCTTTCTATCGCTCGGTCTCACAATCCATACCCAGAATTGCTTCACCAATGTATACATGTACGATTCACAGCACCTGAAAGATATCGAGGATACTCTCCATCTTGTTCTCGAGGAGCTTCGTAATCATGGCGTCACGTCAGATGATGTTGAGATTGGTCTAGACATCTACTTCGACCCGACAGCGCCCCTCCCAGTGTGTCATGGTTGCTACTACCTCTGCAACAGGGAGTCGAGACAGGCAATCTGGCTGGAATACATCCAGGACGAATTCTTCTTTGAGGGCGAGCAACACATACAGATCCTTGGAGGAGAGCACCTCAGTCAGTCTCGAACCTTGATGCGCTTGAGGCTTCGCGATTATTGATGGCCTTGTTCTAGGGTTAGCCGCAGAGTCGGCATTCTGGTATACATCAGTGTCTGATACAGGTATGCCATGGCAATTTCTTTATTGCAAACGTGTTGCTTATGTTTGCAATTATGCCAACCTCAGTGTATAGGATCTTGAACTCACCTTTATCCAAGGCAACACGTGGACATGTTCCCTCATGGTCGCAAACTCTCTAGGCCACTTTTGGACGAGTTACAGAGTGACTTATGTTATTGTATCCTCAGTAAGTGCTGTCTGACGGACATGGACCCGGACTGAGCTGCTTGTCCAGATAAAGAAACCGCGAAGACCACCACCGTCCCTTACACGGCCGATGATCTGCATCGATTTTTGCAGCTTATCAAAGATATCAACGTAACTCGTATGTGTCTGTCATTGTCTTGATTAGCTTGCTGATATTGATTGCAACTCACCACATAGCCGACGAAGAGGCACGGCCCCAACATATGGCGACCATTGATCCGTGTTTCTGTTTTTACATTGTAGTCCTGATCACGAACAAATGCGGCAGGTCTGCTGAAGAGCATATTGTGTACGTCTGATGATGTACTCTGTCATACTTGGGACCGAGCATTAACACTCAATCGACTAGCCAGAGAGCGCTTCGTCCGCTACCACGGGGAACCATTCGTGCAACTTGATTCTGATCGAAACATTCGACTAGAGGTCAACGAATGTCAACATTCTTACTGGTTCAGCGGCGCTAGCTGCTTGTTCTTCTTCACCCCGCACATCTACCTCGACAGACTTCACAAGATCTGGTTTGATAATAAGGTCAATTATCCGAACTGGCGCAAGTTCAATCCAGAGCTACAGGATGACTGGACTGCTTCCATCACACCCGTACGTCTGCTTGTGGGTCTCTGATAGATACATCTGACCCAACCGACCAGTCCACGGTGATCCTATCGGCCAACGTTGGCTTCCTCGCGATCCAAAGCGTCGACCAAGGAGGCAAATTCGCTGCCGACAGGACAACAGGCCAAATTGTCAGCTACATGTCAATATTGCTGAGCATCGGCAATATTGTCGCATGTACAGTCCTTGCTCGACAGCATAGGCCAAGCATGCATGACCATCCGGAAGACATAGTAAGTGCTTACCTTCTTTTCGACATGGCACTGCTGACGACATTCACAGAAAGCTTACCTTACTCCCCGCGCGTCCACTAAAGAAGGTCTGGAGCAGCTGGCAATTCTCCTCAGCATTCCGACGGCCTTCTTCCTTTGGGGGTAGGCGGTGTTTGCTTCTCTCCTCTGATTTCGCGGTATGGCTTATATGTTGCTCCCAGGCTGCTGACGTTCTCTATCGCGATCTCTTGGGTGTGCTTGAACGATACAGACACGGTCACGCGAGCAGTCGTAGGGGCCACAATAGCCATCTCGACTATTCTTATAGCCGGGGTTATACGCAATGCCGACTGGAGGCCTCGAAAGAGAACGGACGATGCACAGATGAAGAAGCTCATCACAAGCGTGAAGGTCGAGTTGGGCGACGCAATTGCGTCTATATCCCGGGCGATGACAATGTTGTCCATGCGGAGCACCTCCATCGCGATACAGCCAGCATCCCCTGTTGAAAGTTGTATTGGGGTCGAAGCGGCAATGCCTGAGCCGACCACTGCAGACATTAGTCGGTCCGGAGAGTCGTCCAACAGGCCGTGGTATGCACTCAGAACCTTTGGATGGAGTCATGGTCGCAGAAGTACTACATGAACGCGTAGTGCTATAGGCTAACATCCCTTACCGTCTCTTCCAAGGAGGTGGGCCGAGAGTTCTGATGGGATACGGCATGTATAATATTGATAGCGTACAGTGACATAGGTTTCTTCAGACCTTTCAATCGGGGCAATCGGGGTCAACGACGGGGCTGGAAACAGATAGACCATCTGGAGCTCTTCGATACTCACAACGACTCCTTCATTTTCGTGCTAGCAGCTCTCTCACCAGGTCCATGACCCCATAGAACACCGCGCGATCGCGCGGACCGAGTTCAGACGATTCCGGCGGACCTGAGGTTTTGGCCAATGCGATACCAACCACCACCGGCCGTCTGTCCGCTTCCAGTACGCTCGCCTCCTCCATCGTCCACACGAGCGTGGCGATCTGAGATGCGTAGAGAGCATGCAACGTCTGCACACGATCGGATGGCGCGCTCCCCAGCAAAGGCATTAGCTGCAGGGATGGTGGTGGAACCGGGAGAGGGATGACATTGGGATTCTCTGGATCAGGTGGTGGGGGCGGCAGCAAAGGCATCGTCGAAGGTATCGTTGCCTGGATCTGGCGACACGAGAGGGCCTCCATGAGAATAGTTATGCAGGCTGCATCATGTAGCACTCACTAAGCTCCCCACTTTACCCAGCTGCGTCACCAGAACCAATGTGCGGTCCGCATATGCTTGAAGCAAGACATCTGTCTGCACGCCCTCAAGCTCTCTGACGATGTTAGCAGTTTGGAGCATGGTGGATGAAGTCCAAAATGGACGCTGAGCCGCGTCTCGCGACGCGCTTCCCGACGATACGCGTCTTGTCCGAAGCCATATCCTGTTCTCGCCCTCAATCTACTGCGTCTTACACTGATTAGTGGCGTTGTGCACCTCAGAACGTCCTAGAGCCGCCACCGCCTGCTTTCGGCCTGTCTGTATCCTTCTAGTTGTTGGTACGCGTTCCGCATCGCGTCGGTGGCTGAAGTAGCCAGCATCTGGGAGAGTGGCGTGAGGGCTTGTCTACTGGCCATGCCCCCCATTCATGAACGGAATCTGTCCATAGCTGCAAAGGGGAAAGCAAAGGAGAGTGTCCACTGGCATCTTGGCTGGTGGGACCTGATCCATTCGCTAGAGGGAACGAGAAGGCATGTCCATCAGGTTGAATCGTCGTGCGGCACCTCCTATATTCGTGCTCACTTCGCGGAATGACTCTTCATCTAGGCCCGTACAATGGAGCAAATCCTCAGTGATATTCACTCCCCATGAATCGCGCGCATACATCTTGGCGCGCCACTTCCCGACCTCACGCCAATTTGCCTTGCCTTCTCCGCCCATCCCCTTGGATAACTATGAGCCAGCAATGGTCATCTCTCTCTGCCCTACTGATGACTGGCTCTTTGCCTACTTTCCCGGAAATGGCTGCCCTGGCATGGGATGCGTCTGGCGCAAAGAGGCCCAGCTTGACAACTGGTCTCTGAGAGAATGTTGGCCATATCCTGTCGGAGGAGGAGTCGTGACTGCTGCTTGGACGTGTCACCATCGGGAGGCGGGTGTTTACTTTAGCTTGAACACCCGGGACCTAAATTGACGTATTTCACAGTGGGTGGTGTCGGAAACAGGCAAATCCAGTCGCCTTCCACCACTCGGGCCTCTCGCACCTTATGCAAATCCTCTCTTACTGTTGGTCACAGAGGCGCACCTTCTCCATGTCTACAGCCTCTCACCATATACAAAAACCCCTCCTCCAACTCGCGCCCCGCTTTTACAGCCCATCGACCCTATGCATCCACCTACGGACCCCGAATCGGTGGGCAAGATTGGAGGCGACAGAGTGTGCGTGAAGGCTGCTATTGGCCTGTGCTACCAATGTAACGTTTCCTACTCAAGTTATTGGCCCTCGCTGATTGTCGCAGACCCCACGATCTTGATCGCAATGCGATCGGCGTTGCTACCTTCCCAGACCTCGACACAAGCGTTTCAGAACTCAATGGATCTGGGACTCCCGGTAGACCTAGGTCAACCTCAGCCCTCGGAAGCGCCGTTCGTGCAAGAATGGGAACTGTGGGGAGAGGAACCCACTATCTCGCTTTGCGAAGTGCGCATTGAGTACCGGCCTGGTGTTCCTCGTAAGTGTCCACATTGGCTCACAACGCGTCTTGCCATTGAGCGGTCTCCAATGTGCATAGCGGTTCTGAGCCGTCCGCTGCCTCCAATTCATCACCCAAGTTCGCATTTAGTCGATTTGACCTTTTACTGTCCGCCGCCATCACATGCCCCTAATCCGCCCCTCTCGATCGCTCCGAAGGCTGATCCGAAGGGTCCTCAGCACCCACTCTATTTAGCTGCGACTTTCTTGGATGCAGATGATTGTGAGTCATGGATGTTGCTTTTGTACCAGATATCTGAAGGCGAGCTCATCCAGATACTTCGATCCCGAAGTCCGAAATCATCTCGTATACATTTGTGAATGGTCTACCGGCTAATTTTTGGGTAAAATTTTTTTTGTCCCGCAGATGTATGCTCAGGCTGATAGGACGCAATAGGGACTGAAATCAGAGACAATACGTCCTAGTCAAACCAAAGTGCCTTGTTTCCTACTCCCATCAAGCGCACGTGGCGGGTTTCTCGCCGGTTTCCTCGACGCCGGTGGACTACTTCCGCGCCGCAAGTCGAAGTCGCAGGAGACGATCATTGGCTCAGTCGAGATGCTCAAACCGTGAGTAGTTTTGGCTATTTATTGTGCTCGCCCGCCTCCGATTTCCTGATCCCCCCAACAGACCAGACTTGAGCACACATGAAGACTGGGAAAGCGTGCCCATCCTCTCGCACGCGCAACATGGAGCCGTTGATGGTAAGCGTCAATGCATTCTTCGTCATTTTCGTCATCATGAAGGTGATACATGCGTTTTACAGTGCCCGTCAGTGTTGCGCTTTCGCCCAACGAGGCTCTCGTTTGTTGCATCTCTTCCCCTCTCCTGGGGTCGCACTTCGCTATCCAAGCCTTGCCTCGTCGAATATCCGGTGGCTCGTCTTCCGTGCTGACTGGTCATCTATATGGCGATCTCTCGAGACACCTGGTGGCAGCCATCCGCGCGCACTATTCTCCGTCGGACGTCGTACACGCCCTTGCTATGCCCATGCTACCCACCGAGGTCACAGTGAACACGCTGTATCATGCCTTGACAACCATGGAGGCAGACTCGTACGGCCTCATGGATATGTGGGTCGGCGAGCTCCTAGGAGTTGCCACGGAGGTCTACAGGTGCGCAACGACTGTGATCCATCTCCCGTATCGCCAGCTGACATGATGTTTCCAATCAGTGCTCGTACGCAACGCTTGGACAGGGGTCCCGAACAAGAATTGTGTGCAGCGCGACGACAAACGGCACACGAGATTGCTTCCCTGTCTGCATGTTGCGGAGCGTTTGATAGTTGTCGCGAAGGAGACTCCTACGATCTCGGTCCGTTCGCTTCGTGCTCCCTTCGCCAACAGTCAACCCACTGACATTGCACATAATCGTCAGATGCTGTGTGGCAGCTACTAGGCATGACTAGTTGGATTATCGAGTTTGTCGAAAAGCTCTTCAAAGAGTGCATCTTCGTCGGAGAACGACCGGAGGCAACCGCATTGACGCCCACGCCAAGGGAGGGCGTTTCGACTGCTGGTATGCTGTTTGATCACTCTCATAGAGAGGGTTGAGATTGACTTCTTTCACCCCAGGCAAATCGTTGGACAGTCCAATATTTCTGCACCTCGTGCATCCATATGCTCTTACTCGGCTCAAAGCCGCAGTCGAGCACGTCAAGCGCTTCCACGATCATATATCCAGACTTCCTGCGAAGGGCGAGGAATCGCACATTGCGAAGGACGTCCTTCTGGACATCACAGAGGGGATCGGAGTGGACCTTCAGCTTGTGGGACCTCTCCTTGCTGAGATTATGCAGGAAACCAAGGGATTAGATGGTGAGGCGCCCCTTCCCAGACGTATGAGATGCGCTCTAGCCTAATTTGTGTGTGCAGCCCAAAATCTTCGGCGGAGCCTTGCATCTTGCTGCCCAGTGCCCGCACTCAAGCCCCAGATCCGCAAGATCGTCAACAAAATCCTACCCTCCAAGGCGATCGACCGCGCGCGCCTCTTCATCAAGCCGACCGAGCTTACGGACGGCGTTGCACGCCTGGCACTGTCGGAGCCTTCCGCCGGCGCGCAGAGCGCCTCGTTGAGGGAGAAAAACACGGACGTCGTCAAGAAGAGCACGCTCGTGCGCAATAAGGCGGCGAGCGTGTGCGTACGGTGCGGAGGTCGGTCGGACGTTGCTATGGGGCGGAAGATGGGTATGGAGAGTGCGCTGAGTAGGTGGCAGGCCTGGGAGAAGAACTGGCAGCTAAGATGCGTATGTGGAGGGCTATGGTCCTCTGGTCTATAGTTCTCCGATTTGTAGACCGTTCTGTGGGAACATATGATGTTGCTGGTAGAATTGGAGATGTGTGTAGCGACATTGAGATGAATTACTAGTGTGTAGACCTACTGACTACTGCATTGGTAGCCAAATGTTTTGAGGGGATGTAGGGAAGCCGATAGCTATGCCGCCCCGTCGGCTTCGCTACGCTCCTTTTCCCTCCGCTCGTGCTCCAGTACAGCTATTCGTTCCAAAGCTGCGTCTCGCTGTCTCTTCAAAGCCTTCATGTATTCCTCGTCCGTCAGCTTCCTGAAGCCTATGACAGCCATCAGACGATCAAAGAGAGACGTTCGTGGCTCCTCCGGGGTGTCTGAGGGTGACGGGACTATCTCTAGTCGTGGCTGCGACTCTTGCATTTGGCGAGAGACAAACTTGACCCTCATCACGCTCAGCTCGTTGAAGCCAAATTGTAGAACGGTACAGATGACAGCTGCGGTGCGCGCATCGGCCCATATTCCAGCAGAACCACCTGGACGGGCGGGAGGTTCAGGGATGGAGCGGAAAAGAGGGATCCAACGCACGTACGTCGCCAGGCGTTGATGATACCTCCCGTCAACGCGCTACTGATGATAGTCTCGGGAACATCGTGCATCCGCAAATGCGACCACGAGGGTTGTGAAGACGTGTCCGGGGTGGTGTGGGCGGAGTGTCCTGAACGCCGGAGTAGAGGACGGATAGCAGCTTCACGTATGCCTGAATGGACGACATCCTCGCGTCAGGCTGCGCGCTGGCAGGAAAATCGTGCCACGTACTGAAGAAGAGTGTTCCCGCTATTCCTCCATTGACAGCTGCGGACAACGCGAGGGGTGTTGGGTGACTCGACCCGCGGTACAGAGCATGGACTGCAGTGAACGTTCCCGACACTATGGCTATTGTATGGCGTGAAAGCTTTTGTTAATCTTCATGTCGCGACCACGAGGAATGGGAGAACGAACTCGCATGTTATGGCTGCGCCTTTTGCTACGTTCGCCGGCGTCGCAGGGTCCATGTTGGCAAGTACTCTGAGGGAGCTGGCACAACGCGTAAGGTCACTACTGTCGCTTGTGCCCAGCGTGTGTCGTTCTCACGCTCCTTGTTCGTCTTCCACCATCCGAGTCGCTCTGCTACAATCCTCGGTGTGAATTTGCGATCGTGTCTCTATTCACTCGCGCATAGCAACCGATATACAGAATCGTGGCCTGTACCGGCTTCTAGGTTTCTCACAAAAGGATGGCCTCTGGCGTACCGACCGCCTCTCAGCTTCTCCCGGAGTTGTGGCTCAAGATATCTGATCATGCTACCCACAATCACGGTGCCTATACCTGCGACGATGGCCATACTTTAATCGCCCATGTTCCCGATCGGCGGGGAGATATCATCCATAAGAAGCACAGCGAGGGCCACGGAACTGATGCTTTCCGCGTGTCTCGTCTGCAAGTCATGGACCCCGCTCACTACAATATTCTTCTTTCGATATCTCCTGGTGAAGATGAAGAGCGGTTAACATGCTGTCCAGATCTCCAGAGCGTTACAAGCCATCACCAGACAGACCTCATATCCGCAGTCTCTCGGTCGATTCACGATGAGGCTGGAGCTATTCCTCGAGGGTGTTCATCGTTGGACCACCCCACACACGGTCGCACTGTCCAACATCTTCTCCTTCTGTCCAAATGTCCGCATATTCTCTACTGCATTCATGTCAGCGCAAGTACCTCTCCGCACCCGTCGGTTCCTCGATGCTATGCGTATCGTGGGCAAGCAGTCCAACATACGATGGCTGGAGCTCAAGGGCCCTACTCAGTTATTCCAGACCGTACTGTTTCCTCTGGCTTCGCGCTTAGAGGCTCTCGTGCTCATTCCCCTTTACACCCTGAACGTTACGTCGGAGCCGATGACGTTCCCCAATCTCCGAGTCTTCGTGCTTCTGGATCGCTGGACATCACCAGGCGACCAAGACCATAGGGTGTATCTGGGGCCATCTTTGCATATGCCTGTCTTACGTCCACTTCATCTATGGCACTTGTCCCCTGCCGACATCCTTCGCATCGACGCTGGACAATTGGAACAGGTTTCAGGAACTTCAGCTATGGTCCGCGACCTCGGCCTCTTCACTGGTCTCCTAGAATGGACTGTCTGCACTTGGTTCTTGCATTTCATTGACACCGAAGGCACTCAGCTCCCATCGACCATAGTCGCCATCAATGTCAGGGACGATCACACGTCTTTGCCCTTTAACCTTCTTACGGAATCGGTGATGAGTCGCCGTTTGCCCTCGCTGAAGAACGTCCGTTTCCTCCTCCCAGCGGATGGAATCATCATTTACGTCGAGCCAGACGACTTCGACGAGTTGCGTCGAATAGGCGACCTCTTCTCCGAAGCGTGCGATAGGTATGGGATTCGCTTGGAGGTGTCGCGTGGACTCGATCAGCACACGTCGTGTTTCTATGTCCCCACCTCTGTGGACCTATTGCTCAGTACGTGCACAAATTAGCTCTCCACCATGGTGCGTTCCTTACAGTCCTTTAGGGAAGTACCGACGCAGCGATGTCCTGTGCATTTAGTACATACGAAATGGATTCATCACAACATTCGAGTTCCGAAGTTGTATCAAGAGACGACGACGAGCTCCACCTAAGCCCGGATAGATGAAAATCAGAAACTACATCGTATCCCGTACGAAACCCAGAGTGCCCAACGACGACGCAAGCAGCTCCAACAGCCTCTCGCTTTTCTTCCGCTGTGTTTCCGCAAGCGTCTCGAGCTCGTTGCGCAGCTCCTCATTCGTCGTGAGCACGTCGCCGTGCATGCGGAGGAAGACATTCATGAAGGTCTGCACTGCCTCAAAGTCGCGATGAGAGAGCAGACGGCTTGTCAGTGCGCCGATGAACATCCGCAACGAATCCAGAGATACGAGAGAGCGCAGCTCGAGGTCCATTGCTGCCGGCGAGAGGGCCTTCGCATAGTTGAAGAATTCCTCGTCTGCAAGGCGTCGGTCAGCGTTCTTCTCTCCCTGTGACTGCATCTAGAGTCAGACATACAATCAGACGAGTGACTCTCATGCGCCTCCGCAAGCTTCTTGTGGAACACGCTCTCCGTCTCGCCCGCGGCCCTTTGCAGCCGCTTCGTCGGCTTCTTCGTCTCCTGCTGCGCCTTCTGCTGGTCCACCGCGAACCGCTGCTCGACCCCTGGCAGAGTGGGCAAGAAGAACGGAGCCTTCTCGGGCTGTTTCGGCGGCTCCTTGGGCTTGTTGCGCTGCTGGATGACCTCGAGGTTGAGGAGGGTCTGCCAGCGGGAGCGCGGGAGGAGGGTGAACGTAACAAGTTCCCCGTCCAGCTGAGGCGGGGTTGTGAAAACGTCCGCAGGCTTGTCTTCCACTGTGAGCGCAGAGAGAGCATCTAGGGCTGATATGACAAGGGTGAGAGGAGTCCGAGAGCGATTGAAGCGGGACGAATTGGCGAACGTACCTTCGTCTTCTGCCAATCCTTGCATAGAGGGCAGGGAGATGTCTGTGACGTCTTCCTCGACGATGCTCTGGAAGGGGACCTCGGAGTACTGTGCGCGGTTTGCCCTGGATAAGAGTAAGCCCGCTGTATGCGCATACGTGAGTATATAATAGACGTACCACAGGTATACGCCGACGCTATCCACGTGAGCCGTCGCGAGGAAGTCGTTTGTTGGCGAAAACGAGATGCTGGTGGCGACGCTCGACGTCCGGAAGGCATCGATGAGACGGCCGGTCGGCATGTCGAACGTGCGGATGATCGAATCAAGTGACGTTGTGACGAGCCATCTTGAGTCTGGCGAGAATGTTACGTCGAGGACGCGGCCGCGGAAGCCACCAAACTCCCGGACCACCCGCCGAGTCTCAATATCCACTACGCGCACGACGAGGTCGTCGCAGATGACTGCAAGCAGACCACTATCGCGGTGCAGGGTGATTGATACGGCGGCGGAGGGCAGGACAAGTGTGTGTTCCAGCGCTGCTGTGTGGAAGTCAAAGAACTATCCGAGACCCAAGAAGTCAGATGGCAAGGAGTGACTGCGTGGAGGTGGGAAAACGACTGACATTGATTGTGCCGTCGAGCGTGCTCGCCACGAGTGTCCGATCGAGAGCATCACTTGCAAGCCCGGTAACACACCGCTCCTCCTTCTTCTTGCCTGCCGCGGGACGGAACCGACTGGGAACGTTCGCAGGACAGGGCCCGATGTCGAATGTCCGTCGCAGAATTCCGGACTGCATGTTGTACATGTTGATGATCCCTGTCGAGGACGCGGTGATGCCAAAGTTGCCACATGCTGTTACGCATACAGCCTGACGGAATCCCGCTTAGTGGTTACGATGACACGACTGAAGACCGAGTACATACCTTGACGGAGCCAACAGTCCCGCCTTTCTTTTTCTCGGCAGCGACGTTAAAAACGTGTTTCCCTACTCGCTTATCCTTCATGGTCCACGTTCGTGCTACTGCCTCGTCGGTGTGAGCTGTCAGGATATCGTCCCAGTCCTTGGCGCGAGTCGCGGAGTATGACAGGGTAGTGACAGCAGGGAACTTGAGCGAGGCAATTGGGATAGACAGGTTAGTAGCCTTCTTCGCCAATGAACCTGTGGACGACATGTCAGCCTGTGAAACCCTGCGGTCTGTATGCTTGACCAAGCCGTTACCTTGGCTAAGCTCGAAACTCCTCGAGTCTCTCACGACACTCGTGCATCTCAAACTGCGGTCTCGTGAGGCTGTCAAGAGCTGCTTGCCATCCTCGCCATAGTACCGGATAAGATGCGGCGGCGCATGGTGCCCTGAGCGGAACTTCAGCAGACGTGGCGCCTCGGTTGGCGAGTCGAACAACCATTGCTGCGCAGCATGCAACATATCAGCGCTGCAAGCTGGTGCGGAACAAGACAGAGATATCACCTTGACACTGTTGTCCTCGCCAGAGCTAATGAGTACAGGCTGTCCTGGCACCCATTCAAGCGCGGTAACTGCCCCGTCATGGGCGCCACGAACGATGTGCAGGAGGCGTCCGCCAGAGTTGAGGTCCCACAGAGCGATGTGTCCAGTCGATGAGGCCGTTGCGAGGATGGGTTGGCTGTCTATGAGCCAGATAATAGATCATTACGGACGTCGTCTGCTGGTGCGAAAGCGTAACCTACCACTCCGGAAGGACATGGCGCGGATGCCGCCGTCCTGCATGACCATCCGCATGAGACGTTCGTCCGCGCGGATATCGTATACGGAGATCTCTCCTGAAGAGAAGCCAATACCGATGACGTCGATGGCTGGTGAGCGAGCGAGCGCCGTGATGGCGGTTGAGGTGGTCTTTGAAGGAGAGGTCAGGAGGCATGCGGCAGGGAATGTATGAATCAGTGTTCTGCCAGCGATATTGAGCGATCATTGGCGATAGAGGAACGAGATATGGGGGACCTACTGGGTGCGGATGTTCCATAGCTGCATGCTGCCTTCACTGCTGGCAACCAGAACCTTGTTCAGGTAGGTCGCTGGGTGGTGGATCATGATAGCGGTGAAGCCAGGCTCAAACTGTATGGTTGTTTGGAGCTCTGCAGGACGAACAGTCAGAAGAAGGTGCCGAAAAGTCCGGGAGTTGGGATGTACCTTCGCTTTCTGTGTCCCAAACTAGCATTCGATTACCATCGTCGGTCACGGCGAGAAGTTGCGGGCCGAAGACAAGTATATGTGTTAACGAGGTCTCAAGGGGATTCGTCAGGCGAGCAACCTGCAGCCATCATGAGCATAGATAGATAATGACATCCTGCATGATTGCCGCACTTCTTTTCCGCGGATGTATTTCATAACGTACAGACCCGAGGAGACCCATACAGCGTTGCCGTCCATAGCCATAGAAGCGATAGGCCCTGGAGCATCGGGACCTGTGGTATGACTTCGTATAAATATAACGGTGTCCCTCGCACATGTGGCATATGTATGTATTCATGAGTGAACATGGGGGGCACTCACCTACAAACAGTAGGCCCATTTTCCCTCCTTCCCATAACGCCCATGCCCTTCCTAAGCATGTAAGCAGATGGATCCGAGGTCCATCGGTCGCGCCCTTATGTGAGCGTGTTTGGAGCACAAATGGAACATTATTCGTGATAAGGCCGAGTGCGCGGAAGGGCGCGAAGAGACGGGGTCCCTGCTTGAAGTTTGGGGAGTGGGGTGCCTCAACACGAGCCCGTTTCCTTGGAGGAGGACTGGAGCGTGTTTCTTTCTTTGCGCCCATGGATGTGTGAGAGTAAAAACGAAGAGATGAAGGGAGCTGAAGATGTGAGTGTCGCCTTCGAGACTAGTAAACGATCTGGAAGCAGAGAGATTCCCTACACTGGCGCGGCGAGCTGCATGCAACGATCGCGTCCAAGAAAATTCGTGCTCGTGATCGTCTTCTCGGCTAGATTAGATAAGATGCCCTGGTACCACCTAGGCGCTTGCATGGAAATCAATCGCGAACCTGACCACTCCTCGGAGTGGCAAAATCTACTTACCTTAGGGACCACACACGACGGGCATTGGCCAATGCCCCGGACCCAAATCGGGACAAAGAAATGGACCGAGAATTGTACGCCTTTCCCGATCCTGGTCCCAAAGCCTAGCTCCGGACCCCAGCTGACCGGCGCTAAGCCCCCAAAAGGGATATTAGTGCTGACAAACTATATGATATCAGCGTGTTTGCTCCTTTTTTGGATGGTCGGGAGCGCCGATATCCTGTTTCTGGTATCAGAGCGCGGGCTGGCTCGGGTCCGGAACTAGGCTTTGGGACGTGACCGTGACGGGAGTACATTTCCAAGCCTGTCTCCGGTCCTGTTTGGGACCGCGGCATTGGCCAATGCCCGTCGTGCACAGTGGGTACAAGCAATAGAGCGTTTCAACCGGAAATCAACCCCGAAGATGGCTTGAATTGAATAATCGAGCAAAAAGATCCTTCGAACCGGGATCGAACCAGTGACCTTGAGATGCCCAAGTTTTCCAGTTACAGTCTCACGCTCTTCCAACTGAGCTATCGAAGGATATTGGGCATTCCCTCATAAAAGCTAAGACGACTATTCAGGTGATAGGCACTATGTACATCCTAATGACATTGCGAAGACCTTTGATGTGACGATCTGGGTTGTGAATCCATGCGAGAAGTATCTTCATGCGTATCTTGGTTGATTTGCTCGGTGGTGTCAGGGCCGGAAAGTGTCGCCGCCGCATGTTCGTTTGCTACGGCGTAGTTTGTTCCTGTGTACCAAAGGCCTCCGATCCTAATAACGACAAACAAGCTTCAGATCTCGATCTACCATTGCCATGAGGCACCAGACCTCACCGCACGGCGTCGTCTTAACGTCTGGTTTATCCCGCTGCCCACAGCCTTTCCTCTGGTCGATATCTCTACACACTGAACGATGGATGGCAGACAACCTGAGCCTGAAGCTCTCTCCCCCACCCTCGCCCTCGCTCCCGTTCTCACCCCTCAGCTGCAACTAGTAGCCGCTCTGCTACTTGCCGCGTTCCTTGTCGCCAGTCTGTCTACTTCTTGCTCATATTATGACCAGGCATTGATTCGGGTTTAGTCTCCGTCGTTCTTGTGCGGAGGAAGTCTACAAAGCGTGGAGATGCTGTGATACTCGTAGGTTGCTCCGACGCGGGCAAGACTACGATTCTGACTGCCGTGAGTCCTTGCCTGGCGTATCGACGCAAGCAGCGCTCACTCCCGGTTACAACGCTTAGCTGGCATATAGGCAGACCTTGCCAACTCATGCGTCCATGCAGACTAACGCGGCTCTTGTAGCCCTAGCGTCAAGTCACCAAACCATACGTGTCATCGACGTGCCTGGACACCCTCGCACTCGCGACCAGTTCCAAGAACACTTACCTAGTGCGAAGGCTATCGCGTTTGTTGTGGATGCGAGCACAATTTCGCGCAATGGGCCTGTCGTGGCGGAGTACGTGTTTCCCATTAATTGTGCATGTGTTGGTCCTTATTGTGCTACCGTGTAGGCACCTACACATGATTATGAACGCCTTGACATCCCTTCCTCCCTCGCGTGAGACTCCTTCCCTCACGATCCTCGCGCACAAGTGCGATCTCCTCAAGTCGACTGCAACCACTTCTGCCGAACAACTCGCTATCAACCGCGTGCGCACAATCCTGGAGCGCGAGCTGGAGAAGCGCAGAGCGTCCCAAGCGAACGGTGTGGGTGTGGAGAGCATGGGAGCGGAGGAGTCAGAATCTCAGATGGGTGGCTTGGAGTGCACAGGAAGTGGAGAGTTCAAGTTCTCTGAGTGGGAAGGGGGCGAGATCGGGTTCATTGGAACCTCGGTGTCGGTAGCTCATGCTGCTGATGAGAAGCACCGTGAAGTTGACGGATTGTCTCCCTTGTGCGAGTGGTTGGATCATGTAGCGTAGTCTGTTGGTACAGCCTAGTGGCTGCTGTTGTATCTTGCTCTACTAATTCTTCGTTCACATTAGAGTCCCTAGTCCGAGAGCCAGCATGATTCGTCATGTAGGACTAGGCACCAGGGACTATAACACTGCCGTCGGTATGAAAGAGAACAGCTACTCAACCCCCTACTGCGCAACCTGAACATTTTATCAATACTAGATAGGATCGGGTCAACATATTTTTTGCAAATGAGGTCAGATACTCTTAAAGTCTGCGACTCTAGAGCCGATACGCGATCCCACAGTAACCAACAAAGATGATAGCGTCGTCTTCTCCACTCTCAGTGGCAGCTGCACGTCTTAACGTCGGGCTTCTTGCCGAAAGGGCACGAGCCGGCTAGAAGGCAAAAGTTAAGGGAATCAGTGTACTTTCGATTGAACCAATCATTTCGTGAAAACTCACGCTGGCCGAAGGGGAAGATGTCGACGTTCGGTGCACCAAATAAGCCGGGGTCGACACCGTCCAGCTGGCTGTGCGAAAGGCCCCTGAGCTCCGCATTCTTGGGCGCACGCTGGCAGAACGGCGTGCTGGGCACGACGCCGTTGATGTTGAGCGCGTTGCGCGGGTGCGTCGCGTACTTTGTCGCGTATGCGACCAGGGCAGACTTGTTCTTGATGCCCTTGCTCTTGGCGAAGTCGACCATGGCGTCCGCGACCGCTTGCTGCTCACACGGGTCCGCGTTCGCGAGGAGGACATTGATGCCGCGGATCCCTGCGAGCTGGACGCATGGATCGTTGGTGTGGACATCGCCGCCGGACTTGAGGCAGAGGTTCTGCCACTCCTGAGCGAGCGTGCCAAGGTCGGTTTGAGCGATGCGGCGGACGAGGGGAGCATCTTCAGAGCGCTCAGAGAGGCCATCACGCTTCTTGGCCTTGCATGCTGCAGGGGCATGTACAGAGCGACTGTCATGAAGAAATGCATGAGTTCCATTGTGAGCTAGAAGGGAAAGCAGTCTGGACTCACGAGTCGAACTCATGGAACTCCCGGCCGAAAAGTCCACCGGCACCGGTGCTGCGAATACGGGCCTCAGCATCAGCCTGGGTGTCGCAGACAAGGCTACAATGAACATTGTGAGGCTCCGAGGATGCTGGTGATATGTGACTGAAAATATTTTACCTAGTTCCAGGAGAGAGGACCAAAGGAAGGGCGAAGCACTTCAAGCCAACGTTGCAAGGCGTGAGGACAAACTTGCCATTCGCGCACTGGGCGAACTCGCCGTCAACACACGCGTTCTCGTCGGACTTGCAGGAAGAATTCTTGGTCAACCCCTTGAACTTGCGGTTCAAGGCCTGAGCCTCCTTGCCGTTCGATAGCGTGAACGACGCACGGCTGACAAACTGGATCAGCAGAAAGTTACCGAAATACAAGCAAACTACACTCACGTCTCGAGGTCACGTCCCTTGATACCGCCCGTGGCACCAGTGCGCTGAATACGGGCAGCAGCGTCAGCCTCGGTTGTGCAGGTGACGCTGGTTCCAGGACTGTTAACCAGGGGAAGCGCGAAGCACTGGGTGCCCCCACCGCACGGCGTCTGCACGAATATGCCATGGTCGCACTTCGCGAAGACGCCATGGATGCAGGCCACCTCGCCGCCTGAGCACTTCGAGTCCGCGCTCAGCGACGCGAACTTGGAATTGAGCTTCTGGGCTTCCTTGCCGTTCGAGAGCGTAAACGACGCGCGCTTCTCTGCGACGGGGCCGGCAGCAACAAAGCTGGCGAGGGCTAAGGGAAGGAGGACGATGCTAGCGAAACGCATGGCGTTCGTGTCGTGAAGTGTACCGTGAGCGAAGAATCAAAAGGAAGGTGAAGGACCGAACGAGAATGACCACCAGGGGACGACCAAGCACAAAGTTCGTTAGCTGAGGGGCGACCGGGCTCCTGAGGTCCATCAACAACCGACACGGCGTTTTGTAGTAAGTCCGGTACATCAGGATGGACCGCCTCCGTGTTGTGGTCTCGCTGGTCTGGCAGTAAACACAGCATCGGTTTTGATGCTGCCCTGGCTGACAATAAACCAGAACGCTTTGAAGCCTAGGGAGTTACGATGAGCTGAATATCAGGGCCGAACTCGTGTTCCACTCACCGCATTTGCACCTTAAGTTGGCATCCTTGGGCAACTGACATCAGCGGTGGCGATTTTTCCGGACACAACACAAAGAGCCAGAAGGAGACATGTGGACGCTGCTGGTCGGATCGCTGCCGCAGGCTTTGTGCTGTCATGGTGGCTAGCTCCCACAGTTATCCGGAGGCATAATGCATTCCGACTCTATTCGGACAAGCATCTTGGTGAGCGAGAAGACGTGCGTAGGCCGAAAATGTCAGGCATTTCAGAGGCCGAGGTACTGATCACGGTGTCGTTCCCCTTCACTCGCTCGAGGGTGGTCGGACGTGTGTCAGACTACGAACCCCTTGGAGGCAGTGTCAGAGGATACATAGGGCGCTGGAACCAGTGACGTCAGACATGCTAAGCCCAGGACTCGCAGATAGCTTGAGCAGGGGATGATCTACAAATGTTGAGTCGAGCGTTAAGTTCAGTACTGTGGTGCATGAACCTATAATCAATCCGACTTGTCCGGAATCCCATACCGTCGGACATGCGGTGCATGGCAAGAGCTGGCCAGATGCTCTGTCACGGTCATGTGCAACGGAGTGGAATCAATGTACACGCTTCGTATATATGCAACCATTTCAGGAGGTCGAGGAAAGACAACTTGAAGCAGCAGCTGGAGCTGAAGCGCTGACGTTACGGTTAACGCGGAGGGCCCTGACACGGGCGTCTCTTAGGTAGCTCCAAATACATGCAAACATAGCAAGTTTATAGGGAGCTCTCAATGCCCGGCAGACCTCACGCAACCTTTTAGACAGTGCCTGTCCCTTCGACACTCAACACAGAGGACATGGCGATTCGGTATTGCGGAGAGTACATCCGTAGGAGGGGGAGGACAAAGAGCTCACCCACCCATCTTTGATGTCGTGGTGAAGTGAGTGTCAGAACCTCCCCACATGCTTTTATGTACCTCCCTTGTGTCTTGTACATTACGGAGCCTCCTCGTCGAGTCTGCGCAGTAATGAGATATTTGTCCTTGTATGAAATTTTCTGCGATTTCGAGTGCAGATGTGTCGAGAGGATGTATCCCTTCACGAAGGCCCAACGTATCGGCCTGCTTCCTGCCTGGCTATACCTAGACTCACCCCATCGTTGTTCTCACCCGCCCTGAGAGTTCGTCAGTTCGCGTTAGACAAACGCGTTTTGTTGAGCGTGATGAGCGGACAGAGATGATGGTTCTCATGTGTTTCTGGACTGCTCTCGACAAAGTCACAAGTGCGCCGCTGAGAACACGGCGTCTACGACCACGTCACTGTACGAGCACGCGTCAGGAACCCTCGTTCAGCCACTTTCCTCTCACCGCATTCCCCTCGTCCTACGCCCCTCCTGTTCGACACCATGTTCATTATCAACTGGTTCTGGGACGTCCTTGCTCAGCTTGGTACGTTGCGCAACCCACCCTCTCCCAAAGACCACAGAATTTAATCAACCTTCCGAAGGACTGCTGCATAAGAACGCCAAGATCCTCTTCCTTGGGCTCGACAATGCTGGCAAGACCGTGCGTCTCAACAACACACAGTTTGTGTAGCTTCTTGACTAAGAGGGAATCTTCACAGACTCTCCTGCATATGCTGAAGAATGATCGGCTCGCGACGCTTCAACCTACACTCCACCCTAGTGAGTGCGGACGTCGTCGTGCACCTTTTTCACGCATTGAGCCCTGCCGTAGCCTCCGAGGAGCTCGCCATTGGAAACGTGAAATTCACAACGTACGACTTGGGTGGTCACCAGCAGGGTACGTCGCATGCCCATTTGTTCGTCCGACGACCATTCGCCCTGAGCCTTCACACGACTACCAGCGCGTCGCCTCTGGCGTGACTACTTCCCGGAGGTCGATGGCATTATCTTCTTGGTAGACAGTGCCGACTTCGAGCGTTTCTCTGAGTCGAAGGCGGAGCTCGATGCCCTCCTCTCAATCGAAGAGCTTTCGAAGGTTCCGTTCCTTATCCTCGGTAACAAGATCGACGCGCCCGGCGCGGTGAGCGAGGACGAGCTGCGGCATCAGCTAGGCCTCTATCAGACCACTGGCAAGGTGCTTAGTTGAAGCGTTCTGTCACGAGCTCGGGCCTCTAACTCTTCTCATTCTGGTGACAGGGCAAGGTCCCTCTCAACGACATCCGCCCCATTGAGATCTTCATGTGCTCAGTTGTGCAGCGGCAGGGCTATGGCGAGGGCTTCAGGTGGCTCTCACAATACGTGCGTCTTCATATTGTTATCATGTCTACCCATGGTTTGGTGTTGAACATGACGTACGGCACAACAGATCTGAGCGACGGTTTCCATCGGGGGACACCTTCTCGTCATTAGCAGTCCTTGGCTAAAGTATCACTCGTAGTCATTATCACGACGTAGACCTATGTGTCTCGCGACTAGTCTTGACTTCCTAGCTATTTTCTTCTGTTGTGGAATGTTATATGTTTCCTTCCTTACCCTCTACGGAATTCTAGCAGCCGTTCGCGTGTCGTGATCATGTCTCAGGCATTGTATGCTGCTTTTATGCCTCTTGTAGTGTCAAGGAATTGCGCATGGCCGCGCCAGACCCTGGGTAGCATAAATCTCCATGTGAGAACGTCGGTACATACCATTGGAAGAGAGTCTCGTGTTGCGCGCCCGACGCGCTTGTCGCGTCATGCGCGATGTCCCTATACTCTGACCATATCCTTCGACATGTGCCGTCATTCTCCCGCATACTAGTAGCATCATCCATCTTACGCATCGCGCTCATCATCTACAGCGAGTGGCATGATGCCCACTCCATTGTGAAATACACCGACGTCGACTACCGCGTATTCAGTGATGCTGCTCGTTTCATGCTGCATCCGTCCCCGGACAATCGTGCGGAGGGCCCATTAGCAGCGTACTTCAACTTCGGAAGGTGAGCAGCCATGTTGCATGGACACGTTATGAATCTGAATGCGCATGCATGTCGCAAGTCCATATACGCGCGCAACGTACCGCTACACTCCGTTGCTCGCTGTCCTACTCGCTCCGAACGAATGGGTGCACCCATCCTTTGGGAAGTTCTTGTTCGCGGCCGCGGATATAGTTGCGGGAGTGCTCATGCACAACCTGCTTCTCTCCATCGTCCTCCCTGATGGATCGCGCATCCCACAAAAGAATGTGACCGAGAATGCCAGCTCTGGTGCAGCGGACGCGAAGAACCGTGAAGAAGCACTACGGCGACGAGCAACTTTCCTAGTCTCCCTACATCTCCTGAATCCTCTCGTCTTCACCATATCCACGCGTGGCTCTTCGGAGTCTGTATTGTCGCTTTTCGTCCTCGCTACGTTGTACTATGCTCTCAAGGGCAACTGGGATCTCTCCGCCGTTCTCTTGGGACTGTCGACACACTGGAAAATATACCCGTTCATTTACGGCGTCGCGTGTCTAGGAGTAATAGGGAGGGAACATGGGGCAGGGGGAGGCTTGACCGGTTACTTGCGGTCGATCTTGAACAGAGGTACGGCCAGGTTTGGGCTGATCAGTGGAATGACCTTCCTGGCGTGTGGTGTTGCAATGTACGCCATGTGAGTATCACACAGCTTCTACTGTCCCTTTAAGTGCTCATCGAAGCCCCCGACAGCTGGGGGCAGCCGTTTCTTGAGGAGTCTTACCTGTACCATCTCCATCGGCTCGATCACCGACACAACTTCTCGCCCTACTTCTACCTGGTGTATCTCACATATCCATCTGCGCAAGACGAGCTGTCGCTGGAGGCCTCGGGCTGGAAGCGTCTCCTACGATCTCCGCTGACGAGCTTCATCCCGCAAATGGTGCTCGCGCTTGGCACTGGCCTGCTGTTTGGTCGTCGGAAGGAAGACCTAGTCTTCACATGGACAGTGCAGACCTTCGTGTTCGTGGTGTTCAACAAGGTCTGCACATCGCAAGTGAGTCTGTCAAACATTCAATAGCAGTCTTCGCCCTGATGCATGATGTTACAACCATCAGTACTTCTTGTGGTATACATTGTTCCTCCCCCTACTGCTACCTCGGCTCTCGATGTCAGGCCGTCGCGCACTTGCGTATGGTGCAGTTTGGATTGGGACGCAAGCGCTATGGCTGAGCGAGGCTTACAAGCTCGAGTTCTTGGGCCAGAACGTCTTCTTTGGGTTGTGGGCCAGGGGGTTAGTCTATGTTGTGGGCAATTGTTGGGTGCTTGCAGGGATCATGGACTCGTACACCGAATCATAACAACTACGAACATGGGTTTGGGATTACTGCTTCGACGGCAATGCAACTTGAATGCGAGGGATATCGTACAACGCTCGATGGACTACTCAACAGAACTGTTTCCCCAGGTATATCACAAGCATCTCGATAGTCAAAGACTCAACCATGCAGGAGCTTCGTGTCAATCAGGTCCTTCGTAAAGGACTCTGCTCCCTCTCGTACTTCAATCACTTTGCTCACATCAGCCTATGCGAAGGAGCAATGTCAGCCCGAGAAGAGAAGGGACGTGGGATACGCACCGTAGTCTGGAAGGACACGAACGCGCTGGCGTGTAGGGTCAAGAGACTCATTTCACTTGACCTCGGCGCCCAGTTGATGAGCACGAGAGGGAAGCTCTTGCGTCCATCTGAGTGATTGAGCTCGTACGAGAGCAAAACGTATCGCGGGGCATTCTCGGGAAGCTCTAGAGGCGTGCATGGAGGGGTCCGCGTCACATACAGTGGGCGAAGGAGGTCGTGAGGGCAAACGATCTAGCACGATGACCGAGGATAGAGGCGCAGCATCTGCTCACCCTCTGCGAGGTCGTCGATGCTAATGTCATCGAACTGCTCCACCTCTTCCATGATCAGCTTCTGTTTGTTGATCTTGACGACCATCGCGGCGTGACCAGCATTCCGCCTGGCGAATCTGAACTTGCGGAGGGCCGCCTTGAGCTCCTGCGGAATGTCGACGGTATGGGACTACCGGGTGGCGATAGTGGGAGCATCAGGTACATGGTCACAAAGCATTTTTTGAGCCCAAATCGTATGTCAATCCAAGAGAAGAACAGACCATAATGACGGCTTGGATTGCAAGTACTGTTGTTGGTGCCTTCGCGGTCGCTGCTCTGAGGACACTGCAGGCCGGCGGCATTGCGCCGGAGGCCAAGCTCGCAAGCTACACGGACACGGACTATCTGATAAGATGTGATAAAGGATGGTGTATCTGATTAGATTCAATTAATCGGCCATTCTGATTGGCTAGATACCCTCGAGTGCACATCTTGGCGCCAGTGATCGTGTGTCCGCCTGCGAAATGCAGTTCTGCTCAGAAGCAACGGCGATGCGCCCTGAAAGGATGGTTTCGTTTGCAGTAATGAACGTTTCCCTTGCCCATACGGTGTCTGGTCTTGACTATCATGTCCTCAGTCAGTGCGCCGTTGCTCCCAGGAGAAGCCGCGAGTGAAGGTGACCAGTCGTCCTCACTGGATTCGTGTGTAATATAGTACTCATCCCGCATCATGCAGCCACGCCTAATCATGCCGCGACTGCATATGCGACTGCAGAAGAGACCGAGCATGCAGAGACTCCGTCTAGGAAGGAGTGGATAAAGCCATCCCCTGCGTGGTATGTCACCTGCACTCCTTAACCTTTCCCAGCCGAATGTCACGCCAATTTGTGCAGGATACTGACACTGGTCGCGGTGGCGGCCGTCTCGACTTCGGGAACCGTGGCTCCCCGCGTTGAGATATATACTATGACAATATGTCGCGCACTCGGCCATGCAACTGACGGATCGGGCACTTGTCATACGTTGCCAGACGTACAGGCTGCAGCTGCAGCTTTCATTGCAGTCGTCTCGGGGTTGACCGGCCTTCTGTCCACGCTCACCGCTGCATGGTGGGGTGCTGTACGTAGGGTCGTGCGTGGGGTGCTTCAATCTCATACTGACTGTCCCATGTCTGCACGGCGACATGCAGCTATCAGATTGCTACGGCCGTATTGGCGTGCTAGGGTTCAATGTCGCGGGTCTCATGTTGTCAGACTTCGTGTTTCTGACCACCGCCCATTTCTGGGAAAGGCTGCCAGGGACATACTGGTGGTTTGCCCTGGGACCCGTCATCGAGGGTCTGGTAGGAGGTGTGTGATTCATGTACTCATGTGCCCAGCTGCCTATGTTCACCGTATACTTCCAGGGATCTCTGTAGCCTCTATCATCATGCATGCCTACATCTCCGATTGCTGTGATCCAACTCAGAGGTGAACCATTGCTTTCTTTAAACATTGGCATGGGGCTGATATGAGGGACAGGTCACGGGCCTTCTCGCAGCTTATGGGCCTCTTGTTTATCGGGATGAGCGTCGGACCCATCCTCACCGGCTACGTGATAGACAAGACCAACCAGATACTGCCTGTGTTCTACGTGACCACCATCATCGACACGGCGGTATCGCTTGCGGTGTGGTTGATAATGCCGGAGTCGTTGTCTTCCACAGACATGCAGGAACACCGCGCTCGAAGGAAGCAGCGCCTCCAGAGTTTGGGTCCTGGAATCGCAGGCTGGTTGAGGAGGGTTGTTACCACAGTAGATATTGTGTCGCCGCTCGCCGTATTGCTTCCGAGACGAGTCGACGATAGGAATGGCAAGCGATCCGTGGACTGGAGTATGACCGTCCTTGGTCTTGCGTACGGTTTTGGAACTTTCATCCAGGTAGGTGTCGCAGACATGACTACCAAGCCCCGGTCCGCTCTTGACATGATATTGCAGGGCTCTGTCGTCTTCCAAATTCAGTATGCGTGGATGATGTTTGACTGGACTGCTGGGGTGGTGAGGGCATTCACCGTCGTCCCAGCTCTGTTGGCTGACCAACGCGCAGGTCAGCTACTGGCTCGCAGCCATACACATCGCGAAAGCGGTGTACTTGACCCTTCTGTTCCCAGGTAGGGCGTTCCGCGAGTCTGAACCTTCTCCGTGCTTACATTCATGTCTGTGCAGCGCTTGTCAAGCTCCTTGCCTGGCTTTGGAAGCAGCGACAAGCTCCCAGCACTGAATCCGAGCCACTCCTTTCGGACCAAGGGGAATATGCGCCAACTCAATCTCGCAAGAAGGTCGCGCCCGCGGCCTCCCTTGATCTCCTCCTGGCTCGCGCAGCGGTGGTTACCGACCTCGTATTCTACGCGCTAGTGTTCAGCACGAGCTCCGGCGCGCTCTTCGCGCTCTTCACCATGTGCGTCTCCCTCGGCACCAGCTTCGGGCCGACGATGCAAAGCCTCGCGCTGGACCTCTACGCCCGTCGCGGACACCACGACACGGGCAGCCTGCTGGGCGCGCTGACCGTCGTCTCGGCACTCAGGTAAGCTCGCGCCTGTTGCCCGGAACGTGTGTCATGACCGGTTTGTCACGCAGCTCCCACATCCTCGCGCCCGCGCTGTTTGGGTTCACGCTTGCGCGGACGGTCGAGACGCTGCCGGGCGCGTTCTTCTTGGTGGGATGCGCTGCGCTGCTGGTGAGCTTGCTTCTGTTGATGGCCATCCGGCTGCGGACGGAGGAGGGCTCGGAGAGGGGGGTCGCAGATTCAATAGGGGAGGAACATGCGTGCGCGGAAGACTAGAATCGACCCTTGAAAGCTCGAGGACCGCAGCGATGTCGGCGCAGCCAGGAGGCGATTGTGATGCGTGCTCGCGATGGGATCTCGAGAGTTAGGTTCATGCACGTTTGTCTGACGAGTGAGATGTGACGGGCAGAACCGATAGGATGCAGTTTAGTGTCGAGCGCCACCACTTGTAACTTCATGCTATCATCTTCTGCAGAGGAACGTCTATAGCCTTCCGAGTGCTGGCCAGGCTACGACGACCGCAATCGCTCATTTCGGTGGCGTCAGTCTCCGCTGCCGACGCAATCAATAGATGTTACAGACATGGGGCGTCTCCGTTCGCAAATCCCGCTCGGTCTGGAAAGACCATCGTGCGCTTCGGCTGCTGCGGAGACATGGGCATTGCAGCGCACCTATAGCAAGGTTACCATGCGTTCCGGAAAGTGCGCGTCAACAGCGAGGTGGATTCGACAGCGTGGCATGCTTCCAGGGCCTCCTCGATCCAGGGACACACGGCAGGCCATCGCAATCGCACGGCACGCCGCTGTGAAAGTCACGAACGCTGAGGTCGATAGCTGTAATTATATACGCAATCGAATCGCCGTCCACCCAAACGCCTGCTCCACGCGTTATCTCCCCTCACTGTGGCCATCCAGCACCTTGAGCTACTCCTTCATACTGCGGCCGTGGTTCATATAAGTCTCTCTGCTTCCCCGCGAGCCTAGCTCGACCCTTCCGAGGCTTCCCCACCATTCCTGCGTCTCTCACGGACGATTTCGTCGAGTTTCGAATCTTGTACGTCGATCCGTGTCGTGTGCTCGCGCTCTCTGCTTACCGGTAGACTTCTAGTACATTGCGTGAAGGCTAGCCGCCGACACGACAGCGCGACGTCACCGTGACCGCACGGGCGCTGCATCCGGTATCCCGCTTCCTGTAAGTACTGGACAGACGATGTCTCGGTCCTCCTCGCGGGACGTTGCCGTCCCCCTCCTCCGCGCCGCCCTCGACCCCGACCGCTTATCGCGCTCGCGCTCGCGCCCTGGGTCGCGACCTCGTCACGCGCGGCACTCCACCGCCAACTCCATATCGTCCATCCCCGTCGGCCCAGAAGACCTCATCAACCCCGGCGGTGGCGGCCCGATAAGCGAGGAAGAGTCGGAGCTGCTGCAGGATCTCGTCCACAGACACCAGCATCAACATGCTGTCGAGGAAACGCTTGTCGAGGAAGAGTCTGGAGCGGGGAGCGGGGAGGAGGAGGAAGAGGAGTTCGATGACGAGTGGAGGCAGAAGCGGCCGTGGTACCGGCGGCCTTCGCCCGTATGGTGAGTGTTCCCTCGGGCATCGCTGTATGGGACATGCTCAGAAAGCGTCGCGGTCCACAGGTTCTTGTCGTATGTGCCTTTCGCAGCCATTGCGATGACAATTGCCGCGGCAGCGAAGATAGAGCTCTTCATCTACCTCGTGTGCCTCACCCACAGGCCGCAGGTCAACCCTGACCAAGGAAGCGATATTGTTTCCTTCATCGCCCGTAACGTCTCGGCCACGTTCCTCGACGGTGGGTGCCACTTCGTCTGACTGAGGTTACCCGATGTGAACGGCGTACCTGCAGAACCGAACCAGAGAGTCTGCAAATCCGACCCGACCGTCCAAGCCGCTGTTGCACAGCTGAACACAGTCATGACCACTACCATGGGTGTCCTCGCCTGCATGACCACCGCCTGGTGGGGCTCCGTAAGCTGCCTTCATCTCCGTCTGTACGAGAGTTGCCTGCTGACAGGGTCTTATGTTCTTGCAGTTGTCGGACCGCTACGGCCGCACGAGAGTTCTGGGCTGTGCGGTAATCGGCGTTTTGATCCAGGACGCCAGCTTCCTCGCCGCGTTTTGGTTTTATGACCACATTCCGGGAGGGTACTGGTCCCTGCTCATTGGCCCTCTTGTAGAAGGATGCTTGGGCGGTGCGTAGTTCGCCTCTGCTCGCTGCCTGCACCCTTCTCATTGTTTTCTATGACAGGCCAAGCACTCATTTCGGCCACGATTCACGCTTATATTGCCGATTGCACGCCGCCTGCGCGTCGTTCTGCTGTTTTCTCGTTGAACTTGGGCTTGCTGTTCACCGGCGTGGGTGTTGGTCCACTACTCGGCGGCCTGTTAATTCGGTTTACCGGCAAATTCATCATCGTCTTCTACATCTCAGCCATAATACACCTCATATATGCGCTGCTGGTATGGTTCATCGTCCCGGAGTCGCTCTCCAAGGCCGAATTGCAAGAGGCACGAAGCCGATACAAGGTCGCGAACGAGGAGTACTTCGCGGCACACGCGCACGGGGGCATCCTCGTGTTCTTCAAACGGATGTTCGCTTTCTTGACTCCTCTGGCCATCTTCCTGCCCACTCGCCTGGTCGGCGGGAACCCTGCGAAAGGGCAGCGCCGGGATTGGAGTCTGCTCTTCGTGGTCCTTGCGTACGCGTTTGTCATTTCTCTCATGGTGAGTCGAGTGCCTCTTGATCTGCTATAACAGGACACTGATGTATCCGCTTAGGGTTTGTACTTGTACATCATACAATACCTAGAGGGGAGCTATGGATGGGACACGGAGCAGGTCAGATGCCATTACGGCGAGCCTCATTCGGCATAACTAAACGCCTTTGCAGGTCGGGTACTGGTTCAGCTCTATCGGAGCGGCGCGAGCGCTCTTCTTGACGTTGCTCTTGCCTGGTGAGCGTTTTCACCCTTGTATGTCTAGGCATGTCTCATCATATCTGCATCCTCAGCGATCATCAAATTGCTCAAGCCCAAGGCCCCTCCTATACAGCTGTCACGTGAAGCGGACGAGCCCCTCACGAGCCCAACGGATGCGTCATTCCCTGCAGAGCAGTCGGGCAGTGCGTCCAAGCGCGAACACGAGCACGACCCCAAGTTCGACTTGAACGTCGCCAAGGTTTCTGTCATTGTGGAGGCTGTGGTTTACTTGTTGATGCTGCTGAGCCCGGACGGGCTGACGTTCGCCATCACCACGGCCTTCGGTGCGCTCGGCATGGGCTTCAGCCCTGCCATCCACAGCGTCGCGCTCACCCTGTACAACCGCCGCGGGGGCAAGGACTCCGGGCGGCTCTTCGGCGCCATGAGCGTCGTGCAGGCCCTTAGGTGCGTCCCCTACAGCTGCAGACGCGCGGTCGCGGCGACTGACGTGCGTGATGTTGCCTTTGCAGCTCGCAGGTCTTCGGTCCTGCCGTGTACGGCTTCACGTTTATGAAGACGGTCGGCACGTACCCCCGGACGATCTTCTTCATGGGGGTCTGTTCCTTGGTGGTATCTACCTTGCTGTTGCAACTGGTGCGTCTGCCGAAGAACAGGTCCGAATCGGGTGGCGAGGGTGCGGACGTCGAGGAGCAGCTCTCGGCGGAGCCGTTCGCGCCTGGGATCGAACGCGAGGACACCCTCGTTGGTCCATCCGAGCCGCTTATTATTGTCGAAGGGGAGGATAGGGGTCGAAAGGTCGTAAAGACTGTCCCCTAGATATTGCGATCTGTTAGCATATTTGGCGATACCCATCTATTGAGTTCTGTCTTCTCTTGCATGTATGGACACTCCGGTACTCTACTCATCCACGTCAGCCATTGTTGTTGCCTTCGTTTGTGAGGTTGTACACTTGGCGTTGTCATCTCTGTACTTGTAGACGTGTTTGTCCATTTCTGATCCTACACTACTGAATACAACAACTAGATGTCCATCTGAATCGTTGAGAAGCAGGTCAAACAGGCAACGGACTACGTGGGACGTGCGTAGATCGAGCGGTATCACAGAAGCCGGCAACAGCCTGTACGTCAAGGCAGCTGGGTATACCCGTCGCCATTCCTGCTCCTCCACCAACGCCACACCCCAATACTGAGAATGAAGTTTGCGATCCCGAGGGCGAGATGGCCGGCACCGAGCAAGGTCAGTAGCCACCAGGTGTATCCGATGATGCGGTCGAGGACGCGACCGCTGTACTTCTTCAGGTTGGCCCATGGGTCGGGAGTGGGGTGGTATCCTTCGGGCAGGCGGATGACAGGAACGGTGGTCGTTGTGGGCGCAGGTGGTGGGAGTAGTAGTACCGCGACGATAGGTTTCTAGGAGACGGGGTTAGCGGAGGCTCAATAGCCATAGGAGCGCGAGTGGAACCGTACGTGATCGGAAGTGGTATATGATGGCACAGTGGTATACAATACATTCGTGATGCTAGACTCTTGTGGAGTTTCCGGTGAATCCGAGTAAGTGGTGTACATGACACGGTCTGTCCATGCAGGAACTCGCTTGGAGCTAAAGAGATGCAACGCGAGGTGAGAACGGAGATCGCACCACGACGAACGAGGGTCGGTCCACATACTCGTATCTGTCAACCTCGCCGAGATGGTACTTGTAGCTACACTTGAACCTCCAGAACTCGCCTTCCCGGAAGCTCTGGAAGATCGTGCCCTTCATGTCACGCTCAATGACGAGCTGGTCATACTCTCTGAGAGCTGAGCGTCCATCGTCAGTAGACAGGGATGCCACCAGGTTCAGTTGCTGGTCCGCTGCGGCGAGGTCGTGGTCCGCAGGCAGGGACAGGCGGAAGTTGAGGTCCCCAAAGAAGAACAAGTGCGAGGTTGAGAATATGGTAGTGGGTGCCTTCGAGTCCGCACCAGGGAGCGGGGGAAAGAGCAGCGTGCTGACGATGTAATGATAGTCATGTATGCGGTGTGCGTTCTTGTGCGCGTGCGCGGTGAGGTGCGCGCAGACGAAGCTGCAGGCGGAGATGAGCACACGACCCCAGCGCACGGCCGGGCACGTACGTGTAGACCTCCCCAACACCGCCGTCTTCGCCGGGGACACGAAAGCGTACGCCCACCGCGCCCTTGTTGCCCATATGCGCGGGCCCGCAGCCCGTCCACTGCGTCTGCACGTCGACCGCCTTCCTCCCAATCCCGTTGTCCAGCCCGTATACGAGGAGCGCGACGCCGACGTTCACGACCTTCGCGATGAGCGTGTACCGCTCCTTGTTTGGCGCATGCTCTTCAATCTGCGAGAGGACGAGCGCGTTGCGGCTTTCTATCACTGGCTTGGACAGGCCAGCCACTAATGCGACGACATAGCGTTGAGTTGACACGCCCATCGTCGAAAGTAATATGATTATCACGGAAACTCACAGCCAAGATGAAGGGGCAGCAGCTCCTGAAAGCCGACTGCAACGATATCCGGGGCGCGGCGCTCGCGCGCGAGGAACGACGAGACCTGGAGGGTGGGCGCGAGCCAGTCGACGAGGTCCTGCGGTAGGCCGCGCTCGGCCTGCAGGTTCGTGTTGTATGAGGCGATCTGAACGAGGGGACGGGAGGGGTCGGTAGACATGATTCACAGCGAGCTAGCAGTGCATAGAGTACAAGTGCTAGTACTTAACGAAAGGAGAGGTTGGCGGAGCTGGTGCCGTCATGCAGGTGGCTTTGGCGGGACGGTCGCGGGCACCCCCGCTGCGCGCCTCGCTTCATTTGGCAAGCATCGTGGTTCGGGCTGTCTAGGTGCGCCTGTTCCATACCACATAACAAGGCGTGTCAGCCGCCGCAAGCTCCACTACGACGGACAAGTGCGCAGATGGAACATCGCAGGCCGCCTAGGGACACTCTGCCGAGAAACGAGACTGGATATGGTCGCAGGTGCGGAGGTGCTGGGCAATAGAACTGCTTGCTAATGCATTACAGTGAAGTTACTATTCAGAGTCCGAGTCCGAGTCCGAGCCCCATGTATCTACAAGTGTGTCCTTTCGATGTTTTAAGCACAGCTGCACGTCGTGGGATCAGGTGTCTGGCCGAACGGACAAGTGCCATCTGCGTCACGGGATGTGATCAGTCATGAACCATATCTCATTGAGAGGCAGAGGATAGGCCACTAACCCGCTCCGAAAGCGAACAGCCCAAGCTGAGAGCTGCCAAAGATGAAGGGGTCGACCTCAGGGAGCTGCGCGTTCACCAAGCCCTGGAGCTCAGCGTTCCGCGGGGCGCGCTGGCAGTACGGGTTTGAAGGAAGGACGCCGTTGATGTTGACCGCGTTGCGCGCATGCTGCCTGTACGCGACTGCGTTCGCGATGAGCGCGACAGAGTTCGTCACCCCAGGGGAGTTTGCGAAGTCTATCATGGCGTCAGCGTTGTCCTGCTGGGCGCACGGGTCTGCGTCGGCCTGAAGGGCGTTGATGCCGTTGACACCTGCGAGCTGGACGCACGGCTCGTTGGTGTAGATGTCACCGCCACTTGCGAGCTATATGTACGTTAGTGTGATGTTGGCTAGCACTGGTGATCGAGAGGGACGTACGCAAAGGTCTTGCCATGACTGAGCGAGGGCAAGAATGTCGTCTTGCGCGATGCGTCTTACGAGAGTCGAGTCGGTCGCTGACCCATCGGTGGGGGTTGCCGACGCGATTGAATCCGCTGTCGATGTGGGCACATCAGTTGCGACGGACGCGTCGCTGGCGATGGAAGTTGCGTTGGATGACGAAGACGAACCCGACGCGCTAGCAGTTGCCGTAGCGTCGGCCGCAGACGAGGATGCTGACGCACTATCAGTCGCCGTGGCGTCTGCCCCGGACGATGTGACAGAGGCAATATCCGTCGCCGTCGCGTTGGCCACAGACGACGATGCCGGAGCGACCGCCGTCGAAGTTGAGTTGTCGAACGACGACGACACGGCAGTCGCTGAGGCATCGGACGCAGTGTCCGTGATGGAGAATGTGGCACTGCTGGTGGGGGCTGCAGCGGAAGTGACGACGCCGGAAGGAAGGGCGAGGCAGGCGGACGGGACAGCTGGGACGTCAAACGAGATGCCCGTGGATGTCGGCGCCGCCGCACTGTCAGTGGATGTGTCTGTTGGCGCCGCTGAAGTGTCAGTAGATGTGTCGGTGGATGTCGACGCTGGGTCAGACGAGCTGTCTGTAGCCGTGGGGAGTGCAGAAGAGTTCGTGGCAGAAGCGTCTACACCGGGGTCTGTGGGACTTGCGGAAGAGTCTGTGGCCAACGCGTCCGCGGATGGATCTGTAGCAGTGACTGTGGCTGAGCCAGAATCGGTGGGCGCCGAGGAATCGGTCGCATCTGTGGATGCAGCAGGGTCGGTAGGCGTGGTAGCAGAAGAGTCGATTATTGTAGATGAGGGAGCGAATGTGGTATCTGCGATCGAAGAGGCGATCGCGGACGATGGTGCGGCGGCGCCGTCTACAGTCGTGGACAAAGATGCATCAGCACTACTTGGAGCACTGGAGGGGATACCATTTAGCGGAATGAACTTGGTACGAGCGCAGACATGACAAACCTGGGGAGCGGAAGAGCGTGAGCGGACAGGGCTAGAGCCACGATAGCAAGAAAAGTCGAGACACGCATTGTGAAGAGGAAGTAAAGAGAATGCCGATGAAAACGTAAAAGAGACAATCAAAGAAGAAGAGGGAAAAAATGGACACAGGAGCTCCCGGCTCGAAACGCGACTATCTGAGAACTCCTGTGAGGATGGCCTTTATACTGGGGACCGACTCCTGCAAACTTATGCACCCGGTCGCACAAATTCCTGCAGTAGACAGCCAGCGAGACCCGATGATGGCATATCTGCCAGCAGGACGAGCAATCGTCTGTTAATGTTGCACAGCTCCTACGAAAACAGGGCTTGGGCTTGTAGCGTCAATGCCAGCGCCGGCGCAGCATATCTGACCAAATCGCCGTGGCTGTCGTTCACGTTCGGGACCGTTCGACCTTCTCTTCCTCGACACGCTGGGACATTGCTTCCGGCTGTTAGAATGTCAATAACATACGACATATGCCGACATAGGACACTGTATAAGTGCTCAAACACGTCTTCTGACGTACCTCGATGAACGGCAGCCACAGCCCCAGTCACGCCAGACGTTGAGCGGAGACAACTACAAGTTTATAATCTATTCCCTAGGAACGAATGGGTCGCTAACACGCGAAGAAGGAGCTTCGATCACGGGCGGGAGCGCCTTCGCCAGCTCCTTCGTGCCAGCGGGGAAGGGAAGGTCGACTAGACCTCTGGGAAGGACCTTGTCAACATTGCCCTTCGCATGGTTGTGTTGTGCGAGCTGCGTCATCTTCTTCTTGGCGTCGCGTATCATAATATGCGCGTCGTCCACCCCTGGAACGCACCCGCGCACGAAGATGAGGTCGAGTTCAGAGTCGACGCGGACGACAGCGAGGTTTTGCGTCGTGGTGCGCTCGCCGCCCAGACGTCCGGCCATCTTCTTGCCGGGCCAGACACGGCCGGGGTCCTGAGTGACGGGACAGAAGTATGTCAGACGGGCGCGCGAACAAGCAAGTTGGATAGACGTACTTGATGGGCCCCAATGGCACCTGCCGCGCGGTGTGAGACGGACACACCATGACTCGCGCGCAGACCCTTGAAGTTCCACCGCTTCATGGTACCCTGGAAGCCTTTGCCAATCCTACCGCCCGATGTCAAGAGCCGAGAAGGAGCAGTAAAACACGAGTTACGTACGACTTCGCAATCACATCCACATACTGGCCGGGAACAAAGTGGATGGCAGAGAATGTGGTCCCTGTGTTCGTCCGTCGCAACACATCCACTTGGCGATGCATAGGAGCATCACTCACCAACTGGTACATGAGCGTCCGGTGTTACTGGGAACTCCTTGACGATACGTTTTGGGGGTACACCAGCTCTATCGAAGTGGCCCAGCATCTGCTTCGTCACGTTCTTCGCTGGCCTGTCCGACGCAGCAACCTGAACAGCATGATACTCGGACTGGTCCTCTCGGACTGTCCGGACGTTTGCAGTGACTTGACAGTTCTCCAGCTGCACTATTGCTGTTGGCCTCATCACAGTAGTGCGAGATCAAATGCAACGCACCTGAAGGACCGTAACAGGGTATCGCACCCCATAGCTATCCCACATCACAGTCATGCCCCGCTTGCGCGCAATGAGCCCCGTTCGAACTGACTTAGGTGTCCATTTGCTAACAGCGGCTGTCGAGGACTCGGCCTCAGCGACCGCATTGTTCACGGCCGTGATATGGAGTGCCCTACATCGAGGAAGGGCGGAACGAGTGCCGAGGGACCATAGTCTGAGCATGGCGGAGGGAGTGAACGGTGGCAGCGTCGGGCGGAAACGCGTCTGCATTTTGCGACGCGGCGCGTCCGCCCGGACCTCGGACACCCGGCTTCCTCTCGCCCCTCCAGGTCCTCTGTTACGTTGCGGAACACCTGCCCCCCTCGCAACTGTTTGAGTATTGCCTTTCGCTAGTCAAATGGAATGGATGTTTGGCCTGGGAACTGCCACGAGCAAGCTGGGACTGCTCTGGAGAAGAAGGGAAAGGGAAAGGCTAAAGACAAGCGGGTAGAAGAGCCTTGGCGCTACCCATCCCTAGACCATGGCACTATCGGTGCGGCGTCCTTGAGGAAGGCGCATTATAAGTCTAGAAAACACTACTCTTGGACTTTTGCAGCTGAGGCTAGTTTTGGTATATTTCTCCCTTCCAATATTTTGGATGGAAGCTAACGAAACGTGCAGAGTTCAAGCTTGTTCCCTCGGATGCCCCCCACGAGGTCTTTCCCCCGACGCGGCCTAAACCCCTGCATGCTCCTAAACTTACATTACCCCAGCGAGCAGAACAAGGCGTCCGTACCTTCATGTCATCTGTACGCGTCTCGTTACAGTGTACTCATAGCTTATGCATGTAGGCACAATTCCTCCGCACATACTACCCGGATGTAGAAATCCCAGGATGGCTGATTAGAGACGAGATCACTGACGACGCGCGTATCAACTGGGCTTTCAAGCAACACGATCCATTTGCGGGGAACATGGTCGATGTGACTTCGTTCCACGTTGCTAAGAAGGCCTATGCCTACCTCACGTTTCCAATGGGAGAGACCCGCTGCCAACTGAGTAGGTAGCAGCAGGCAGAAGGTTGGCCCATGGGAGCAATCACTAATGCTGCTTTGCTAGACATGTCGCCTCTCGTCGTGCACTCCAAGACGAAAGTGGAGCTCAAGGCTACGGCCACGCCTATCCATACCTTCGACACTCCTATCCAGCAAATTCTGGCCTCACCTCATACGGATGAGGTTGGAAAGAGTAAGACAGGTGGGCAATCTGGCTAAACGCTGTAACCTGTGTCGCTGCTTATTCCATATCGAGCTGTTAGCTCCTATGCTTGGTGTTAGGACCATGGGTCACGTTACGTTCATGCGAGTCAAAGTTGCACGGACAACACATACCATCGAAATAGAACCTCTGATCACTGTGCAACGAGCGGACATTGGCGACAGACGGGCTGTCGACTTGACCTTCTTCCCGTTGAACACTGCCGTTGGCTATGTTGCTAACGAAGTGGGCAGTGTCTTCCGTTGCCGTGCATCGGAGTCCAGCACTATCGTGTACGTAAATGAATGCCTTACTAAGGGACGGTCGCTCACTCTGTTCACCACAGAGAACAAGTACGCATAGCGGATTCTTCGCAACCAGTGTTTTGCCGCATAGCTGCCCACGAGACTCGAGAGAAAGTTGCCGCCATTTTGGACGCCAAGGCAGCCATGCTTGACTTGCGGGCAAGTCTGAGCCGATGGGCCTACGGATATCCCTTGATACTGACTAACATGTCCTTAGGCGGGAAAGCAATCATACGATCTCTTCATTGCGCCTAGGCCGGGGGTCAAGTTGACGTCAATTGAGATGCCAAGCGATGAAGACCATACGGTGCGATTAGCCTCAACCGACGAGATACTGTGGCTGGATGAGCGGTACACGCAAAGGCCATTGTTTGCAGTGAAGCACGGAAGGGAGTTCGACCTCACTCTTCGCACACAAACGCATGACTTGACACATTGTGAGTCCATATCGTCCGTCTTTGGCGAAAGTAGTACAACCAACTCTTCGCAGCGCCTCTCACATTCCTCACGTCACGACGGAATTCGTTGGTAACGGTTTACGACGTATCCCGAGACAGCGAGAATCTGGTGCACATGTATGGTTCTCCTTACGCACTGCCGCCTCTCGTCCGGCCGGATGGCCCACATTCCGGCTTCGCGTTCTACCAGCAGCCCAGCCTAGTAGGAAGCAAACACATCAGTCTTATACAGCTTTCTGAACGTGGAGGACTCTCACTCCTCAACCTCGACCATATATCCGCGGACGCTACTCCTCCAGAAACATCCATTGAACATTTGCGATATCAATGGACACCGGAGGTGCACGAGTTAGGCAAGGAGGCAGATGCTAAGCGTATTGAAGGAGGACCGCTTGCCGGCAGAGTGCATAGTGTTGTTGACATGCGGCCTGCTTATCAAAGTAGTAACATGTTGCATCTGCGCATGTGGAGCCATACTAACGAAGATTGTAGGACTGTTCATGATTCGGAAAGACAAGAGCCTGACAATGCAAAGCAACGCCGTTAACGATACGTTGGAGCAGATGCCGAGATATTGGCAAGATCCCGGTGCTCCAACTGAACATGTCTTGACGACGTCTGTTCATACTCTTGCTTCGTCTATTTGTTATTCCGATTGATGTTTTCCGCCTCTAGGTTCGACATCGCGATACGTGCTGGCGATGAACCGACGGACGTGTCAAGGAACGACTGGTTCACTGGCAGTTCGCTTGACTCTGCGGCAGGATATCGCGCGCTTCAGAGAGGACGCATCCCTAAAGAGCAGCTAGCACGGGGCGCGCCGTGGCATTTGGAAATTTCACCTTTCATCCGCCGCAAAGTCCCTGAGTTCGACAAGGACCCCCAAACGACGATGGAGAATCTTGCCCGTTACGACATTGCAGACGATCCTCGACGTCCGGCGGAATCCTATCGCAGGGAAACAGAAGCTCGGTCTCAGCTCGCACTCGATCTATCGCTAGCTTGTGACGTTTATTCGACAAATCGGCCTAGCAAGCATGTGTTGGCGCCGTCCAACGGGTCGGCAAACTTGGACGATGATATGCTCAGTATCTCACTATCGACACAGGCAATGTCGCTCGGAGAACTGGAGCCACCTCCAGTGCAGTTCGGCTTCCTCCGTCCTATTCGGAAAGTCCCTCAATGGGATGATAGCAAAGATGCCGATGGCGAAGCCAGACACGAGAACGAGGGAATTGCGAGGCTAGGCACTCCCCTTGGAGTGCGTCTTCTGCTGCAAGAGTGGGAAGTGGGGACAGATCCCTACGAGTACGTCTATCGCGACCCGTACGACGACTCAGCCGCAGAACCCGCGACAGCACCTCGGCGGCTAGCGAAGGAGCCCGCCGGAAAGGAACCGCCGGAGCAGAGCAGGGTTCCACCGCAGGTTCATACCCAACGACCGCCCGCGGTAGCGTCTTCTGTCCACCACGGTCCTCCGGCTATAGCATCGAGTCAGCCCGTCTCCACACGTAGACCGCTCATGGCCGCTCGCTCCGAAGACGCTCTTGCTCCCCGGCGTCCTCCAACGACTGGGAGCCAACCTGCGGATCCTTGGACGGCTCCGCCTTCTTCACAAGACGTACCCTTCGCGAGCACGCAGGTACTCCCAGGGCCCCACGGTGGCAGGTCGACTGTGGCGAGGAAAAAGCCGGGGAAGAAGCGGCTGGGCGGTTTCTGAGGGAGGCTTCGGTGTCATGCTGCGAGGTCATGCGTACATTGGTGGCGCTATGAAGTGTTAGGATCACCCTCTGGATTAGCACTTGATGTTACCGCATCTGATACTACTAGCACCAGGATCGACTTCTTCAAGCTTTGCGCCTTGTCCATGTCCGACGTAGCTTCCCCCGTCGCGTGCTTGACTCGTGTGTATCGTGCGCCGACTCATGAGCTATGTCTATGCGACACGGCTGGTGTTGTGGGCTACATGATAGACACTTGAGTAATGTAATGTAGCAATGGCGAATGAGCTAGTTTCAGCGATTGAGAATTACGGCCAGATGAGGAGGGGTATGACGCGCCATGATAAATATGGGCATCATGAGCATTAGCCGGGTGAATAGGTTCGTTAGCTTGGCGCTGCTCAGTGCTTCCTTGCGTCTTCCACCCGTCCTCCCCTTGCCCACCGTCGTCTCCACCTTGGATTGCCGCAGTCACAATACGCTCGTGCGACTGCACGCAAAACGGACTGTTGCCCGGCCAGTGACAGTTTCCTATGAGCGAGAGAAGGTACGTCTCTGCCAAACACCCTGCTGCCTCTGCACCCGAGGCGGGCCCCTCGACGTAGCGTTGACGTCCGCTTCGTCTCATAGGCCTGGAAAATATTTGTTTGACTCGGCTGCGCTCAATGAGTCTCTCAAAAGTGCTTGCTTTCCTTGCATGCTCTGTGGCCAGATGACGTGCGACTGTGTCCTGACGTATTCCTCCCTTTGATGTGCAGGCAACAAGGCGGTCGTCTGCGCGCTCTCGGCGAGCTACATCTCGACGTTCGCGGGGTACCCGGTGAGCTGTGTGCTGCCTTTCTGCAGTATGGCACGGGAGCTCAACGCGTCTCGAAAGCTCGATTCCATTAAGTCAAGACTGCAGACGACGAAACAGCGCGTTTCTATCCCCCGGCTTGCCTTGACCGTATACCAAGAAGAGGGCATTGTCGGGTTCTATCGTGGGATATGGATCCCGCTGATAACTATCTCCTTTGTCCGTAAGTGCTACCTCTGCTCGTTTGGTGATGCCCCCCGTACCCATCGCGGCCCCTAGGCGCGGCATCCTTCACCATCTACTCACGGACCAAGGAGTACTTCCGTGATCGCCACTGGCTGTCTCGCAACCGGATTTTCGACGTGTCTGCTGTTGGTGGAATTAGGTATGAACGTCGTTTGATGAACACAATACCCCGGAGGTTTACCGACGCACGGCAGTGGTGCGCTCTCCGGTTCTCTGATATCTTTTGCAAGTGCACGTACGTATATTACCTTCCAACGCGTGGAGCTTCCTTCTTACCGCTATCGCAGCCTTTGAGCTCGTGAAGGTGAGCGCGCCGGTGGCACGGGCGGCAAGCGACTTCTGAATCTGTCCACGGTCGCAGGTCAGACGACAACTCGAGTACTCAATAGCGTCAAGTAAAGGCATTCGTCTGGAGAAAGCACCGAAAACGCTGGAGGCCGTTCGCGACATATTTCGGAGCAGCGGCATACTTGGGTTGTACACCGGCTTCAGGCTGCACTTCCGTGAGTTCCGTAGGCAGCACATGCCTCGCACTGCGCTGAATCACCCATCTCAGTCAGAGATACTTTGGGAACGGCCCTGTACTTCTTTGAGTACGACGGTTTCCGGTATATCATGGGCAGGCATGCGTCCGGCGAGCAGGGCCAGACTCCACTATGGCTACCGATCCCTGCGTCGGTGGTTCCGTTCTTCTGCGGCTCATTGGCTGGTGTGACCTCCTGGGCACTGATTTACCCTCTCGACGTGTGAGTCAAGATCAGACCGCTTTTTGCACGGTCATCTTACTGAAGACTTGTGTAGGGTCAAGACGAAGGTCCAGCAGCGCGCCCTGGCAGGTGAACGTAAGAGAGGCGTTGTTGAGACCTTCCGCCGACTCATCCGAGGTCAGTGTCGTTCTCTGCTCCTGTCCCCACTATTTCCAGCTGACCGTGCCTGAACCCGCGCAGGCCCTGATCCTGATCACCCCAAACCGTTACTCAAGGGTATCGCCCGTCTGTACCAAGGGCTAGGAGTAAGCGCACTACGAAGCGTAACGACACATGGACTGCTCTGGACATTCTTCGACCTCACTGCGTCGTACATTGACCGTCTACCTGGACCTGCAAACAGAGAGTGATTCAACCGTAATAGACTGACGGCGACGGGGTTGGGCGTCCGCGCTGGTGTATATGTATGCTAGATTGCCGCCTAATTGTATCAAGGATGGCCCCAATCATGCCACATACTGCAGCAAAGGCACGCTCTATGTACCATAGAGCAACTTCTTGTATGCTACTTAGTATGCAGATATACTGACATCAATTGCTGCTCGATAGAATTGCTACTGAGAGGTTGCATTCCCAAAGAAGTTGGTGGGCAAGGTGCGCGTCAGGCAATAACTGAATTGCAGTATGTGAGCATAGCTACAGACTAGTGATACAACATCGATAGCATGAGACACAAGGAAAGCAAGGTATAGATGGGGGAGAATTCGAACTGAACCGTCAAAAGCTACTCCCGAGTGGCGTATGGATGCTTTACCAGCTCATCATACAGATCGCTTGGCAGATCCCTGACTAACGTGACGGCGATGCCTATGACAGGCAGCGCTTCCAGAGGAGGGAAGGTACGCAGAAGCCGCATGGGACTAGAGTACAAGGAGTGTCAGCCGCATTGTTACGCAATAACCCAAGGGACCACTCACCTAGAAGAGTTCATGACCTCATCTCGCATGAGAAGCAGCTGGGCGATCACACAGAGTACGTTCAGGTGCACGCCGAAAGCAAGCAAGAAGTCCCATAATTGAAGGACTTGGTCGAGTGGTGGCGTGCATGCGCACAATGTTAGCACCGCTGGGCAGGGATTCAGGACGGACTATTGACAGAGAGGGCGAGCATGGCGTACAAGGGAAGGCGTAGATCTCTGCGGAAAGATTTTTGGACCGCAGGAACGCGTACAGTTCGGGATCGACAATCTTGAGACAGCGGTCCAGTAGCTGCAAGAACTATTAGTACGCCGGAAGAATAGCCGAAGTCGGGTGCATACTTTGAGACCGCAATGGACACCTTCAAGCGTCGGCTGGACGTACAGTGGACAAGACTCCTCGATGAATTTGGCAAAGCAGTAGAACGCTTCGAGTTCGGAAGGCATGGTGTACAGGAAGGGAGCAGCAAGTACGTTCATACCCTGCACATAGGTGAACCCGAGCTGGTCGCTCTCTTGTCGGTCTGGGGTGCATCAGGATCGTGTACAGGGAGGTATAACTGGTAAGGACTCACCGTGATTCCGCCATACGAATGCGTCCAGTAAGCGGACTAGCATGTCCTCGCTTACACGCTCTTTGAACCCTCGATCGGTGGCCAACGTTCTTGCATGATATTCAGTCTCCCGCGTTCCAGGATCGGTCCGAAGGACTCACCGGAAGGTATCATTCCTGATTTTTTCTCGAACATCACAAGGTCCCCGTCCGACATACTCCAGAAACGCGTCTGCCGAGACGTCCCGCACTCGAAGGAGGACCTTCCATATCCTTGGCCGCAATGTTGGATCCTATACGCATATGTACAATGTAAGGAAACGCGCATAAGCTGCGTCGAAGTCTGAAACGTACTACGCTTGAAGGGATCCCGTCCACAAGGATTAACCGCCGAATTTTCTTAGTCGCCTCCTCCATATCCGAGGCTGACCGTGACTTTGTCGCGCTCTTGTACTGAGTGAGGATTTTGCTGAACGAGTGCGCCGTCTGAGCGGCAGAAGGATCCGAGGATGTCGCCATGAGAGGATGAAGGGAAGGTGGTGGTCGAGTACCGAAGCCCGGCGTGCTTCCGTTGGTGTTCTCGGCTATTCAACTTGAGCCACCATCGCTTCTTTGCTCGACACCTCCGCTAAAGCCGCCGGCTATGTCCTCCCCCTGTTGTTGACCCTTGCTCGTCGCTCAAATACTCACGCTATGGATGTGCCGTTCTCGTCGTCAGGCGCAATGAGCAGGGCTCATTACGCTCTTGTGCGCAAAGTAGAAACCGCGACGCCACAGGCCGCCGACCAGATACTTCTCGCGGAAGTCCAAACCATCCGGAACCAGCTCACGCGTTCGACTTTGACTCTGGTCAGTCTGGAGGAGGTGTAGGTACTTGCATGTTGGGAGGCTCATTGTTATCGTAGAAACAATGCAAGGAATATCTGGTGTTACTACTCTACTGCTCTATGGCTGTGAACCCTGGCGTGCATGTCGACCTCGAGTTCGCGCTACCACACGCGATTAATCTCGCAGAAGCCGGGCAGACGATACAGGACAAGCGTGCAGGTATGCGCGTTGTGCTTCTATTGGGAGGCAGACTACAATGCCAATGCAGGATACCTGTTCTGTGGTGAAGTCATGCCGGCGGAGCACGAGCTGCAGCTCATGTTAGTCAACTCTATCCGCAAGGTAAGCCTCCTGCCTCTCATGCGTCTACATGTGCATATGCATGATGTCCCTTAGGACCTAGAAAGCTCAGCAATATCCCGGATATGCCTGGCCCTCGATACATTGATACAGTCTCCATCCAGGGATGTCATACCCGCCATACAGACGCGTCTTCACGACTTATTGTCTCATAACTCGTGAGGATCTCCTCCACCTTCTTTCATGCTTACCGACGATGTTGAAAATGGTGGACATAGACCAGACGTGAAGCGACGTGCCCTTCTCGCCTTCAACAAATTATCTGAGTACGATGCCGGCATTCTGCATGACATAGCGAGCAAGGCGCGGAAACGGCTTGGCGATTCAGACCCCTCGGTTGTCAGCGCTGCATTTACTTTGGCAGAGAGTTTGTTGAAGGTGCGAGGATCGATATTTTGAAAGCCACTCGTTGACACCGTGCGTTGCCTATAGGGAAAACATCTTCCAGAGGACAAGTACCATTCTGTCGTGTCGGGACTCCTTGACGTCACTTGGTCTCAGCGGCCTCATCCTTCCGAGAGCAGACTGCTCGTCCGAATAATTGAGGTCATCACGCAGCTTGGGTTTGTTCATATAGTCATGCGGTCGCATTGCAACAATTGAACATTGCTCTCAGGCCTTCTAAGCATGATCTGGAGGTCATTGCGGACGTAGTCCGTCATTACGCGCATCGGGGTCGGGCAGCTTATGGTGAGAATTTGTTTTACAGTGTTTGATGTCTATGCGTTTGAACCCTATGCAGCGTTACTTCAACAGTGCTTCCGGAGCGTTTCCGTCTCATCTACTGAGTTACTTGTCGAGGTGCAAGCCAGCTCTGGCATATCGTTCATCAAAGAAATGCGGCATCTCCTCGCTGTCCAAGAGCCCAACGCCCTTTATATGTTCATGTCCTGTCTCTCGTCTGTGGACCCTCAACTTTGGGCCGGGACTACCCCCGAAATACCCTCGGTCCTAGAGGAATGGGAAGTTGAACGGATCATGAAAGCGTTGGACTGCGAGGATAAGTTGATTCGGAAGCAGGTAAAAAGAATCAGTCATTGCGCCAGGACTGCACATCACTGACGGCTGCAGCAGACCCTGCGAACACTTTGGCGTGTCGACCAGAATATTGTAGAGTCGTACTATGCGAGGGCGCTCCAAGGTGACTTGCCATCGTCTTCAGTCCATGGCACCGAAGACCACCTTCCACGGCTCCTCGAGATTGTGGATATCATCTGCGGCGACGACGGAGAAGCATACGCCATACAGCTCAAGAATGTCCTGAATGCCGCTGAGGGCGACGGGCCCCTGAACAAGAGGCCCGTCTTGCAAGAAGCTGTGGAGGAGATGTTAGCTCGCATTCATACTGGTCAGTCACTTACTGGCAGTCCGCTCCGCGTTGCACTCAAGTGATCTCTACGCAGCGGACAGCATATGGCGTAGTGCCTGTATTGGTGTCTTGTTCAGTTCCGTCGCCGACAAGGAGAACGAGGTCGGTCCCACGCTCATGGTCATACTCACCGCTCTGTTCTGCGAATACTTGGAGCTATCGCCATTGTCTCCTGTCGAACTGCTGTGCGGAGTTGCTGATCGCGTGACATCCTACTCTCGTTCGTATCGCGGGTTGACAGTCGCGTTTGTGCCCCTTGCTAACTTAAGTGCATGTCCTAGCATCGATACAAGACGCTTGTCTCATCACAATGCTTCGCATCTCCGCTGCTTGCGATGAGATACCTTCGCAAGCCATCGAGGCAGTGAAAAGTCTTCAGGATCGCAGCGGCAGACATCTGGCACGGGTTCGTTAACACAGAGTCTGTTTGACAGATTCTTGTTCTAACATAATCCCCGAAGCGTTGCGTTCAATTCACAACTCTGTCGCAGTCGAAGGATACTCTCCGGCGTGTTCTCGCCGATACCCGCTCATCTGCGGTGATTCCTTCCGCAACTGAGCTCCGGATTGGTCAAGCTTACGTGCTGCAGTTACCGGACTTCGTCCTTGCTCTGGAAAAGTACCAAGCAGACCATCCAAGAGGGACTTCACGCTCACCTTCTCTGGTCCCGAAGTCACCGCCACTCAAGCCTCACACACCGGAGCCGTCATCGTCTCGGGCATCTCCACTACCAAGCAAGCTCCGCTATGCCGCGTATGAAGCCCCTAGACTCACGCCGAAGCTGCGGCGAAAGAGCAGCAGCAGCTCACGGCACTCAGATGATGGCAGCTCGCATGGCGGTCTGGGAAGGTCGTCATACCAAGACCCCATGACAATGACTATAACGCCTGGCGATCTGAGCCTCGCAGCGCAGACGTCTGATCTCCGTTCTATACCAAGTGTGAGTGCAACCTCGTGACCCCACATCTCTCGTTAACGCATTGTTCCAGAGCTCTCCACGAATGTCAAGGATGTCACCACTTCCGGTGGTTCAGATATTGGATGAGGAGCCTCCCACTGGGACTGGAGTAAGTGTCAGGCGACCTTCACGTCGCTCTTGCATCCTGAGCTCTTCCGCATATCATAGTCAGGGGCGGCAGACCTCATCGCACTGGATTCGCCCTTCATATCGGAACCAGCAGGTCCCTCCCTCGCAAATACCATAAGTAGTATCATGGAGCAAGATTTCGAAGCCACTTGGAACTCCTTGGAATCAGGTGCTGCACGAGGATGGTGCGAGGCCTCTATCGATGCTGTCCTGCGACGATTACAAGGGCTACAGCGACGGCTGAGAGTGACCGAACGAGATCGGCCTCCGTTTGAAGGTATATCAGGAGACGTTTTCACATCTCTAGGTGTCTGATCACGCCCTTTCTATAGGAGACTTGAAGATCGTGATTGCGCCGGAGTCTGCGGATAACTGGTCGAAGAAAGGGCTTGCAGCGATTCGCCTCAAGGAGAGCGACGACGACAGCTGCCTCTGGTGGCTACGATGCGAAGACGACGAACTCCGAAACATTGTCAAGGCCACCCTCCGATGACCGCCCAGTGCCTACAAGGATATATGCAGCATTAGGATACCTCAGGAGTTAGCAGTATGCGATATAACTGTACACTTGATTTGCAACTACCACTATCTATCGTGTCTGGACATAGTCGTCGATCTTGAGCAGCAGGCACACCGTCTCCGTCGAGAGCTCGATCGCGCTCGTCGACACGAGCAGCGGCTGCACTACATCCTCTTCGAGGATGTTCGAGATCAAGCCCTTACGGACATTGATGCCAGCATTGCGCTCGCCGAGCGCATGCCGGTTCCGGAGCTCGGTGACGATCGCGATCGGGTTCAGACCCGCATTCTCGGCGAGCGTCGTGGGGATGACCTCGAGCGCATCAGCGTACGCTTGGAAGCAGTATGCCTCCATGCCCTTGAGCGAGTGCGCGTATTGCGAGAGCAGTCGTGAGACGTGGATCTCCGGTGCGCCACCACCAGCGATGAGTGCCCTGTGCCGGAACGATAAGTAGACAAGACCAGCTACATCGCGATGATGCAACATACCGCTTCTTGACGAGGCAGCGGACAACACAGAGTGCATCATGCAGACTACGCTCACACTCCTCCAGGACAAGGCCGTTGCTGCCCATCGCAAGCACGCTGACCGTTCGCCCCCTGTTCTTCACGCCCGTGATGCGCACGACTTTCGCGCCCGCGTGTGTCGTCTCCTCGACGAGGTCCGCGTACCCAAGCTTGTCCTCCGTGAACCCCTCGATATCTGCGATGGGCTTGCAGCCCAGGCTCTTGGAGAGGAATTCGATTTCATCGCGCTCGACGTCCTTGACGACAAGGATGTTGAGGCGCTTGAGGAAGGTGAGCGAGACGTCGTCGACAGCGTCGCGGAGGATAGACTTTTGGATGAGGAGAACGTTGCAGTTTGCCTTTTTGATCTTCTTACATATGTTGAGCAGATACTGACGCCCTTCTTTGATCACCTTGTCCATCTGACGGTAGTCATTGATTACGACCGTATTGTCCATCTGCGCAAGGGTCATATTAGGAAATGCAAAGATCAGAGAATGGAGAGATAGCGACGGACGTCAGGTTTTGGGGCACTGAGCTGAAACTGGATGATTCCGATCTTGGCCTTCTCTATCCGCGTGGGCCCGCCGACAGTCGTAACGACGTTTTGGTTGAGCACGACGCCGTCTACGAGCTCTGTGTCCTCGATCGTGCCGCCGACCTTCTTGACCACTCTTATATCACGGAGGTCGACATTTGAAGAAGTGGCAGTAGCCAGTCGAGTGACCGCAGAGACGGCGATGGGGGCGAGGGTGGAGGAATATTGTGATACGATCTGGAGTGCAAGCACGTTCGCATATTGATTTGGCAAGACTACGTCGGACGACTCACTTTTGAGTTCAGGGAGGTGGTCGCGGCACGGAGGAGGGAAGTCTTGTCGTCGAGGTTAATGGGGGTGGAGATTTCGGTGAGATATTCTACCGCCTTCGCCGACGCTCTTTGGAAGGACTCGGCGATGACGGTTGGGTGTATACCCTTTTGCAGCATCTTCTCTGCAGCACCAAGGAGACTTCCCGCAAGAACGACGACGGAGGTGGTACCGTCACCAGCTTCCACGTCTTGTGCGGCGGAGAGATCGACAAGCTGCTGTAGAGTAAGGACCCAAGAAGAGCGAAGAGGTGGGGATCACGCACCATCTTCGCAGCCGGATGCAGAGCTTGGATGCTCTTGAGGATGGTAGCACCATCGTTGGTAATGATTAGCTCGCCCTTGGATGTTTGGATCTGAAAAGGTTTTTTGGGATATATCAGTCGTGCTTGGGCAAAGCATTATATCGGTACACACCATCTTGTCCATTCCTCTCGGGCCCAGCGATGTCCGCACTGCATCGCTGATCGCTGTATACGTGTCCCGTCAATACCTGGAATGACCAAGTTGCGAATTTGTCTATCCGTACCCTTTGCGGCGACCATGTTAGACCGGCGGACTTCCATAGGTTTGCCCTGTTGGACCGATCAGTGGTTTTCTCTAATTCGAGATCACATGAGATATCGTACCTTGTCATCAAATGCTTTGTTTGCCCCGACCGCGGCCGGGACAGCAGGAGCGAAAGCGGCGGTGGACATGGGGGAATCTGAAGGTGGAGCGAGGCTCAGCGAGCAAAGTCCAGGGCTGGAAATGTGGCGGAGACGCGCACGACGCGAAGGATAGACGCCCATCAACCGCCACACGTGAATAGAAAGCGCCGGAGATTACGCGTTTGGCACGTTCAGCCACCGTCGACCCCACTCCTTTACTCTCGACGACAATCTTCAGTTCGTCAACGATGGATTTTGTATGTCGTCAATCATTGCAACTTGCTCTTTATGCTGATTGGCGTGTAGTTTGATCAAGATCACTTTGGTGGCGGAGGTCCTGGCGGCCTCTTCGCGCAGTTAGCTCAGTACGTCCGCAGTGCGGATATCCGGATGCTTGATACTCACCGACGATCCAGAGGATTCGGTGGCATGGCTGCTAGGAGAATTGGAAGACCAAATCCCCGCGCATACGACGAATACTTTAAGGCCTACAGCGTCGCAATGCTTCCCGGGCGTCCTCGAGATAATGTCAGTTATGGTGGAAAGAGTGCGTGCACCGACTTTTGATCCAACGGTCTGGCGATGGTCTTGAACCTCCATGATGTCTAGTTATAATGCCTCCCTCTGTGCTCGCTAACCTCACGAACATGGAACTCGAGTCGCCTTGGATGTTCAAGCTCCGCAACCCCGGCAACCCTGCGGCCTCTACCCATGCCGGTGTCCTCGAGTTCATCGCAGAAGAGGGGTGCGTCCACTTGCCCCGGTGGATGATGAAGACATTGCGCTTGGAAGAAGGCGACCCCATCCGTATCACCGGCTGCGAGCTTCCCAAGGGTAAACTAGTCAAACTCCAGGCTCAGAGCGTCGATTTCCTCGAGATCTCCGACCCTAAGGCCGTGTATGTCCAGACTCCCCAACTCGCTTTGTACGATTCTGACATTATCCCCCAGTCTAGAGCAGGCATTGCGCAACTTTTCCGCGCTAACGCAGGGTGATATAATTGAGATCTCCTACAACTCAATCGTCTTTGGTCTCTTGGTGATGGAGACGCAACCGGGCGGCGAAGGCATCAGTGTGCTCGACACAGATCTCGAGGTCGACTTTGCCGCACCCGTAGGATACGTGGAGCCAGAGCGGCCCAAGGCGGCCCCACAACCTACCATGCGCGACAAACTCAACATCGACCTCAGTTCATCTACTCCTGGATCGTCACGCCCATCTTCGTCCATGGGTTTCGCTGGCGCCGCTGCAAAGGGCCCTGCTATCAGTAAGGGCGGGGACCAGTGGGAGAGCTTCAAGGGCAAGGGCGAGACGCTGCAAGGACGCAAGACCAAGGGCAAGGGCATCAGCCACAGGAAGGCGGAGGCTGCGCCGGAGGGTAGCAAGATCATCCGTACTGAGTAAGTCATCGACTGGCCGTTATTACCATACGACTCGCTAACATCCGCGACAGCAAGCAGCGAATCGTCACGGCCGACGCTCTTGACAACGATGCCTACGTCCCTGCGCCGCTGAACTTGCCTTTCGGTCAACTGTTCTTCGGCTTCAACATCCAGCCATACGTTCCTCCATCGCAGGAGCCATCGGCCTCCCCGTCTCAGGTATGCACCGCTGTATTCTGCGACATCGCTCACGTTACTCACATGATGTTGCGCAATAGTCAAATTCGTTTGCGGGAACAGGCAACACTCTCACTGGACGCTCTCAGCCATCGTCATCGGACAAGGGCAAGAGCAAGGCGCAAAGCTCCTCTACCACTACCTGGGGGTCCGGCGGTCAGACGCTGGGCAGACGTCCTACCCAGCCGGCAAGCTCGACCCCGCGTTCCGTCGGAGCAGGGGGCGCGTCCGTCCCGGTGCTCCCCTCTCGTGGTCGCGCTCAGCAACAACAAGCACAACGAGAGAGGAGTCCTACCCCGGACTTCGGTGTTGATGATGACGAGGACATTCCCTACTACAGCGATGACTAGCCTGTGTTGTTCTCTTCTGCGTGGGTCGAGCGACTAGAGAGGCCCATTTCTCACCCCTTGATGTAAGGACTCGGATAAGAATACGTTCTTGCACGCTAGCATCTAGCATCCCTTTTCCTCATTGTACGGCGACAACAAGATTGGAAGCATCGTACGCACGCATGTATATGTAGGCCCGCAGCACTTGTACAATTTATCGCTACTTCATTGCACGGCAATAGATCATGTTTCTACATCCAGCGTCGTCTGCTCACCATGGCCCATCGACATTTGTATCACTTCTCGCTTCCACCCATTCCGATCAAAGCCGTATATCACCCCGAACTTTGGCCAGTCTTGCCGTCCAACCTATAGCATGACTACTCCAATACCCCTTCCGACTGAGGTGTCGCTCGTGGCACGCAGTCCTGCCAGAGGGGCGGTTCGCCAGTTGTAAAGGTAGAAATTGAGGATACCGTCGCCCTGCCCAAACTGTGATTGGACGCGAGCACCGTCATCAGTCCGCGGTCCCGTATCGATGTCAAAAAGAAGAGCACGTAACGCACCTTGAGGTCCTGCAAAAAGGGCACATTGTCCATGAGCGTAAGCGCGTTCATCACGTCGAATTTGGCGCGATCCGCAATCACGAGCGCGTCAGTGATGAGCTCCTCGAGCCGCTTCTTGAGCCGCCCGCTAGCCTCGGCGCCGTCCTCGAACGCGACTTCCGTGGCGTAATAATAGAGGTACGCGGCGTTGAGGAGGTTATGCTTCGTGCTGCGCATGATCGTCGAAGGCAGGGAGTAAAAGGAGACATAGTCCGTGATCTTGTTCGTTTTCGGGTTCTGCACCAAGCCATCCAGTCAGCGTTAACCCTTTACGCAGGCGCTGAGAGAAAATTAACCTCGACGACGTACGTCCACACGACCTGGCCATCGCGCGGCGTCTTCCAGCTATCAGCTCCGCGGGGACCCTCACCACGGCCGCTCAAGAACTGGTGGGCGACGTCAGCCTCGTTGTAAATTGGGACCATCGAGAAGCGCTTCATGTATCGCTCAAAGAGGTCCACCACTTGCGGCACATCGCGCTCTCCCATTTCGCGCAATCCCTGGTCGAGCAAGCGCGGCTTCTCGGGGAGCTTGTGCAGGCGGATCATGCGTGCCAGCGTCATCGTTGAGGGCACGCTCGTGAAGCGAACATCGACTAGCTTGGGAATGTTGATGCAGCGGTGAAAATATCTGCGAGAGTGGTGACGAGGGAGACGTTGAGCAAGTACTATGAGTATGAGACGTGAAGATGACAGATTGCACGTACTGAGCATTAGATACCGGGGTAGGAATCACGACTCCTGCGGTGTACAGCGCCTGGAAAACACCCTTAAGGTTACATTGTCGTGTAACCTCCTTGATGAGCACGGGTGCTAACCGCTTCGAACGCAATTTCTTGTGCACACAAAGGTAGTTCACTTCGCTCACATTGAGCACGCTAGACATGAGGCAACCCTTAGTCGGTGGATAGCGCGGCAGGCATGAGGTACTCACTGGTCTCGCACTCGGATCTGCACTGGTACGGCAGAGATAAAAGCGACGAGCTTCCGACTCGAACTCACTCGAACCCCCACATGCCATTCCTTGTGATAGCCTGGTGGCTTCAAGGCCCTGAAAGGAGGCAGCATGAGCTTCGCGTTGAGCGAGAAAAATCGAAGCTCCATACCATGACAGGAATTCCGCGGAATACTGGAAACGGAATGACTCGTCGTCGTCCTCGACGTAGTTGGCAGATAGTAGCTCGTACAGTTCCCTCAACTGCAGTGGAATATGAGGGCAATGCGAAGACATAGTCAACCCATGGTACACACCTCAGCGGTGTCATTGATATCCAGGAATGACCATGTGAACTCCTTTGGTAGAGGGTACGGATCTTGGCGGACCTCGCTCGCGGGTTTTGAGGGCTCAATAGGTCCATCGGCCTCCGGAGGTGCCTCACCTATAGACACCGTTATCAGCTAGCTGAAGATACATATGCAGAACGGATGCTCGTACCAAGTTGTGGCACGGGTTGCGTCGACCAGAACTGTACCCTCATGAGTACACACGAAGCACCGTTGTCCGAGAGAGACCCAAGAACGCGTACCTTATGCCCTCCAGTATCCTTCTTATTCTTCCCCCCGATGCCCGTCTTGCCCTGAAGCACATCCCTGAGCTTCATCTGCTCCAGTGCCAGCCTGACCGTCTCCGCATCTGCCCCCGCGACGGCCTCGCCACCCTCCGCTTTCACCTTGTCGAGCACGATCTTGACGACTTCGTCAGGGATAGCGTCCTTGCCCTTGCCGACGCTCTTCAGCGCGTTCAGGGCCTTCGCGGCCTTGGACCGCTTCTTCTTTTTCTTCTTGCTCGCTGTTCCTGGCGTGTCTACGGGGACCGCAGTGCTCGAGGAGCCTGCAGCCGTCTCGGGGGCGTCCCCGTCCGCATCGGGCTCAGAGTCGTCGTCGGACCCAGAGTGGTCCTCTTCGTCTGGGTGTGGGTTCTCCTCGATCTGCTCGGAGTCCCCGACTTTATCCTTAGCCTTTTGTTGGGATGTCGACGGCTCGGACATATTGACGAGGTAGTGAGGTACGTAGATGGCTGGGAAGACGCAGATCTCGACAAGGTCTCAAAACCTGGTTGTGGTCTGAGGTATGATACATGACGTGCATCCCTACAGGGCGCTTCCTGATGGTGAGCGCACCGCAGTTAACCTTATTACAGAGATCTGTCGTGTTCGTAACATACATCGCGTTTGACACAAATGACTTGCGCCCTCTGGGACCTGTCTGAGTATGCACCGGAGAATTGAAACATAATATACTTCAGGTGCATTGTTCCCAGAAGCAGTGATCTAGAGGTACCCAAGTACAGCAGTATCCAGTGCATCAGCTTGTTACAAGCAAATGTACGCTATCGGACAGAGACATTCCCTCGCCTGCGCCTCTTCACGCGGTCTACCAGGGTTGACTGTCCCGACTCATCGGGGAGAGCGACCTTCACCGCGACTTCGAGCTGTGCCAGTGTCTCTTCCGTCTCCGATTCCGATGAAGGTGCTTTATCACCAGAACGCTTCGGACCGCCCCGCTTTCGTTTTGTTGATTGAGGTCTGGGAGTGCTCCTCGGCGTCGCCCCTCCGGGACTATCCATGGGTTGGTTAACACTGCGATCTGGAGTTAGGCCAGGGGTAGAAGGCGTCGATAGTCCGGAAGGGGAAGCAAGGCCGTATGCAGCGAACGATTTGAGGTCTGACGTAAATAACACCTGGGTCGGGTGAGGTACGTTCAGTTTGTGCTCTGAAGGATACTTACAGAGTGCGCCCAGCCGGCATAATCTCCCCACACTGCTGCTAGCTTGGAGCTCAATTCTTCGTATACTTTTGGTGACATGGTACCCGACTTCGTCGGACCACGAAAGCCGTAGTGTTTAATTGCTATTTGTTGCACGTGTGTGTCCACAGGTATAACCTCCCTCTGTTAGTTAAAGAGTTATGAATACTCAACTCGACTCGCCTGTACACGACGCGATAAACGAACGCACCTTGTCGAGACTCATGAGTAAGATGCAGTCGGCCACCTTGCGACCGACGCCCATGAAATTGAGCAACTCGGCTCGCGCTTCAGGAGTTCCCAGATGTCTCAGCGTCATGAGCCACTCCTCTGATGCTTCCATGGACGTCTCGGGATTCCGCGTAAGACCGTGGGTTTCCACTAGCATAGCGGCTGTCTTTTGTATGAAGTCGGCTCGATAGCCAAAGCCAAGGGCTCGCAGTTTTGCAGTGACGTCTGCTGCTGCAAGCGCAGATGGCGACGGGAAAGGGTGATACGCCTCTTCTGGCAGGTTTGTTCCAGCAGGTGGAGGCAAGCTAAGGAGAGCAGGGGAGTATGTTCGACAAAGGGAGGTGACCATCTTTGTGATACGGGATATGTTGTTATTTGAGGAGCAGATGAAGCTAGACTGTGCTTTAAAATCATTTCCTACGCCATGGTGTAAAGAGGCGTACGAGATGAGATTTTCGAACGGATCTTGCCTTAGCATGCGAATCCCTTCGAACCGGTCCTGTATTCGCTTGAAGATGGGGTCGGCCAAGCTCCATTGACGGTAGAGGTCCACCAAATCTACGTTCAACTGAAAGTAGTCCCTGATCCAAGCAAGGGTTCCGGCCTCTCGCGTCTCCTCATCTTCAGAAACCAAGGGAGGGAAAACAGAGCGATAAAAGAGTGTGTCCGGGCTTTGGCGTAGGCATACCACGCGGTCGCGCAGACAGAGGCGGTATTCATGTGTTGGAGAGTTGGTTCCCAGAGCTGAGTTGCTAGGTACATCGAGAGGGAATATACTCCATCGGAACGATTGCCCGCATTTGAGTACAGCGGCGAGGGAAAGCTGGGCGAGGGGCAGAGGTAAGGCTCGAAAACCGGCAGGCACCGCGACTGACATATCATACAGAAGCGGTAAATTCTCGGTAAATGATTCAATCAAGAGAGTGCGAATAGTTGAGATATGAGGTAGAGGCCCACGTATAAGCAAGAGACTGGGAGTTGTGAAGGAGTAGCTGTGTAGCAGTGGTAGAGAGCACGCAAGAGACGCCAAGATGCTACACCGTGCGCGTCTGCTTTGCGTGCTTCCCTATCCTACCGCCATGCCTCTCAAAATCAAGATCTCTAGACCCTCCATCGTACGTTGCGCTTTTCGCTCGGTAATGGACCTAATGTGATGAGGAAGTCAGCCTGCAGAGCCCAGGCCTACCAAGCGACGTATCCAGAGGATAGACTCGGACGACGAAGACTCGGAGACCGCAGCCAGCGCCCAGGATGCATTGGGCCCCAGACCAAAGAAGGCACGAACAATCAGCGGAGGAGCCTCCAACCACTCAGAGGAGGATAATTATGCTGGCGACGCCGCGGACGAGGATATAGACATCGATGGCGACGTCGAAGACACCCGCTTCCTCCCCGATGCTTCACCTCCCGCCTCCCATCCACTCTCTCCCGGCCCGAGCGCTACGCGCAGGTTATCCAATGCTACAGCGTCTTCAAGCAAGTCACGGGCGAAGGACAAGGGGTCGAAGTCTTCCAAGTCTAGCAAGTCGTCTGGGAAGAAGCGGAGAGCGGTGGTTTGGACGGACGATGAGGACGAGGAGTTCGATGACCCTGACGTCGTGATCACCGATGATGAAGATTTCAACCTGGACACGGAGTACTCTAGCAAGAAAAGCGGCGTGAAGGGAAAGAATGGGAAGATAGCTGCGAAGACGAGCGGGAAGGGCACCGCGACGAAGAAAGAGGACAAGGAGATCACGTTCCGCGATGAGCGAAAAATCGTCCAGCCACCCGCTGCAGACCCCGTCAAGCGCGTGAAAGAGGATGAGGGCATAAGGTCTACTCCCGATCCCATGGACGAGCCTATTCCGAAAAAGCGCAAACTACCCCCAATCAAGAAGAACAAGCCTGCGGGATCTATTTTGACGGGCCCTTCGACTTCTGCTCCTGTCAAGCCGCCTGCGGCTACTCCGGCTAAGAAGGAAGAGACTATACCAACCACTACCCTAACTCCCGCGCCAACCAGCAATCAAGTCGGCGTGCGGAAGCCCGCTGGGGCCTCCACAGATTTGAACCTGCTTGACTCTTCCGTGTACTCCGAGCTATTCATGCGAGCAGTATGTCATGGAACCTCACGCGTCACCATGATAACGCTGACGTCGCTTTCTGCAGCCGGGAGGTTCGACGCCTAATTCAGGGCTGAACAGAAAGCAAAAGGAAGAAGAGCGGAGGAAGGAGCTGAACAAGATGCGGGAGGAGGCCCGCGCGAAGCGAGAAGCCGAAGCTGTGCGTAGAATCATCTTGTTTCATTTCGACATCAATATTCACGTTGATCGCTGCAGAAGCATGCATTCGACTTGCAGGCCGGGCCCGAGAAGATCCAGCGGTACGAAGAGGTCTTGCGAGCCCACCACTCTATCGCGCGATACCCTAATTTGCTTGGAGCTGCTTTCAAGGAAATAGCTGACCGTAACCGTGAGCGTCTCGCAGCCCAGCAATGATGTGACACGTCGCATCGTGTATTTGTACTATTCTACACCTGTAGCATAATGATGGAAACCTTTCGGGTGCCGCGATTCGACCCAACCTCAGTGCTTCAACCCATACGGTCATCCATCTATTTCACAACTGGGCAAAAATCCCGAGTAATGATCCAGAATCCCGCGAGTAGCGATAGTTTTCACGACGAGAGACAGCTAGTGAGTGTTTGCTTGTATGTCTCTTTGATGATGTCGGCCCCCTGCACCGGTCGTTGAGCACCATGGAATGCCTGCGCCATGTACGCGCCACGCACCTTCTCTGCGATCCCATACACTGTAGCTTGGGTGTGCGCTGCGATTTGCTGTCGTAATATATTTAGACTCGCATTGAATACCCACTCGATGATGGGCTCACCATTGGCAGGATGGAGGCATCAACCTGGATGATGCGACATGGTTGACACATGGAACATCTACATCCTCTCGCAAGAAAAGACACTCACCACCCGTAGATTCTTCGTCCCGTACACTTTCAGCTCAGGATCCACGACGCCGCCGTCGTTCTGCGGCATCATTGCTGCAGTACCTACTGGGTGATAGACGCACCCTAAGCCGTTCTTGATGTACTCCTTCAGTGTGTCGTCCGTCCTATAGTCCTCCACGGTGGGCATGATTCGTCGGACGACATGCTGCCTAATGGGGCTGGTCTCGTATACCTCACGAGCGAATTTGAGAACTGCGAGGAGCATCTCGAGATCAAGTGCGTTTGAGAAGCAGTCTGCGCATAGCAAGCCGTTTCAGTGCTAGTGTTATACAAGAATTGGGGAGGAGCTTACTAGGATCAATGGCTGGGGGTGCCGTTGGTTCGCTCGAGGTGATATGGACAGAGCCACGGGAAAGAGGGTTCATAACGGCACAGAGCATCGAGGAATAGCGTTTCCCTGGCTCCATTTTGATCGGCAGGCCGGGAGTGACAAAGTAGCCGTTGAAAGGTATAACCCTGCCCGCTCGATCAGTCCTGCGCGCAGGCGTATACCCTCTTTGTTGACTTACTCTCCCTCGGCAGAGGGACTATCCGGTTCCAGGAACCACTTTGACTGAATGGCGAGTTGCTTCTTGAGACCGCTCGGAGCGTCTAGGATACACGTCTGAAATTGGGCCTTCCACCGTTTGACTTGCTCCACAGAAGCGAATGCCTTAGAGGGAAGGAATGCATATAGCGGCGATAGATTGGATGAAAGATAACCCTTCAACTCCTCGTCGCTATTGGGGGTGGAACGACACCATTGAGGACGGGTCTGTCGTCACGGGGCAAGCGCGAATCATCACTACTTACTATAACTTGCGCTGCTGAGTAAACCAAGCGGGTTCCGCAGCGGCATCGATTGTCTCGATGTTGTCATCAATTTCGTAGACAGTGCAGATGTACGGGTGATCCTAAAGGTCGTCAGGATTGCTTGAAGACGGCAGACATATCAATTCACCTCTATGGAAAGCAGTGTGAGTTCCGATTGGCACTGAGAAAAGAGATGAGGTATGTCAACTCACGAAGATTCTCTCCAACGCCAGGTAGGTCGACGAGTGTCTCGATACCGCAACTGCTAAGGACCTCCTTCTTCCCGATTCCTGCTGAAACATTGATATGGATTATCACTCAGAAGTGCTTCTGACGTACCTGAAAGCTCCAGTATTTGCGGCGACTGAAACGCGCCTAAGCGTATTTTAATAAGGACATCATCTTATGAAGCGAACTGACAGCATGGATCAGATCTTACCGGCACATAGGATGACTTCTCGTTCAGCAGAAACGAGATATTGCTTGCCAGCGTTCAGAAACTCTACTCCCTCTGCTACTAGAGGATGTGACCCTTGACGAAACCTGATACGCGAAGCCAGCGACCCGGGAAGGACTTTGAGATTCGGCCTATCCTTGCAGGGTTCATAATAAGCCTGAGTGGTGGTTTTCGTAAGTACAGTCCCTTCATCACCACACATTCAAGACTCACAGCGGAGGAGTGGCTACGGGTTGCAGTTTGCGGGTCGACCGACGAGAAAATAGTGTGTGAACCGACGGTGCTCGTGCCATCGTTCTACCATTGCTACGCATCAGGCAAACGTCTGGAGCAAGAGATGATCACCCACTGGCTCGAAGTTCTTCTTGACACCAAGACTCTCTAGAGCATCTACGATAGGGACATGCAGTGCTGGAAAATATGTAGAGTACCCTTTAGCAAGAGGACCCGAGGTTCCGTGCCACCGAGGGTCGGGGTCTACGAGCAAGTGAGATTCCGCAGTAGCCTGCCGCTCCTCCAAGGGTGGCTGTGTCCTTTCTCCCTGCACGAGGATGGGCTTTTAAGCGACTTCAATAGCTGTTGTATGAGAACCTCACCTTTTTCATGTACTTCAACATCTCTTGCCAATTCCACCCTGGGTTTCCTAGATCCTGCATGGCTGTGGAAAAAGGGCATGGGCGTGAAGGAATCCTAGGCGCAAAATCTGGTTTCTTGCTTACCATCATACTCACGAGCGGAAGCTCTGCAGAGGATTATCTTCCGGACATGTAGGAGTCACAGTGCTGCTCACCTGTTCAAGCCAGTGAAGTTGATCTGCGAGATCCGTGAGTCCGCGTAAAGTTGGGACGGACATTTTTTGCTCACAAGTGACGAGCCCCCCAAGCCTTTGCCTCTGAACACATATGTCATGACCTATGTTCCAAGGGATGAAGACCATGGGCATACCGAGGTTGCGGTACCCGCCGGCCATTGGAGTACTTCTGCGGAACCGACGTGAAGCGCCAGTCATAATTCGGGTCCCCTAGTGTGGTGCCGGTCAGCCCTGCGGCATGCAGTGCGTGAGAATGAGCTGCGGCCTGACGGAACCAAAGGGAACGACGCACCCGGGACAGTGACCGCCTCAACGTCTCTGTGCCACTCTCCTGCTTCGAGGACACCGACTCTGACCTCCGGGTCTTCGCTGAGGCTAAACAGCTTGGTCAGCACAGCAAACGGATATCATCGCAAGCTACCGAGGGCTAACCGAGATGCCACAACGAGACCTGCGGTCCCTCCGCCGACGACGACGTAGTCGAACCGCATGTCTTGAGAACAGAACTGGTCCGGTGTCATCATTGTAGTCTATGTTAATGATCTGATACTTTGAGTTTGTGGAGTATGAACACAACTAGTGGGCGAGGCAATTTTGGGGTGGATGTTGCGATGGCTGGTCAAAGAATTTGGCAAGCAAGTGGGAATATATACAGCTTCGGCGATCATGCCTAGACTCAGTATTGCTGAATCTGTAAAGGCCGGGTGGGAACCCCAAGGGCGAACGGCAGCTTCGCCGCAAAGGACTCAGCGCCGTGAGTAAGAGCAAAAGACAGTCTTGATGATCAGTCGAAGACATGTAGAAAGAACCTGCTTCTCTGTCAGAGGACATGTCATGTAGGTTCTGATATGCTTACTTACCACGAAGTTATGTTTCCTGAGAATCCGTGCTGCGAGCAGTGACAGTCGTGACTAGAGCGGGTCGGCATATCGCTTGTGCCGGTCGAACGATCGCCACATGCAGCCAGAACAGTGACTGATAACGAGTAATAGTGGCATGCTAAACAGCCATAACAGACGAACTACTTCCCAGAAACTAGCTCCAGGAAAGTGTTTACAGTACGAGGAGGTATAGCATGCTCCCGCACTGACTGTACTAAAACTCCATGAAGGGTTAAGACAGAATAACTAAAGTTCATATTGCCGCTCACCTATTGCAGCCACTGAAGTCTATCTGGGTGCCAGCCGTGGGCCCTTGAGCCTCTGTACTACAGCCGTGACGATCTCCGTTCACTTACGGTCGACAACCCTCCATGGCTTTGCTACTTGAAAGGTGTCATGACACAGGCTTCCGAGCGAGGGTTTGAGACCAGGAGTATGATGCGGCCTCTGGCGTGTTATTACTCAAAGAAAGTTGGAGCCCTAGTTGTATCCTAAGTCGCACAAAGTAACGCCTGTCAGTCCTGCGTTCCAGAACGAACTGACCGAAGAACCCGAGGCACACCAGGGACAATGATCCCATCAGCGCCTGTATGCCATTCCCCTGCTTCCAACACATCTTCCGTGGCTTCCGGATCTTTGTGGAGCCTGGGAGCGGTCTGCTTAGAAACAGGATCGCAGCCCTAATGAGCTTTGGGCGGGCTCACAAGGTTGCTACAGCAAGACTTGCATGAACGCTCGTAACGATGATATGGTCGAACTCCGTGTCCCTGAGGCCAAACTTGACCGCCAGGAGACGTCATCGTCTTCAAATAGTGATTGCATTGGGAGATGAATAGCATAACAGACGGTGTGTACAACGTGCGAGACCTAATGTTGCTCGAGCTTGCGTGGGGCGCTGTCGGAGTGCGAAGTACGGATAATAGCTATCTTTTAGAAAGTCATCATTGTGAGTAAACGCAGAGGACAGGCTTTGATTATCAGGCGGAGGCAATAACGGTTGCATCGCGGGTTGTAGAAGGTCTCCTTCCATATCATAGAACACATTCTATGCATGTCCCTGCGCCTGTTCGCCGCCCATTGAGCATGTGGTGATATTCTCTGCAGGGGTTCTTTGCTACTACTTTTGAGACCCGCGAAGAGAGTAGATCTGCAGAAGGCAGTCGTCAACAACTACCCAACGATCCGCCCGTGTCTGCATCCTGGAGATGGTCGTTATAGACAAGCACTTTTCCAAAGCTTACTCACGGAACGAGGGAGTATTGAGCTTCGCGTTACTCACCAATCGCCCAAATCGATCATCATGAGGTACCATTATTCACTTGATCTTGCAACATGACGCCTACAGCCTTCGCTGACTTGTCTATCTGCGCAAGACATGACTCGAACCACTTCCTAGGATCCTTCGCCGCCTTCTCGCCGCCGCCCTTCGAGCTGTCCATGCTAAGCGCGCCCATCGCCCTTTCCAGATCAGCAGGCGGAAGGAGCATGTCAACAGTCACTGATGTATGAACTGCGTGGATCGTCTCGACCAAAGTGGATATCGAGGCCGCTAGCGCGGCGGGTTTTTGAGGTGCATATAACGCCGCGACGACTTCCTCCACAGCGACAACGACCGACTTGGACAGCGAGGGCAAGATGTCGAGGGCCTGATTAAGAGCATCAGTACTCGGTGGTGGATTTGAGAGGCTTCCTAGTACGTCGGGTACAACCCTCTTATGGAGAAGAGTAACGAAGCGCACGAGGGGTTGGATCTAGACATGTGTTGAGATCGGGAATGAAAGAGCAAAGAGCGTTGATGGAGGGCTGACCTTCTTTGTGCGCTCCAGTTCATCGTCGGACATTTTCTTGGTGGAACCGAAACCAAGCTCATCCCACTCATCATCCAACTCGTCTGCGTCCAGATCCTCTCCCTCCCCTGCGTCTTCGACCATAGCATTGATATCCTCCAAGGAATCCTCGAGCATGCCTCTGTCTGCTCTCCAGCGCTTCCTCACGGCCGCGATGTTATCAGCTGGGAGCTCACGACGCGCCTTCTCTACCATGTCGTGGACCGCGCCTGTGCGGACCAGGTAATCTCCTCCCGCATCCTCCACGAACATCATTGCGAGGGAGCGTACCGCCTCAATAACATCACTCGCAAGTAGTCTAGTCTCAGACGCAAGCGTGGTGCCATAGAGGTGAAATAGTGTCGCACACGTCGCGAGTGAGGTGATCGAGGTCCCGAGGTCCCTGATAGGTGCAAGTGCAGCGTTCGGTGCAGGCTCTGTGGGCCGTAGCACCAACGTGACTTTTGTTGTGGATGTGTATATCAAGGTCAGGAGAGATTGAAAGTCTTTATGGATGACCGCGAGGGTGGGACGCGAAGCAAGAATTGAGAACTGCTCGGCGGTGGAAGGCTGCTGAAGTGCATCGATGGCAGCGGTACAGGTGCCGCGAAGTGCGCGGAGCGCAGCGAGAGCTAAAATCTAGTATCCGTCAAAGTGGGCGACGTAGAAGAGAGAAGTGCTTGCCTCTGTCGTGATCTGTCTGAAGTGCGCTCATGGTCGAGGTCAGAGTTGTTCCCGCTGCAGGCGCTTAGCGTTCCGATAAATGGCGGTCCGGCCAAGCCACTATGAGCGCCCATATAGTCAACGTTGTTCAGTACTGCGTATGTAGTATATATTTACTATTTGCACCATCACGACTCGTCCTTTTCGATCCCCTCCGAGTCATACCATCGAAAGCCTGTAAATCTCATCATGCAGCGCATGATTATGCTTGCCTGTCATCTAAGAGAGCTTGGCAGCAGAGTGGCTCGAGGCCTTTCAGGCATGCAGATAGCTGCTACATAGGCCCGTCGGACGTAGCAAGTTCGTTCACGTATGTGCTTCCGTTCGGCATTACGGAACGCTGTCTGCGGTTGTTGATAGCAAACAGCCCCTCCACACATGACAATCAGTGGTGATCTCACTTGAACGCTGATCATCAATCGGTCTTCTATTCCACATTGCCAGTGGATTTTACTTCACCTGCTGCGCTGCAGTTCCCGTTATATCTCAGAAGTACTTCCAGGCCTTTGGCCGAGCCTATGCACGTATCTGCGCTTTCCGATGTCGTACGAGGCCGGGTGCTAAACCTGGCATACAAGGCGAAGAAGAATGCTTATCTCCGCCTTCCTCACCGCTGAAACCCACCACGTGAGTACTCTCTAACTGTCAAGAATGTCGCCGCGCTGACATCGAGACGGATCAGCGCTGTTGTATTCCTCTCGGGCACCCGTTCAGAGACGAAGTCGTGCTAGGAGTTCTATCTCTGTCGAGGATGCCACTCGGAATGCTATAGACGTTTCTACAACCACGCGCCTCGTCACGGATCTGGCTTCTGTCAAGGCATCGGAAGGCCTGCCTGCCAACTGCGCTTCATCACAAGGTCGTCGGCGAGGGTACTGGGCGTGCATCCTTGGATGCCTGCGACTTCTCCCTCGGGGGCGCATTGTTCGCTTCCAATGCCCACGTCGTATCATTCCGGTCTGAGAGACCCCGCGTAATGTCGTAAATCTTTAGCCGGATTCCTGATATATGTACGAATGGGCCGTACACTGTGGATCACGGTCCTTGCCTGCTTGCAGTCTTACCCACCATCTTTTGTCAGCATGGTTTGGCTCATCGCACTCGCAACCCAGTTGTTGTGCACCGTGGTGTATGCTTCTTCGGCAAGCTCAGGTATATGCGTCCATCATACTTTGCATCCTGGATGCCAAGCGCTCATCGCAGCGTAGGAAGCCACAGAACCTTTGATTATGTCGTCGTAGGTGCGCGTCGTTTCCATTGGCCTGCCCAGCGCTATGTATGCCGAATTCACCTGCCTCGTACGCTAGGCGGGGGAACAGCTGGACTCGTGGTAGCGGCGCGCCTCAGTGAAGACCCGCACACAACCGTAGCTGTCATCGAAGCTGGCACTCACCACGTCAATGAGCCCCTCGTTGACACACCCGGTGGGCTCTGAACAATGTGACATCATGTGTCTATCTGACTCGGGACCAGAGTTCTTCGGACAAGCCATAGGAAATCCGAACTTCGACTGGAAGTTTACCAGCGTCCCGCAGAGCGCGCTCAATGGCAACGTAGTGGCGCAACCCAGAGGCAAGATGCTTGGTGGCTCCAGCGGGCTCAACTTCATGGCATGGGACAGGGCGTCCGCTACGGAATACAACGCCTGGGAGAAGGTCAGCACCACATTCGGGTTTCGTTCTCTCTCCCAAGGGACCCGGGGCTCACATTAGACATAGCTGGGCGCGGAGGGGTGGAATTGGAATTCGCTCCTGCCATATTTCAGGAAGACCGAGACCATTTCGGCCCCAACGCCTGAGCAATACTTCCCGGACGGCCCACAGGTCTCGAACAAAACGTTCTATACATTTCACGGACGGGATGGCCCAGTCCAGGTGAGTCCGCTCTACGTCGCTCGCCTCGGGAGCCAACTATGATGCGTGATGAACCTGTCCAGCCATCCTACAATGTCCTGTACACGAATATCACCGACCCGTTCGTGGAAGCGGTTAACAAGTTAGGTATTCCCACGAATAGCGACCCCGTACGTGTGGTGGAATCTCGTCTTTCGACATCCACAATTCATTGCATATGAATATCGTACAGTATGAGGGAAATGCAACGGGCATCTTTAACCTGGAAATGGCCGTTGATCGGGTCAAGAATGTCGGCAAGCGGTCGTACGCCGCAAGCACGTATTATAACATTAGTTCCGATAGGCCAAACCTCACCGTTTATCTCACTACTCAAGTAAGGAGCCTACTTGTGCCCTCAGTAGTATACTAGGTCCTCACACCTTCAATAGGCTACGAAAGTCAATATCGTCCGCGGCGCAAGCTCACAAGATTTGCGGGCGGTTAGCGTAGACGTTGTGGCCTTGAACAGCACTGGTACCAACGGTACCGTTTATGCACGGAAGGAAGTCGTACTCTCGGCAGGCGCTTTCCAGACACCCCATCTCCTGGAGCTATCTGGTAAGACAATTATTTTCGGCTATAGTAAGAGCAAGCTTGAACTTGCTCCAGGGATCGGAAACAAGTCGATTCTTGAAGACGCGGGCATCAAGACCCTGATTGACCTACCCGGGGTCGGGGAGAATCTCCAGGTCTGACTTTACCTCGCGGGAAGCGTGTCATTGGCTGACATCCGATGAATAGGACCATACACTGCTGACCCAAGATTTTGAGATCATCAATACGACGTTCACGTACGGTAAGCTTCCACGGATTTGTTCGCATGTCTTATTCTCATTATCGGCGACGTTGTTGGCCCCAATAGACATTCTCAGAAACGACCAAACATACTTGGCCGAGCAACAAGCGGAGTAGTACGTCATGGCCTTGAATTTCCCAGATATACACATTTACCTGATTCCAGCGCGGAGAACGGAACGGGCATCTTTGCATCCGCTCAATTCGCGTTGGTATTCCCTCCGCTAAAGACAATCGTCTCAGATGTCGTGCTCTCCAACTTACAAGGACAGGCTGAAGAGCTCATTCGTGCGTCGGGCCTACCGGCTTTGACCAAGGCACAATATGAGATCCAACAAGGCTGGTTGGACACGGCGGACGTTGGGCATGTAGAATATATCATGTTCCCTGGAGGAGGGGTGACGGCAGCCAGTCCCACTCCGGGTGCGGCGTATCTCACAGTGTACATGGGCAACATGGTGGGTCAGTCAGTATTCGGTCATCGCATGGGCACTGATGAATGCGCCTCTAGCACCCGTTCAGTCGTGGTACCGTGGTAAGCTTCACTGACTGCAACTGGGATGATCGACGACTAACGAGTTCGCAAAGCATCTCAATTCCACTAATCCCCTGACGCCTCCGGCAATCGATCCCAAATACGTCGATAAGTACATAGGTGCGCATACGCATGACAAACCCCGCTGCCGTTAGCTCACTTGCGTAATCGCTAGATCTGCAGGTCGTGCTCGAAGGGACCAAATTTGTCAGGCAGATTGCCCAGACCCAGCCTCTTGCATCATTAATTGTCAATGCGCACGAGCCGTCGAGCAACGTAACCACCGACGATGAGTGGCTAGAGTGGGTATTCTTCATGAGATACACCGCTTTCGTCCCATTAACCTGGCGGAGCAGTTATATCAAGACGTTCATGGGAACAGTCTACCATCCTGTGGGCACTGCAGCCATGGTGTCACGAGAGCGTGGAGGTAGGAGACAAAGCTAGGTTTTTGGACAGCTCGATCGTTAACATAAATCTCTTCAGGTGTGGTTGATCCGAAGACGCTGAAGGTCTATGGCACAACTAATTTGCGAGTGGTGGACGCGTCTGTTATCCCCATGCTGATCGCTGCACATCCGCAATCGACTGTGTACGCGATTGCTGAAAGAGTAAGCAAACAATGCGCTGTAGATGGGTCTTCCCTAATCCCATTCACAGGCGTCCGACATTATCAGGGGGTTGATTAGGTGATTTTGACAACGCCTTGGTCCCCGATGAAGCAAAGAACGTGTGCTCGAGGATCGTACCGAATCCTGTGAACTAGTAGTACAGTAACATACAAGGGTCTACAGGAGCATGGTCGACAACACATACGGAATGTTCACGACGCCTGGACAGCGACAGGAGCAGGCTTTGCGCCGGATGCGCCCTTGCTTCTGCCCCAACGAATGCCGACAGTCTCCCCACCAATCTCGAGGCCGTTAGCCCACGCCTGAGCTGCCAACTCTGCCGTCGCTCTATCTCTCCAATTCACGAACGCGCATCTGAGAACATAAAAATGAGTTGGGTACGGGGCAAAGAGCTGGAGCAAAGCAATGACCCACCTTGTCTTCGCGACATGAACCACCGACTTCAACTGCGAAGGTTGAACTGCAGGTAGTGACTTAAGAACTCGCGTCCGGATGCTCTCCTCAGTCGCATTGGCGGGGAGCGATGTCAAGAAGAGAGATGTCTAGATGGATCAGTTGTACACCTTCGAGCAGAGGCTAGAATGGAAGAACATACGATGCTCTGGTCTTCTGGGGGTTGCAAACCCATATTTGCGGCATGAGTGGACAATATCTTCTTCGCAACAGGGTCATTACGACCGTGGTAACGATCCTGGATGTTTTGTTTCGAGAGTTCGTTCTGGACGGGCATTTCATGTCTGATGCGAGTATGAGGCTATGCGACGGGCGACGAAGGCTTCAAATCGTACCTGTAAGGACATGCGTCTCCGCGATTGCATTCTCCTTTCGCAAAGAACGAACAGAGGTGTGGGCGGTTACGCTTGTAATATGGGTCGGTTCGCGCGAGCTGCTTCAACATTTCCTTCCCTGCGCTCGATGATTTGTCCACGTCGAGCAGTGACTTCGCGCCTTCAAGCTATTCGTACGCTAAATAAATGCTTTCCCGGGTAGCTAGATCTTGCATACCTTGTTCTCCATGTTCTGAGCATAATACTCCCTGTTGATCTCGCTCGTCGGTGCTTCACTTTCTATCCCAAGCGCAGTGTCGCGAACTTGTGTCGGTAGACCATAAACCAGGTCAAGAAGACATGTTTGGCAGACGTTCTTTATCTTGGCGCAAGTCTGACAGATCACAGTGGTTTTGAAGCGCATGCCGGTGCCCGGATTCCAACGGAAGACGGTGAAGGGGCGAGCGCAGGTGCCACAGGCGCGCCCGAACTCCTGTTTTGACTGCACCAAAGTAAGGTATCGGCATAGACAGTAACGCAACATAAACGCACCATGCGGACGAATGGGTTGTCACCCAGGCCTGAAGTCCCAGTTAGTGTATACAATGGGTGGCGAACGCGTGCGATACTCACAAGTTTCGCAAAGGATGGGGAATTCGCTCTGCTCCCAGCCAACCTTGTTGATATCCGCCTTCGGCATCTTAGACAGCGAGAATCACTAGAAGCGGTAGGAAGAGGTATTGATGGAGGTCCACGAACGAGAGATGTTCGCGGTAACCCTCAGGTTCGGGCACTAGTACGAAACGTCTGCTTAGTCAGCCGACACGCCACGGCGCCTACAGCTAAGCACAGAAGGGAACTTACTTTACATTCGCGATCATCCTGGTCTTGCAACGTCCCGCGTATCGTATATGGGCAACTGTATGTTCCATCTTATGCAGCTTACTCCATCAAATCAAACTTACTGATGGTCGCATAAAGGCGCGTGGAAGCGCCGTCACTGACCCGTTTTGTATGTTCTTATGCTCGAACGCAATCTCGCAACGAGAAGCAGCACACGAGATGTCATCCAATGGAGCTTCCTTCCTTCCTCGTCTTGAGTCTGTATTCTACGCTGTATTTGACGTTGAGCAGGGCCCCAAAATCGTCTCTCAGGTGCCCGAGGCTCTGATTGCTACTTCGCCTTCGTCGTCCGGACACGCCTCAGGGACCTCAATCAACACCCTTCCCTCTGCATCTCCTGCTGATTCTACACCGTCACTCACGGAATATGATGCGCCTTCCCGGGCTCCCTCTGTCCTGTCCTCCCCCATCACGCAGCGACTCGAAATGAAAAGTTTACTCTCGCCTCATAAGTCTGAATCTGTCGCCAATCGCTCCCTGTTCCATTTCGACGACATCTCCAAATACGTTATCCCTCCGAAAGCACTGTGCGGCAGACTGGTCATCTGTGCAACAAAGGCCCACCGTATCCTTGGATTCCCAGTGCGACTGGACGACGAATCTTACCCGCGAAACTACTTTCTGTACAATGTCTGCTTCGTCTTCGAGCGAACTGCAGATTTGAGCTGTTATGAGCCAGTAGCAAGGAAGGTCAGCCGAGTGCTCACCGCATGTGAGGTTCGTGCCATTGTCCAGTAGTCGAAGCAAATCGTTGATGTGGGATACAGAAAGAGTCTGGCTTCCTGTCGTCCGCCCGGAGCGCCGCTCCTATTCACGCGATACTTGAGCAGCTATATGAGGACCTGAACTCGTACTCGGAAACATCTATCCCTATAGACCCGTTCAACTCGATCGAGTTGAAGATATTTCCCTTCTACCCGAATCCTCCACCAGTCAAGGATTGGATGGTCCCTCTGGCCCTCATCAATTTGACCGGTAGAGTGGAACCGAATTGGGACCTGACCATCGTGAAGGTCAGACCTTTTCTGCGAGCATACATCACTTGCGAGGCTAAAGTGCTGGCAGATATGCCCCTTCATCGACGGCATCAATCATGTCAGCCGTATCGCTAGACTGGCTAACTGCGATCTCAACCTCACTCGGCTCGCAGTCTCTCACCTGCTGTGAGCTTTGCGTGATTGCAATGTGGACAACATTCAATTGAGATTTTTCAGATACTACCAAGTGATCATGATGATCGACATCTTTCAGTATTCGAATATGTACACGTTGCGGAAGAGCATGCAATGGCTCGCGGACGAAGGGCATATCAAAGAAGAATGCGGGCCATACGTCACAAAGCCAGGTAGGGTCTGGTTACAAATTCCCAGTTTCCACCTGCTGACGTGCCTGAACCAGGATGGGTCATTCCTGACTGGCCTAAGCTCCTCCACCTGTACTCTCGGTTCAGAGCTGGGAAGACCGTCCGCGAATGGATGGAAGAGTACGACGTCCACGAACTCGGCATGGATGTCCGGAGATTCACTAGCTTCGGAGTCATCAAGGTAGTCTCTTTCACCTCTAAATTCAGCTTGCACCGACAGCATGATGTTCGTACAGGGCTTTCTACGTAGAGTTCACCGCTGGCCCATCCTCCTCTCCAGTCCCGATCCGCCCCCAGATCGACGCATGAGCATGGCTTCACTCGGGCGTAAACGTGGCAAGAGCTTCGCTTCCACCATGACCGTTCAGATGGTACCGGCCGCTCCGCCCTCGCGCAACGAGCTAGAGTCTTTGCGGACTCGTGGGCGCGTCTTCGAGCCCCAGCCCACCATAGCCTCCGCGGGTGCGGAGCTCGTCCCGGCATCATCAACGACCTCCCAGATAGCTTCAGCAGCAGCGGCGCGAGTATTCCCTCCGCGACGTTCCAGCGCTGCAGAGTCATCTCTGGAAATGCTCCGTAGCCGCGAGAGCCGCAAGCCACCGGGAGACCGAGCATATCAGACAATGTCGAGGTTGTACGGCGGGGTGGAAGCGGGCGCGCTCAGAGACTCGACCCGGCGGAACGACATGACGACAATCCTCCCCTCAGCAAGACACCCTATATCCTCATCGCCAGACGGATTTGAGCGAGTTATACATGCCGTCACTGGCGGAGGCTCCGATCCACTAGAGAGCGAGCAATCAAGCGGAGGTCGCTCGGCGCTGCTTGTGCGTCCGCGATTAACAAGGGAGCCGTCCCAGGCACCTGCGCTACAAGGCCCGGCGGCTCAGTTTCCGCCCGAGTTGTTGCCATTGCTAGATGGAGAGCATCATACGGACGAGATCTGCACACGATTTGAGGTCGGTTGGCCGGTGCTGAGGCAGTGGCTATTCGCCGCAGGGGGCGCAACAGAGGGGGATGAGGAATACGGAAATATATCCATCATTTACAGGTAGCAGACGAGGAGCTGCGAAGGCGTATAGGATTCATGAATGATGCAGTCGCTAAGTCTTCGAATTGCGCTGAGGACTTGACAGTAGCATACTTTTCCCTGAAGAGGACATGGTTTGAAGGCTTAATCCACTACGCCAGTGACCTGTTCGCGTTTACGTAGCCTACACCATAACAAGAGTATAAGAGATCTGTCGAGTTCGCGTCGGCAGGGTCTGCTGGGACAATCTTGAAAGCCGTGCCGAACGCCTCCTTGACATCTCGCAAGAATTGAATGCTAGCCGGAGCGATGGAACGTCAATGTCGAGACCCCTGCACTTGGTGTTACCAGAACTCACGCGCGCACTGTGGGCTCGCCCATCCTACACCTGCCGACGTCCTCGCTTCCTAGGATCATCATGAGCAGCACCAACACTTGATGTTGCCTGTCGACACATCCTCCTCTCCGTATCTCCGCCAGAAGGGCCCGCGATGCCACTACGGCGATGTCTTCAGGAGGAACGCCAGGTCTGGACGTTGCTTCCGAGCAATGCATGGCCCCTGTGGTTGACTCTGCAAGCAGACTCAGCGCGTATCCTGGTGATCTGGGAATAGAGTCAGCATCGCACGTTCGAACGGGTGTACCATTCTACCACATACCTGCCGCTTTCTTCGCCTTTATACACGTCGGAATACAGGTAGATGTCAGGAATATAGCGATTTAGAACCGAGCGAGAAGCTTCGATCATTCGGTTTGAGAATTGTGGGTTCACTCGAACAGCATGCCTTCGGGGCATGAGTCAATATTGATCCAGGTTGTGAATGCGGGATGTACTCACGAGATGCCTCGTATCCGCTTGATTTTGCCAGGGTCCACGAAGTTCAGGGTCTTGACCTGCTTCACGATGGGACACAGGAATTGCACTTCACCGCCGCCGAGAGGGGGGCTGCCGCGCTTCTTGATCTGTCATGCATTGTAAGCACATAGTCTTTAGGAACGTCTTCAGATGACTCACGCGAAGTTCCAAGCCTTCTGAGACTCCGAATAGCTGCAAGTGGGGAAGCGTGACGGTGCGGATGATATCCACCTGTTATGGCGTGAAATACAACGTTGATAAGATGCTGCTATATGCAAACAAAAACAGGATGCGCACCGAGAGGTCATTTTCATCTGTTGTGATTCCCCGCAATGTGAGCTCCAAGGGTTTCTTCGCGAAGGGCGCGAGCATCACGATAGGCTCCAGGAAGTAGCCCACAGACCGCGTCAACGGGCAGTCATGCACAACGTTTCCGCCAGCAATTACACCGGGTTTGAGCAATACAGCGGTACCTGAGTGCGGCATGAGTGTCTAGCGGCGACGGGAGAGCGCATAGTACTCACCAGTGACGGAGATCTCGATGACCGTGCCATTCGTCACCCGCTCCAGCAGTCGTAGCAAGCTGACCTCGTAGTCTTTCCGTAGAGGAATGTTGAGGATGCCCTGCACAATGCACCTGGGCTGGACGCACCTCGTAGACCAGGGTTTTTGTCGTCCGACCGGATTTTGTCTATGCGGACCGGCTTCCCGCTGAGAACTCCAAGCACGAGCCTGTGCCTGAAAAACTGATGACCACTAAAGTGCAGTACGGTGGGAGCCTGGGTCATTTTGCAGTAACAGAGGGAAGGCGGAGACAGTGAGGAGACAAGCGGCGGCTGCAACGCAAGACGAAACGAGTTTCGATCACAAAAAGTTGCCGCGGCCCGAGGCGCCCGTGTAATCAGCCATAGGCGCTTACATAGAGGACTATTACGCCTCTCCAGCCACAACGGGTCCTTGGCTTCAGGCTGAGGCTGTTCTCTTTGTCACTCATCTGAGGTCTACTGCTACTCGCTTTGTGCTTTGTTCATGGCCGCCGCCGCCGCGGTAGTGAATGGAACTGCGTCCTCGAGCGACTGGGAGGGTCGCTACTACCATGTCGACCAGATCCTCGATAGATCGGGTCCTAGGACGGACCCTTCATTCCTCGCTGGCGATGAGGTGCGGTGGTATCTGAACCTTGTGCTATATAGTTAAGACTTACGGAAGACCTGCGGTACAGGTGAAGGAATTTCTGCGCGAGAAGTGCAAGATTCTAGTCATTGGTGCCGGTGGTCTGGGATGCGAGATCCTGGCCAACCTCGCGCTGTCTGGCTTCAAAGATATCCATGTAATAGACATGGACACCATCGACATCAGTAATCTCAACCGGCAGTTTCTCTTCAGGTATGTTTCCCAGGTTTCAGCAGTCAGCGAATGCCAATCAGATGGTAGGCAGAAGGATGTCGGCAAGTCGAAGGCGATCGTGGCGGCCGAATTCATCATGAACCGTGTACCCGGTGTGAAGGTTACGCCGTAGGTTTGGATATATTTTACGATCATTTAGCGATGCTCAATCTATGTCAAGTTACTTTGGCAAGATACAGGACAAGGACGAGGACTATTACATGCAGTTCAACCTCATTATCTGCGGTCTCGACTCCGTGGAGGCGAGACGATGGATCAACGCCACTCTCGTAAACATGGTCGACTCGGATAATCCGGAGAGCTTGAAGCCTCTCATTGACGGTGGGACCGAAGGTGAGTTGCTCACATTTACGTCTGTCTCTCGGTGATGAACAGTTGTGAATCGCAGGGTTCAAGGGCCAAGCTCGTGTTATACTCCCCACAGTGACTTCCTGCTACGAATGTTCCCTCGACATGCTCAACAAGCCTACTGCATTCCCCATCTGCACTATTGCCAATACTCCCCGTCTCCCAGAACACTGCATAGAGTGGGCATCGGTATTAGAATGGCCCAAGGTACATGGCGGTAAGAATTGAACCTCGGTATTTCCCGCGTGCTGCGGCTTCTCATGCCAACTTGTAGACAAGAAGCTAGATACGGATAACCCCGAGCATATCTCATGGTTGTACCAAGTTGCCGCAGCACGTGCCAAGGAGTTCAATATTGAGGGCGTCACCTACTCGCTGACACAGGGTGTGGTGAAGAACATCATCCCTGCCATCGCATCCACAAACGCAATCATTGCGGGTGAGTTCATATGCTATCTATAGTCAGGGTGAGCTAATTCGTATACTGCAGCATCCTGCTGTAATGAGGCATTCAAGATTGCAACCAGCTCGGCGGCATATCTGAACAACTACTTCATGCTTATCGGTACCGATGGTGTTTATTCGTACACCTTTGAGCACGAGAAGCGTGACGACTGCCCTGTCTGCGGCGGCCAGTCTCTCGCGATCACTGTTGGCAAGGAGTGGACAGTTGAACGTCTCATCGAGATACTCGTCGAGAGACAGGACATGTAAGACTTCCCTTTTTCAAGTTGTCATTAGTCAGTATTGACCAGGTACTGTAGCCAGGTCAAGAAACCGTCTCTTTCCACGCCAGGGAAGCAGATATACTTCCAGGCACCCCCGCAGCTCGAGCTTGCGACTCGTCCAAATCTCGAGAAGAAGGTTTCGGACCTTGTTCCCGACGGCGGCGAGATAACCGTCACGGCCACCACGCTTCCCTTTAATTTGTCTCTTCGGGTAAAGTATACCTAGACATAGAGCTTTCCATAGCTATGCCAATTGCTGTCGCTCATCACATTCAATGTACAACGACCTCAAGCAAAAACGTCTCTGTCCGCTGTATCACTTCTACCTGTCCAAGCCTGCAGAGTCTTCTGGGCGAGACACCTGTAGGAGGTCTAAGCTTGCTGTCCCGGAGTCATGGTAGTGGTGACTAAACTCGCCTGACCGATACACTTCCAAACAGACTGCCCATGGTCAGGTAGGAAGTCCGGCCATCCTACTCTATAGGCAGGGTGCCGCGGCTCAAAGCATCGCGTTATCTGCCCAGCGTCGAAGTACGAAGGTTGGCTTCACATTGACCATGAATCACACGAAAGGACTATACGGCTGCATCTCGGCTCCTTGGACGTTGGGGTGCGATCTTGACATGCAAACCACAGCACCTGCCTGATTCGGCGTCATGGACCTCGTCCAGAACCACCGTCACACGGCGGACAAGTCAACCTCCACGAAGGGATCTAGATGCCAGCCGCCGGAACATCCGGTCAGCCCGCTCTTCTAGCAGTATATAGGCCTGCATCGCACGACGATGCCTCCTCACCCCTACCGTCACCGTCTCTGCATCTCATGCTATTCCGCCGGTCAAACCACTTCACGTATCAACTCCCCACATACACCGAGTGGACACGTTGTCATGTGCGCTCGACACTATGTGCTAGTCAGGTATGTCTCGTTTTCCTGTCTCCTCGGTCTCGTGGCCCTGATCCTCGCCTCGTCTTCGCTCATTCTGTAGCGTCGTTCAACGACATGGAGTACAGTCGCCTTGATCATCTTCCCAGCCCACCAGCTGGGCCAAGCACGCCACCACTTGTCCTGTCGCTACGAGTCAAGAAAGGCAAAGCATAGTGCACAGCGGTGATCAAGGAGTTCAGCTCCGTCAGTACCTTGAATATCCTGGCGTCGACTCTTTCAATCGCAGTGAAGGTAGAATCTCTGACGGCCGTCTGCAGGATGCAAAGTTGCCCGCGAAAGTTACCTCTTGTGGCCGCTGGTATCTGCCTTCGGGAGTCCTCCGAGACGTCGGAGCCTGATCGTGTGTGTTAGGTGGGCCGATGGACTAGGGGTGGCTCCCCTGGTCTCGTCGGTTCCACCGGCCCATGACAACGGCAACGGCTGTCTTTTTCTCTCGCCCTCGGAACATGCGGTAAGTTGGTTCCCATGTTTGTATGAGAGATCTCTTCCTGACGTCCACTGACTCAGGTCCGTTGGGAAAAATGTCGCCAGTCTACACAAGCACGGCTGAGTGTCACAATTGTACCAATGCGGACGTACACCGAGCACGCGAAGAGGTGAGTCGAACCACTCAGATCGTTATGCTCTCGCCGGCATGTTTAACGTCACCCAGGAACACTCTGACAGCACGTTGTCTACGCCTTCAAACGCTCCGGCCGCACGCTCGACGATTTTGGTGCTCAAGCAGTTATCGGTCATCTTTCTATGCTGTATGGTTAATGCGTCGTCCGCACATGTACTATCATTTCCAATCTAGTATATCCTTCAGTAGCCCTATCGAACAATGCTATCATGTGGTTCTGTTGAGTTGTCGATGTGCTTGTGCTCATGCGCTGTAGTGATATTCTCTGAGATGCTTATGATTTGTAATGGCGGGTCATCGTTTGTGTACATGTTACGCAATGACGTCATTGAGAGAACGTCGCGTTCGTGCGGAGGACTGATATAGCTGTATCAAAGTCGTTCTCGATCTCGTACCGCCAAATGGGCATCCACAAATCCCTTAGATCTTCAGCCATCCCTGCGGCGGTCGGTCCGTGGTGGTCGTAAACACTCCCGGCACGATGACTAGCTTCCCAAACCATTTGCGCTCTCGGCCGGCGTATAGTCGAGTAGGCTTCTAGGACGGACTGAGGCACGCATCGGATTAATCGATGATCAACACCAACGAGCGGGGGAAGTGACAAACCTGCAGGTTCTCGGTCTGCGTTCCCGGGTGACTGAGTAAGCGAACAAGTAGAAGCGCGTCCTCGAGGCCCGGTCCCACGCCAGCACCGAGGTGATGGAGCATACCGTGAGCCTGGAAAAATCATTCATTGTTGCGGGTTCATGAACGGTACTTCGATAACGGCCGACATACTGCATCTCCAAGAAGAGCCACGTGCCCCTTGCTGTAGGTTTCGAGCGGAGGGTGCACGACGTGGACAGACCAACGCACTGTCTTCTCCGGCATCAATTGGAGAAGCGTCGCCACGTCGACGCCCCATCCATCGAAGTCCTTCTGGATGTCTTCCCGAGACACTTGGTCGACCCAAGGAGTACCTTCCGGCAGGTTCTGGGACCCTATGGGAATGTCATACCTAGCCGAAAAAGCTGCGACGTTGATCTGTAGAATAGATGGAAAGCAGTGTATTTGTAAGTTTAGCCAACGCCGGAACCCTGTAGGATCTCAATGTCATACAAGCTCGCCGTTCTTGATGGGGACGACAATGGCATGCTGATATGGCGACGGGGGTTTCAGTTGGCGACATCAGCTTGGACTCGGAGCCAGCACACATCGACCGCTGACCTTGCTTGGCCCGACGAAGCACACCGGACGATCCGTCAATCTGGTCTTGAAACCAGCGGCCTCGAGCTGGGCGTATGGTATCAAACCACGATAGGCGACAGTATTGCTGAACGCAAGGTTGTGTCTCGGCGGTTCGCCGGCCTTGGCGACTACGAAGTGGCGCACCGCGCTCTTGATGCCGTCCGCGCCAAGAACAACATCCGTTTCATGCGTAGTGCCATCTATGAAGTGGACCAGAAGGCGATTCGGGTTCGTGGGCGATTCCGAGATGGAGGTGCAGCGTTTGTTGAAATGCGTGCTTTGCAGGTCTACGAGTTCGACCAGCGCATTGAGGAAGGCGGCACTGTTGCACCAAGGCGAGAAGAACCGAGTAGAGCCGTCAGCCTCGCGACACACGGTTGTAGGAAGCAAATAAGCCGAAAACCTCACCGGTGCATGCTGATGCTGGCATCTTCCGGGGCAGGTGGGTACTGAGTACAAGATTTTTGGATGTGAGTATTTCCGATTCCCACCGTGGAGAATATTCAGGCAGCTCCGAGTGATACGTACGTCATATACCAGCTCATGTTCCCCAAGGCCCGAATGGAACAGGAAACCTCTCGAGCCCAGGTCGTTCGAATTTATGTTCTGGAGAACCGCATCCAAGAGATCCATGGCGTTTAGGCTATGCACACCACTGGGCCCTACCGCGAGTTGGTTCGTTCACAATAAGGAGGACATGGGGATGAATGGATAAACGTACCCAAACCTATACCAGCCCCTATCTCAGCGAAGGCTGCCTAGAATACAGATGGAAGACAATACCTTCGTATGATAAATGAGCAAAGACCGTCTGACGCACCGCGGCTTCGAAGACTTGTACACTGATACCTGCCTTCTGAAGCGCAGCAGCGCATGCCAAGCCGCACACGCCACCACCAATGACGGCCACTTGGAAGTCTTTCTCAGATGCTTTAGACATGGAGGCTCGTGAGGATGAGTCGAGGTTGACAGAGTGGACTCGACACCCTCCCCCATTTGAGCAATTTCGAACGCTAGCTTCGTCTGCTGGAAAGCGTACGCTTCACGTCGGCGTAACTTGAACTTGCGTATGTACAAGCCGGCGGCATGTCGACAGCGTGAGACCCCATGGTCAGCCAGCTACTTAGTAAGTATGTATGTCGGTCGTGATCGCAGTCGACTCCTGTCGATTGAGGGAAAGAGCAGGTTTAGTAGGCGCTAATATCATAAGCAGACGAGGCGTCCCATAATGGCAGGCAGTGGCTTCTGGTCCTAACAAGGCCAAACAACGTATACTGAGCGAAGTCCGGACTAAGTAACAAGCTAGACTATTCCCAAATCTGCACAAACGGTGCAAAGCTTAGCTTCTCTTCCCCGCTCGCCTGACTTCAAATGTCTGCATTGAGGCTGCTGTGAGTGCAACAAGCATAGCGTGAGAAGAATTACGTGTGTTTCATTGCATATCCCATCGCCGCAGCCATGCACCGTATCTAGTAGGCCGTCCACGTCTGCCTCTCCTCCGACGGCCTCTTGACGAACTTTATTACAGACCCTCAGCAAGACCCTCAGCAAAATGCCGGCAGCACAGTGATTCTCCCTCTCCAGGACACCATTCCTCGCGCGTTCTTCGTACTGCGTGTCTGCAATGAAGTCCGTGCTCCTCATCGTTTACGGAGGAGAGCTCAAGCCCCGCACGCCGATAGACGCGAGAGTGGAACATGATGCTACTCCAAGAGGCTCGCTCCACGTGTTCGAACTGGCTAACGGCCTGCTCTTGAATATATAGTGATTGCCTGAAGCTGAATAGTGGCGGCGAACGTCAAACGAGGGTTCCCCTAGGGCGAAGCTATTCAGGCATTATTTTTGCAATACACTCTCATATCTTTCGGAGACAGCTGCCATGCCCACAATTGCCCGTGTAGTGAACGGAGAACTACAGGTAGTATAGGGCAAAAGCCACAGAGATTTTGAAAGTTTTCGAGTAGACCAATAGTTACCATACTACGTACTGCACAGTACCCATGCCGTTCTTATGACATCGCGCTACCACTTCGCACTTCGCAAGCTGCAAGGATTGGACGTGGTTTATGAGCGCATAGCATGGGGACAGGCCGTCTGCGGTCCGGACAGCCGAAGGGAGAGGGACGAGCGCCTGAGGGGTATAACTCCCTGCACGGTCACGATGACGGTGGGCCTCGCTCGAGCACGGTCGTCGCTACACTTCGTCCGCATCGCCCAGTACCGACGATGTTACTCGACACGCCCGCCGTCCCTCACCCTCCTCGGCAAGGAGTACCCCACAGACAGCACGACGAACATCACCTCCGCCATCGCAGACAAGGTCGGCCGCAACCTCTACACGGACCCCGCCCACCCGCTCGGCATCCTGCACGCCCTCGTCTCCTCCCACTTCCACGACTTCCGCTCGCACGTCGGCCTGCCCCCCGTCGTCACCCCCGCGCAGAACTTCGATGACCTCGGCTTCCCCCCAGACCACCCCGGCCGCGCCCCGACGGACAGCTACTACCTGAACCGGGACGCGATGCTCCGCACGCACACGTCCGCGCACGAGGTCGAGACGTTCGCGCGCGGCGAGCGCCGCTGGCTGCTCGCCGCGGACGTGTACCGCCGCGACGAGATCGACGCGTCGCACTACCCCGTCTTCCACCAGATGGAGGGCGCCCGCGTGTTCGGCGCCGACGAGGCGGGGCGCGCGGAGGTCGAAGCGGACAACGCGCGGCTCGAGCACCATCTTGCGCGGTCGAACATCGTCATCGAGGACGTGCCGCACATCTCGGCGACCAACCCGAGGCAGGAGGCGCACGACCCGGTCATGGCGGAGCTCGTCGCGAAGAACTTGAAGCTGTCGCTGAACAGTCTGATGTTGACGCTGTTCGGGGACAGAGGGGGTGTGAACGAGGACGAGCCGTTGCGCGTGAGGTGGATTGAGGCGTTCTTCCCGTTCACGACGCCGAGCTATGAGGTCGAGGTGTTCTTCCGCGGGAAGTGGCTGGAGATTCTGGGGTGCGGAGTTGTGCAGCAACGTACGCTAGACCGTGCCAGTAGGTGTATTCACACAATCCGTTCTCAGCGTATAAACTAACTTCCTATCACAGGGGTTCCTGATAGCATTAGCTGGGCTTTCGGTCTTGGGTTGGAGCGCATTGCTATGATCCTGTTCTCAATACCGGACATTCGCCTCTTCTGGTCACAAGATCCGCGCTTCGTTTCTCAATTCACGGCCGGCCAGATCAGCACCTTCAAGCCATACTCGAAATATCCTGCGTGCTACAAGGATGTCAGCTTCTGGCTGCCGGGGAGTGGTCTGCACGACAACGACTTCTGTGATTTGGTCCGGGATACTGTCGGCGACTTGGTACAAGACGTCGTGCTGGTAAGTGCACAGTCGCTGTATGCTATCCAGGAGCATTGTACTGAACGTGCAACAGATCGATGACTTCACACACCCAAAAACAAACCGGCGCAGTAAATGCTATCGCATAAACTACTGTTCCATGGACAGGTGAGCGGGCATGCGTATTCGTGGCAAATTGTATCCTGAATGCATAACGCGTAACGTAGATCACTGTCCAATGAGGAAGCGAATGAAGTCCACACGCAGGTCATCGCAAACCTCAAGGACAAGTTCGGAGTAGAGATACGTTAATTAGTAGTGGTTAATATACTATAATGGGGGCTCTACCACATCGCTCTACTCATCCTCCTGTCCATACACATCGGCGATGCAACGACGTGACATACCGAACTAACCCAACTTGTGAAGGAAGCGTGGACATGTCATGATGAGGTATCCTGGACGACGCCAACCTGCGCGGCGCGCAATACGCGGTCCTTGATCATGTAGCCGACCTTTTGGCACTCGAGCACGGTGCCAGGCTCCTTTCCAGGAATCGGCGCCTGGTAGAGGGCTTCGTGCCTATTGGGGTCAAACTTTTCCCCAGTGGGGTCGAAGGGCTTGACGTGGTGCTTGAAGAGGGTGTGAAGGAGTAACCGCTGGGTCGCCTCGACACCCTCGTAGAGGTCTCGTAAGTGCGCATCAGCGCCCTTCTCTGCGGGTGTGTCGGAGGATTGTGATGATGACGAGGAAGCGTCAGCGGATTGTGGTGGGGGGGCGAGGGCGGATTTTGGGATGGACTTCAACGCCAGGGAGAGGACGTCGATCGTCTCGAGGAGGTCGCCAGCGAAGCGGGTGATAGCGAAGTCGCGGGCTTGCTCCTTTTCTCTCGCAGCGTTGCGCTGGAGGTTGAGGAAGTCGGCCTGGAGGTACCGTAACCGGCTCTACAAAGGGAGGTCAGCACCTGACCAGCATACGACCGAAGTGGGCAGCGAGCACAGAGACACTGACCATACAGTCAGCTACTTTTGCCTCCTCCTCCTTCAGCTTCTTCCCGAGTTCTGCCTCTACAGACACCTCTACCTCGTCCTTCTCGGTCTCCTCAGCCGGTATAGGGTCCTGCGCGTTCTTCGTCTGGTCTGAGTAATAGCGTGACCTCATCGTGCCGACTGCGGCTCTCCTGCTCACGGCGTTCAGCGAAGAACGCGCGAGTGTGCGCGACGACAGCGCGCCAGTGGCCGAGCGGAAGGCCTGGACTGCATGGATGTTGAACATGGCGGGGGACGAGAGAGAAAGGGTAGCGGACGGAGACGGTCGGACGGTGGACTCAGATGACGGAGGTGAGCAAGACGCTGGCCAGGGCCGCTGGCAGACCCTCGTCTCTTCTTGGAAATTTTGGGCGAGCAGCCCACGTGACAGCATAAGCTGGCAGGATGCTCGACGTCTTCATAGGTCGCTACTGACTCGGCCAACCCACTGGGGACCAGGGCCTCTTGTCACACACCACCACGACGCGCACGCAGAACGCGAACAAAGTCGCAGTGTTTGCAGTAGAAAACTGCCCACGCGCGAGCAGAACGAGGCGACACGGGACTCCGAAGACGCGACCGATAGCGCGCTACGCGTTCTCCCCCGCCTGCCCCTAAAGGGAATTCGAGATGCGGCGATTCCTGCAGGCTGCTGCATATCGCCCTCTCTCCTCCCTCCATCACCTCCGGACCATGGCCACCAACGCAAAGGTCATCGATGGGACCGCCATCGCAAAGTATGTCGCCCTTGGCGCCCCCCGCGCTAATCTCAGGCGCTGACCGACGCGATCCGCACAGATCCATCCGCGACGAGGTCGCGGGCAGGATCAAGACCCTGCAGTCCCAGTATCCCCGCTTCAAGCCGCAGCTCGCTATCATACAGGCCGGCGCGCGTCCGGACTCGTCTGTGTACGTGCGCATGAAGGCGAAGGCCGCGGAGGAGGTCGGCATCCACTTCAAGCACGTCCAGGTCCCGGAGGAGGCGGAGGTGTCCGACATCGTCGACATCGTCCAGAAGCTCAACGACGACGAGACCATCAGCGGCATCCTCGTACAGCTTCCGCTTGGCTCCCATGTGGGCGCGGACGGCGAGCGGACCGTCACTGAGGCCGTGAGCCCCGAGAAGGACGTCGATGGGTACGTGTACAATGCGTTTTCTCGCGGACTATGTCGCGCCGTCTGCGCGTGCACCCCGCTTGACAACCCAGAGATTGTGTGTGCAGATAACGCATCCCCGTGCGAGCCCGCACATGTGCCTCCGTTCAGCTTGAATCACCTCGAGGCGCCTGCGCTCACGCGACGTAAAGCTAAATGCTGACTAGTGTCGTGTTTACCTCAGGTTCCATGCATACAATATCGGCCATCTTTCCTCGCGTGCTTCGGATCCTCTCTTCGCCCCATGCACGCCCACTGGTGTTATTCGTCTTTTGGATTCCACCGGAGTCTCGATCGCTGGTTCTCGCGCCGTGGTCCTCGGCCGGAGCGACATCGTTGGCAGCCCGGTCGCTGCCATGCTCAGGCACCGCGACGCTACCGTGACCCAATGCCACAGTCGGACACAGAACCTACCTGAGATTGTACGAGCTCGTTTGCCATCTGCACGTCGCCTGACTGGCTCGCTAACTAATTGCTTCTCATGCTCAGGTCAAACAAGCTGATATCGTTGTGTCTGCCATTGGCAAGCCGCAGTTCGTCCACGGTTCATGGCTGAAGTCGGGCGCCGTCGTCATCGACGTTGGCACGAACTACATCCCAGGTGCGCATGCATTATTTAAAACGAATCGCCTTATGCTCATGCACAAGTCGCAGACGCCACGAAGAAATCAGGCCAACGCCTCGTCGGCGATGTAGACTACGAGTCTGCGGCCGCTGTGGCGTCCCACATCACGCCCGTCCCCGGAGGCGTCGGTCCCATGACCGTCGCAGTGCTTATGTCGAACACGCTCAGGGCGGCAGAACGCCTGTGGGAGCAGCAGCGCAATCTACGCGTGAAACCTCTCAAGCTCAACATCCTTGAGAAGGTTCCCAGTGACATCGAGATCTCCGAAGCCCAGACGCCCAAGCCTGTCGCGACGCTCGCGCACGAGATCGGTATCCGTGCCAATGAGCTCGAGAGCTATGGAAAGTACAAGGCCAAGGTCGAGCTGAGCATCCTCGACCGTCTGGCGCATCGCAAGGACGGCAAGTACATCGTCATTTCTGGGTATGTTTGCTTTAGCCGCAGCCCGTTACAATCGCTGAAGTTATTTCAGAATCACGCCCACCCCTCTTGGTGAGGGCAAGTCGACAACAACGATTGGCCTTGCGCAGGCTCTCGGTGCGCACTTGGGCCGTCCTGCATTTGCGTGTGTTCGTCAGCCCAGTCAAGGACCCACCTTCGGTATAAAGGGCGGTGCCGCCGGTGGAGGCTACAGTCAGGTCATCCCGATGGACGAGGTGAGTAGCTATAGCGGACGAGGAGTGAACTTCGCTGATACCCCACTTCTAGTTCAACCTGCATCTCACTGGTGATATCCACGCCGTGACTGCAGCAAACAACCTTCTCGCGGCTGCGCTGGACGCGCGTATGTTCCATGAAGCTACCCAGTCAGACAAGGTGCCCAGGATTGCGGTTCGGTAGACCTGTGATCACCACTGACCTCTGAATACCGTAGGCCTTGTATAGCCGTCTCGTCCCCGCGAAGAAGGGCAAGCGCGAGTTCGCCCCTCTGATGCTCAAGCGCCTCAAGAAGCTCGCCATCGACAAGACCAAACCCGACGACCTCACTCCCGAGGAGATCAACCGCTTCGCCCGTCTAGACGTCGACCCCGAAACGATCACTTGGAACCGCGTCGTCGACGTGAACGACCGCCACCTCCGTAAGATCACCATCGGCCAGAACCCCACGGAGCAGGGCCACTCGCGTGTCACCGGCTTCGACATCTCCGTCGCGTCCGAGTGCATGGCCGTCCTCGCGCTCACGACAGACCTGGCGGACATGCGCGAGCGTCTGGGCGCGATGGTCGTTGCGACGAGCAAACGCGGCGAGCCCATCACTGCGGACGACCTCGGTGTTGGAGGCGCGCTCGCTGTTCTCATGAAGGACGCGATCAAGCCTAACCTCATGCAGACGCTGGAGGGCACCCCTGTCTTTGTCCACGCCGGCCCCTTCGCGAACATCGCACACGGCAACTCGTCTATTCTTGCCGATCGCGTCGCGCTCAAGCTTGCGGGTACGGAGGAGGGCGACTCCTCCGACCGCGTCGGCTACGTCCTCACGGAGGGTGGCTTCGGGGCGGACATGGGCATGGAGAAGTTCTGCAACATTAAGTGCCGTGTGAGCGGCCTCAAGCCCGACGCCACCATCATCGTCGCGACGACTCGCGCGCTGAAGATGCACGGGGGAGGTCCCGACGTCACCCCCGGCAAGCCCCTTTCCGACACGTACACCAAGGAAGACCTTGTTACGCTCAAGGAGGGCACCAAGAACCTCGCGAAGCACATTCAGAACGCGCGCAAATTTGGCCTGAAGGTCATCGTCGCTATCAACCAGTTCGCGTAAGTGTCATCATCGAACGCGCTCGTTCTGGCAGATATCTCATGCGGTCGTCTTCAGCTCTGATACCCCGGCCGAGCTTGAGCTTGTCAGGCAGGAGTCGTTGGCCGCAGGCGCCGATGCCGCTGTGGTTAGCAACCACTGGGCCAAGGGTGGTGCCGGCGCGCGCGATCTCGCGGAGGCTGTCATCGCGACCTGCGAGGGCGAATCTAACTTCAGGTTCCTCTATGACCTCGACCTCCCCATCGAGAAGAAGATTGAAATCATCTCGAAGGAAATCTATGGTGCCGACGGCATCGAGCTCAGCGAGCTCGCCCAGAAGCAGGTCGAGACTTACACCCGTCAGGGCTACGGCAACCTTCCCAGTACGTGGCCCCTTCCGTCCCCGTTCATGCAACTTCGGTAGTTTACTGACGCCGGATTGCACACAGTCTGCATGGCAAAGACTCAGTACTCGTTCTCGCACGACCCGAAGCTCAAGGGCGTCCCGACGGGCTTCACGATCCCGATCCGCGCCGTCCGCCTCTCCGCCGGCGCAGGCTTCCTCTACCCCATCCTCGGCGATATGCAGACCATGCCCGGTCTTGGCACACGGCCGGGCTTCTGGGAGGTCGGACTTGACCCTGAGACGGGCCGTGTCGTCGGCCTCTTCTAAAGGCAATCCTCGGGCCCCTCCCATCTAGATGCATTGTCTTCACCAGATAGGCCTCTAGTGCAGAACCGACCACCCAGCGATGCGCTGCATACCGTTCAACACGGCAGATAGCGGGAGTTCAACACCGTCCCGTGACGCGATTGTGTTGTGTTGCCTAGATTCCAAGGGCTCTGCGGAGACAAGAGCAGCGCCGAGAAGCGCCGAGAAGTGGCGAGGTGAGGCGAGGTCGGATTTCTGGGGTTGAATATTAGGGTTCTCAGATGGAGTCGATGCTCTGCTGTTGTAGTGAAGCATGCTTTATATCTTCACAACATCCAACTGTTCATATACCAGGCAACGATCTCAACGATCTGACGCAATAGATACAACAATTTCAAGCAGTCCAGCGCCACTGTATTCGGCACTCAGTTTGCGATCTTCCGAGCTCCCGGGAACCGAGGTGTCGGAATACTCTGAGGTGTCTGAGCGAAGCCAGGGAATTTGAAGGCGGTGGTTGGCGCGAGCGACCCGCCCTGGTGGTCAGATGTGATGTTGTTGTCGACCGCGGTCACCCCGCGGTTGTAAGTGTTGCCCTTCAGGTCGACGTAGGAGAACACGTTCGAGTTCGTGCCGTTGCCGGTGTTACCAGTGGAGGCCTCTGTGAAGAAGCCGGCTGTTGCGGTGTGAGCACTGAGTACTGATTGCTCATGGTAAGTCTAACTCAGGGAACGTACTTGCGGTCTGGTGGTTCTTGATTGTGGAACCGAGGATGAATGGTGCGGGTTGGGATACGCGGTTGAGCGAATGGTCAAACGTGGCGACGACTGCGGACGTAATGAAGTCAGAGGTAGATAGATACCTGGGAAATCACAGTGGGCTTACATTGAGAACCATCGGGGGAAAGGACGGTGAAGTTGATAATAAGCGGGTATGAGAACTCGTCCACTAGCGTCGGCACTCCATTGTGCGTCGAGAGGAACGATCCCTTTGCACTCTGATTCACGATCTACAGGGACGTCAACGTCTGTTCCCAAAGGGCTTACGCATATGAGAGCTCGTTGATACCTGGATGAAGGTGTTGTCAAGATAGTTCTGAGTGTTCGAGTACTCGAGGTTCTGGCTCCACACGACGTGTGTGGTCTGGCCGCTTCCGCTCGTAATCTCAGCCTCTATGTGGATGTTACGCGTCGCCGCGACCGTGACGTTCACGTCGCCATTGGCACCGACGCTCCCGGTAGTGTTCGTGACCGCGAAGTCGTCCGCATCGTAACGGGTGATCTTGCCGGTGGTCGGCTTGCCAGACGGATCGGTGACGACCTGGAGGCTGCCCGAGACGAACCAGTTCTGGTTGATCGTGTGGTCGTCTTCCGCGGAGACGACGTCGAGGCTGATGTTGTGCGGCTGGCCGTCGGTCAGCACGGGAACGAATGGCGTGAGGTCGAGGAAGTAGGTGGGGAGGTCGATCGCGCCGTAGGATGTGATCGGCCTCCATGCTGTAGGGACGATACCCCCAGTGAAAATCACGGCGTACCTGACACGGCTTTAGCGAGTTGGTTCGAGGGGGATGAGGGGCACACCTACGGGAACGCTACGCCGGCAACCTGCCCGTCGACCAACAGGCGGACTTCACGGAAAGGACCGCCTCCGAAGGTAGTACCGCTTGGGAGGTCGCCCAGGAACTCGTTGGCCGTGTTGAAGTACTGGAAGTGACTGGATGTTAGTCGACACTGACATGCATGCGCGCGCATGTACCAACCCAGAACTCCTCGTTCCCGTTGCCCGAGGCGTACAGCTCAGCAAAAATCTGTACGGCGTTTGGGGGCACTGTGACATTCAGCTGCATGATAGAGGTCAGCTCCGGTAACGATCGATGTCGTGCACAGGACACCCACAGAGAATGTGGGGGGCACCGATGCATCATTTCCGGTGTTGTTCGCAAGGGTGGACACTGGTATAATGACATCCGCCTTGGGCGCGGGCGGATGTGCGGCTGAAGACGCAAAGAAAGTGGCATGCAGGGTGGCTGCAGTACATATGATCAACAGCCAGTGCATTCACTGGTACAAGTGACCTACTCGCGTACTGCCCGTCCAGACCTGTCTCGAGCAAGTTGTCAAGCTGGAGGATGAAAGTTCCGTTCTTCGCGAAAAGTGGAGTGTAACGTGTCACGTCCTTCAGGTAGGTCCAGATGATACCGTCGCCGCGAGTAGGTTCAGGCGTCGACGTACGCCAGACTAGAACAAAACTTATTGAGCTTCATTCGCGAAGGGAGCGTCACTTTGCGATTCACTCTCGACATTTTGGAAGGTGAAGATACCTGAACATTGCGTCAGTCAGTCATGCACTTACTGCCTTCTGATCCGGACTTACCTAGACGATCGAACTGTGTACCGTTCGAGGTTACCGTGAAGTTCAGGCTGATGCCAGCCCAAGACCCGACTGGACCGCAATCCGTGGGAGGTCTGGGCCCATGGATGTTATTTTTGACTGCCATTTCGCGCCAGCCCGTATGCCCGGACTCACGTATATTCCACTACTTCAGCCCTGCAAAGCAAAGTTGCCTGTAGTCATGCCGTTATCCTGTACTCTATTCGACACGAGTACTCACGCTCCAAACGAGTTTCCGAACGTACGCCTGTCGACAGACCGGTCAGATCAAGACCATATATCATGGCACGCATGTCTGGAAACTGAGACCTCATACGCACTGGAGGATTTGAACGGTGCATTGCTTAGCGTCCTTAGGGAGAGGGGGCGGCTGGGCGACCTGGAAGTCGACGAGCACTGCCGCTCGCACCGCAGCCGTCGCGACCGCTAAGCCCGCCAACAGCTTCGCGAACATGTTGCACAACGCGATTCCTTAGAGCTGGACGGACGAATGGAAGGCTGAACCCGAACGGGGGACTGACGGGAGGGCCAGCGAGGACACGGAACGTCATCTCGAAAACGCGACGCGGACTTTATAGCCGTGCGCGAGTGATGAGAACAGTCCAGGGACCGAAATTCTTGACGGGAACGCGCGAGATTGCGTCGTGCACGCGGGCCATGTGGTGCGCGATGGGAGTACGCGTTCGCTGTTGTCGCAATTATAGCCTGTCGCGCAGAACTCGTCATTGCCGAATTCATCGTGCAGTGTGCACTGCTCGGGGGGCGGTGCTTAGATAGACTCGGAGATTTGTTATAGGACTATGTACACATCACGAAAGCAGATGTCTTGGAGAAGGAGAAGGGATGAGAACGGTACCTGGAGGACACTCTCCGAACCTGATTCCGTTGGCGCTTCGAGTCGAAGGATCCCGCTGCCAGTTGCCTCATCGTGCGGTTGCTACCTGGAACCTGGACAAGAGCGACGAACACACCACGAACAGCGATGCCCAGGACGTAGCAGGAGCTGTCCCATCAGGTATGCGATGAATAGATATCGAGTCATGCAGACAGCGGTACATATACATGGGTGAGGTCTTCTGCGTGCCCGCATCGCTCGTGCAACGAAAGGAGTGTCGTAAGATCAGGACTATATGTCCACCGCCGTCTATCCACCCGTCTCTGCACCCCGAGCCTGCGCCCACAAGAACACCCCACATTCATCTGCATCCCTCGCCTTCCAACACAACCTTCCATCCACAGCGATGCCGCGGACCTAGAGCTCGTGATTGAAGATTTCCTCCGAGGTCGTCCTGCGCAAACCGTCCCGCTCCTCAGCAGGCGGACGACGATCGCCGTACAGCCCGCCCTCGGGGTCTTCTGGGAACTCCGTCGTCGACTCGCTCCGTTGGGAGTACGTCTCCGCATCCGCGGCCGCCGACCGCCGCTTCTTCGACTTCTTCCTCCTCCCCGAGCCCTCCTCCTGCGCAGCGTACGCGTCCTCCGTCCGCGCCCATCTGTCCTTCTTGTCCTTCTTCCCCTTCTTCGCCGCCTTCTTCGTAGGGGGCAGCGCGTCGTCGAAGTTGGCGGGGTAGCGCCACCGCCCAGAACCCTGCGTGGCCGTGCTCGCCGCGTCGCCGTTCTGCCCGTAGTACCGCTCCTCGCTCGGGTCCCAGAACTCGCCGTTCGGGCCGCGCGCGCGCGTGGCGTTGTTCTCCTCGGAGAGATCGATGGAGGAGCCGCCGACCTCGCCCTCTGCGTACGGCTGGTTCTCGAGCGCCGAGTGAGGGAGGCGTTCGTTGTAGCGGTTGGCCCATTGCGAGCGGCGCTCCTTGCGCTTGATCTCGGAGGTGTCGATGAGGCCCCACTTCTGGGCCCATTTCGGCGTGCGACGGTGGGTCTTGTTGTTCCGGATATTCTGTTGACATTCGAGCGATCAGTACCAGTCGTGAATGCTGCGCGATAGAGACCGGACGGTCCCGAGCGCACCTGGATGTAGAAGTTGTGGGCGTGCCCTGTGCAGGGGGACAAAATTCCGTGTAAGCCAGGAAAGCGGGATGGCGAGGAGGGACGCACCGGGTATGTACCCGCAAATAGTCAACACCAAATTAAGCCAGAAATCCGTCCCGATCCCAAACCGTGCGGCCACAGCTACATATTCCGATGAGCTTCAATCGATATTCCAATCTAAGAACATAGTAGAACGGCACCTAGTGGCGGCAGCAGAGTCCCAAGAATGAAGAGCAAGACGGCATAGCCATGATGTCTCCGAGGCTTCAGGTCAATTTGGAACGAACGCACGCGGTCGGTAGGCATGTTGCGTGACGGATATGAAAGGTGGCGGCACTGTCGTAGAATAAGACTCAGAGGAGTCGCAGCCCTTGTAGGGCGAGCGTAAAGGCGGCGCCGAGAGGGGCACTGGGCGAGATCGGAGCAATGAGTACAGAGTTAAAGGCGTTGCGGTTGAGCGCTCGGAGTCCCCTGGCGTACGTGCCTTGAGCGTCTATTCGGCTCGGGACGCCCGCTGCGCTGATATTCGGCGCTTGGCATCCGGATAGCTGCGCCTTGGCTGCGTCCATACATAGCGATTAGACCGTACGGACATTCATGAGCGGTGTACAGCAATATGTACAGTGCTTTCTCGCGTTGGACGGATATCAATGAAGCTGTAGCGCCGCTTCTCATGTCCAGTGAAGGAAGAACCAAAAGAACACAGCAGGCCCGTCGACGACAATGCTAGATGTAACTACTGTACGTGCTACTAACACGACCATGATAAGAAAGACATGCACAGCAAGCAGTAGTGAGGATAGATACTAAAGGGATCGTAGGTATCAATCTACACGCTGAATATGGACAACGAGACAAAGACGTAGACTGGTGCCGATAAAAGCTTCCGTTCCCGAAGGTCCGGCAAAGGACCGCAGACGGCGGCGAAGGATATCCATTATAACCACACACGACCGGAACAAATGACTGGCACACCATAGGCCAGGAAGATCTCCTCCAGTCAAAGCCTTGTTAGCACCGCTGCGTATTGAAGCGAGCCTGCTGTGGAGAGGGAAGTATCACCAGTATAAGTTACGGGGAAGGGTTGGGCGCGGCGCTAGATCGCGACGCGTCCCGCGTATATGGCGGAGTTTCAAATGGGGGTTATGTGTTGAACCACGCCGTTATAGCAAGTCCTCTCCTCCAAAGGCGATCGTCCCCGACTGTACCCCTTGCGCTCCCCCGACACAGTCCTGGCTCGTACTGGCTGACGACGCATACACAACGCGTCCAGTGCCGTAACGGAGGCTGTCCTGACCAGATATATCCTCCTAGGTGCGCCCAACTACGCTATTGGAGCTGCTGGGGCGCGACTGACATTGCTGCGAAGTTCGCAGGAATCAAACCATCCCGTATACACTCCCAGGCGCGGCAGTTAACTTGTATTTGGACGCTATGGTTCTTACCATGGATCACGACGACAACGGGCCCCTGCTGGCTCTGTCTGATGTCGTGCACGATGAACCTCTCCCCGACGACCATCACCACCATCATCTACATACCTTGGCCATCTCATCTCCTTCTCGTCACCCATCGCCTCCCGCGCCCTCTCCATTCCAACACCAGCCATCTGCGCATGCAGCGCGCAAAGCTCAGCTATCTCAAGACATGAATGCCAGACACCAGCCCGAAAACGTAGATGACGACCTCTCCGCCGCACTCTCCTCCCCAGACCAGCCCAGCTCTAGCTTGACTATCGAGCAACTCGAGCGAGAAATCTCTTCCCTCCTGCACCAGAACTCTGTCGCCACCATGAATTCTTCGCTGCACCGACTTGGCGACGGACACACCGCCGCTCAACCCATTGACCTCTCCGACGGACCTCACGACTCTTCTGACGCCCACGACGCCCACGACGCACACGACCCCCACTCCAATCTCACGGAAGCACTCGCCGGCATGTTTGGAATGAACCTGAGCGGGTTCGCGGCGGTCCTTCAGGCGGCACACGCACACGCGGCCGCGGAGGACGAGCGCGCGGCGGAGGCGCTAGCAGCAGCAGAGTCAGACCTTGCGCGGCAAAGGAAGGAGGACGAGTACGAGACGCGGACGCGGAACGCCCCTGCATTCCACTCGCTCACCGCAAGCGACGTACCGCTGCTATCACACTCGAGCAGCCCGACGGACGGATCGGAATATCTGTATGACGACGAGGGCGAGAGCGAGCGGGAGGACGGGCTGGGCGGTCCAGGACGGCACCACGACTCGTCGTCGCCTGTGGAGACTCTGGGGAGTAGCCCTCCATCGCATCCCCCGGAGTATTCGGGCACAGACTTGGACGACATTCTGAGCCATTTCACGCAGTTTGATCGAGATCCCTCGCCCGAACGCGACCCTACCCCGCCAGCGGATCCGCATGCGAGCATCCAGCCGCCATCCGTGCCTGCTGTCCCGCCACCGGGCGCGAATAGACGGGCATCGCCTCGTTCGCTGCATATCACGTCTTCCCCGCCTGCGGCCCCGACCCTTGCACTATCATCAACGCCTTACGAGGGCACACTCGCCACACATGAGCAATTGCAGTCTGTGGCGTCGACGTCGACGCTTCTCCCAACTCAACCAGCGCCATCTGCCATTGTCGGAGGGTCTGGCCTCTCCGCGGTAGCGTCGACCGCGACCACGGCCACCGCAGTGGCTGAGATGAAAGATCGCAGCGGGAAAGTGCAACAGGCACATGCGTGCGACCAGTGCTCGAAGTCATTCAGCCGACGGAGCGATCTCTGTCGCCATATGCGAATACATACTGGAGAGCGTCCGTGGGTATGTCCGGAGGGCGGCTGTGGCAAGACGTTCATCCAGGCGAGTCCGCCTATCCTGTCTTTCCTGCCAACTGTCGTGCTGATGCAAATGATTTTGTATGATGCAGAGGTCGGCGCTGCAGGTCCACCTGCGGGTGCATACAGGCGAGAAGCCGCACTTTTGCGAGTATCCGGACTGCGGGAAGACGTTCGGAGACTCGAGCAGTCTGGCGAGACATCGACGGACACATACGGGCAAGCGGCCGTACCAGTGCGAGGACCCGGGGTGCGATAAGACGTTTACGCGGCGGACGACGTTGACCGCGCACATGAAGACGCACGACCCGACATGGGAACCGGATCCGAACATGTGAGAAGCCAAGCCGTTTTCTTATTCTCATAGCGGCGCTGTGCTGACGTGCCTGTTGACTCTTGTAGTAAATACAGCTTCAAAGCCAAACGGCCCAAGTTGGCGGATCCGGCCAAGGACGAGCAGGACCTGGAAGCGTCTGTGCGGACGCTGTCTGCCTTGCTCAGCCAGGGCGACCCCAACATCATGTCCGCGCACGTCCCCTCCGGAAATTCGCTAGAAGAGCGCGTTGCGGCGACCCTTACCGCGGAGCTCGCGGCGGCGCTTGCCCAGCAAGCTCACGAAGCAGGTGCTCATTCGCATATGGGCTTGTACGACGTGCCGGAAGGTGAAGACGAGGACGAGGAGGACGAACCGTACTCATCCGGGCCGGAGCGCGGGCCACCACAGTACCGGGCCGGCGGCGGAAGCCGTGCGCCGTCGCCCCTTCGCGCGTCCGGTGCGCGGGCGCCGGGCGACAACGCTGGCCCAGGCGGGGCTAGTGGGGAGATACAGGTGATGATCGTCGAAGGGCTGGACGGGGAAGCGTTCTCGATACCGCTGAGGGCGCGCAAAGGCAAGGAGCCGGTGGGCGCGAGCACGGGTGCGGCAACGGTGATGACCGGGGTGAAACGGAAACGATAACAGAGGACGGGCGTGAGCCTGGCTCGCACACCGGGCTATGAGTTGCTGACGGACGGACGGACGGACGAATCACGATGATGCGCTGCATGGGTTGCACATACGCACGGGGGTGGCCTACGCTGCGCTGCTTGATGTCATCATTGTGGTACTGTACGATCTACATAATCTAGTGCAAGAGGGCGCCGCGAACGTCGCTGATACCTTCTTCGTGGATCTGCAGACCCCAGAGGCGAGCCTGGAGTTGGAGAACGGGGGTCGGTGGGACGGAAGGCAGCCATAAACACAGGATGACGCGCCGGAAAAGGACCGGGACTCTCAACGACGCCTGAGGGAGTCCGGAACTCAGGGCATGTGAAGTGGAGGTACTTGCCGCATTAGGCAGGAGGGCTGAGGCAGGCGACGGAGAGAGGGGCCCCCGCTTCCCGACCACCTACAATCCACTCCCGTCTTCCCCCGCTTCGATATAAACGCGGTCGTGCTCGTCCTATCACCCACACCTACCCACTGTTCGTACACTAGCCATGTCTCGAGAGGATCAGCCCAACACCGACATCATCACCCTCACTCGGTGCGTTTTCGGATCTCGGTCGATGCGAGCGCTCATCTCATCGCCCGTCGCGTTCCCATTCTTTTGCTTGCGCACGACAGCCACGTCCTCGCAGACCAGTTCAGTCTGGGCGCAGTTGCGACTGGCGACCTGACACTGCTTCTGACTGCCATTCAGACGACATCCAAGTTCATTGCGACCAATGTTAGGAAAGCGCGCCTGATTAACCTGTGAGTGACCCTCGTGATTTTCTCTGCGCGACGGTGATCTCATCGTCATCTCCCCTGCTTCCCTGTTCTTTTGTCCTCCCCGATACCATTGCGGATATCTACTTTGCGGATGGTGACACTAGGGTTGGGTTAGCGGGCGAGACGAACGTGCAGGGCGAGGAGCAGAAGAAGCTCGATGTCCTCTCGAACGACATCATGGTCAACTCGCTACGCGCGTCGGGCAAGACGGCCGTGCTCGTGTCCGAGGAGCTCGAGGAGGCGGTCATCATCGAGGACAAGTACAAGGGCAAGTACTGCGTCGTCTTTGACCCGCTCGACGGCAGCAGCAACATCGACGCCGGTGTGAACATCGGCACCATCTTTGGTATCTACCACATCGTGAGTAGTCTCATGCCCTCCGTATCTCTCCTTTCCTGCGCTTGCTAGGCCTCCTTGAGGGGCGATGCGGAAGGGGGGGGGACATGGAAGTAGGCACGTGAATGAGTGGGGCAGGGCTGATACATGTGAGAAAGGCGCCAGGGTCGAAGGGAACGATTGCGGATGTCCTGAGACCAGGCAGCGAGATGGTCGCGGCCGGTTACACGATGTGAGTGCTTCGTGTACCCGTGGTACCTTCGGGGGCCGTGCACACTGACCAATGGGCACGCCTGTGCAGGTACGGTTCGTCAGCGAACCTGGTTCTGACCACGGGACATGGCGTCAACGGCTACACGCTCGACGCTGCCCTCGGCGAGTTCATCCTCACCCATCCTGATGTAAGTTCACGTCAGTCCCGGATGTTTTTGAAGCCGGCTTGCTCACAGGACCGGAATGTGTACAGATCAAGATCCCCTCACGAGGGAAGATATACTCCTTCAACGAAGGCAACTCCGTGTACTTCCACCCGCCCGTCCTCAACTACCTCAACTCCATTAAGTACCCCAAGAACGGCAAGTCGCCATACTCTGCGCGCTACATCGGCTCGATGGTCGCAGACGTGCACCGGACGCTCCTCTACGGCGGCATCTTCGGGTATCCCGACGACAAGAAGAGCAAGAAGGGGAAGCTACGGCTGCTCTATGAGGCGTTCCCCATGGCGTTCCTCACGGAGCAGGCTGGCGGCATCGCGACGACCGGCACGCAGCGCATCCTGGATATCGTTCCCAAGAGCATCCATGAGCGGTGCCCTGTTTTCCTCGGGAGCAAAGAGGATGTGCAGGACCTGATCAAGTTCTACGAGGCGGAGAAGACGAACGGAGAGGCGAAGCCGTGATGCGGATCAGCGGACGTCCTACCGTTGCCAGTGCGATGCAGTTTGTATATGCTTTGTATTGTATGCGTGCAATCGATTGTTCCGAGACCTCAACAATGAAGGCGGATGGTATAGCACGAAAGAAGAAGCCGTACTGCATGCGTGAAAAGGGACTTGTGATGCGAAAGTTCGTGATGATGATCCTAATAAGCAGCAAATTACCTGGAGGGGGTGAAACACGCGAATCTAGACCAAGCAGAATGCAGTGCAACGAAAGCCACCAGATGCCGAGAAAACAGAATCGGACCGACGACTGGAGGAACTGCGCCCGTGGAACCTCGCTCACTCCCAGACGTTGACCATCTCCGATTCGTGCGTCATGACCGCGGCGTCCTTGCGCACTGGGTTGATGCGTGGGACGACAAACTACATGGCGATCTCTGTTAGTCTCTCTTTCGCTCGCGCACGAGGGGGGAGCGTGGCCACTGACGTTCTCGTTGTACTCGTGCATGACCTCGGCGGCGATGATCGCGCGGTCCTTCAGCAGGGCCTCGTACGAACGCGCGAGGGCGCGGCTCTGCATTGGAAGGAGCAAGGCCACAGCGTGATGTCATCAGCGGGACAGTCCCTCATGAACGGAGAGCGACGTCTGGTGGGATACGCACCTGGACGCCGACGGTGAACATGACGAAGAACATGAGGATCCAGTTCGCGCTCGTCGTCGCCATCCACAGCAGCGCGTGCACGGGCGAGTAGATGCCGAACAGCGCCATCTCGAGCTTGCCCGGGGTCCACACCTCGAGCGCCTGCACGCGCTCGTCCTCCTCCCATGGCTGGGGGGGACGCGTCTTGGGCGGGGAGAGGTTGAGCAGGAAGCGGGCGGAGACGACGAGGAAGCGCCAGAGGGCCTTGAGGACCGAGACGAAGAGCGACCAGGCGAGCGAGGGGACGGAGCGTTTCTGGAAGGGGTCGTCGTCGTTAGGGTTGGGGGAGGACGAGGAGGTGCGGGAGGGGCCGCGGGGGCGTTTGATGAAGGAGGCGTGTGGGGAGGAGACGGGCTCGTTGGCGAGGTTGAGGTAGTAGGTGCGGGTGCGGGTGAACAGGTAGAGCGTGTTGAGGACGGTGGCTGATACTAGGATGATGGTCGTCGGTGTTGTCTGTTGCGTGTGTAGAGTAAGCGTACATATGGATGGTAAGTGAGAAGTGCAGACGCACCCAGTCAAACCAGGCTTCCCCTTCGTGCTCGCGGTACATGTCCTCCCACCCGAGATCGGAGTCTGGGATTCTGCGAATTTGCGAGATGCGGACACAGAGATGGAGGAAGTGCAGAGCTCCGCCGATGACTCTGGCAGAGTTTTGTGGCGATGGGAGCGGGACGTTGTTCGGGAATTGGGATATCTCGAAGGATATCTGAGAGGGAAGGTTGGTGATTCTATCATGGTCATGAGCGTATGTCAGTCAAGTGGCTTGACGGGCGGTACGATTGGTTCGGCTCATGCAGGCTTAGGATGGTGCATTGGCATCCGGGCAAATCGAGGAATGTGACCGATTGCATGTACCCGCAGACTCACCATGATGGTGGTGACACAGGTAGCCAACGAAATAGAACACACCACAGAGGCACCCACAAGATAGAAGTATTGGTGGCATACAGGGCCCTCGAGTGCATCCACCTGCTAGTCTATACAACGACAGACTGTGCATTCACAATCCAGGTCGCAGATAGAGCTGTGGCATGAGACGACATTGACTCACCGTTCGTAGAGAGACTTCTTCCGCACAACACGCTTAGCCGGAGTGGCCTTTCCAGGTGTGCCTACATCGCTCTGCCTTGTCTTCCGCTTTCCGTTCAAAGGTGTGGCATACGGTGGGGGTCGTCTGGACCTCGCGGCTTCCCAATCAAAGGGCTGAGATGCAGACAGCGATGGGGACGTGACTGGAGAGATGGGATAGACAAGCCGTGTCCTCGGAGTGGTGGGGAGGCTACCGCGGACAGGCGTGGATGGTGAGGGGACGGAGGACGCACTGGCTGTGCCACCCATCCTGGGCGAGGCAGAAACGGCGGCATTTGTTTGCGCGATGCGGCGGAGAGACATGCTGCCTGTCGAGCCTCGGGGGACGGTCAGCGGAGGAGGGCCAGAGCAGCTCGAGGGAAGGGAAGCGCGAACGCGCCGGTGGCACGCGTGCGTGATCGTCTCAGCACGCGCTGCAGTCTGTGACGTGACGTAACGTGACGTGACTTCACTGCCCCCGCCACATCAGCCACCCTCGTTTTGTCTCCGCGTCGGAGTGATCAAGTCCTCTCGTTTGATTGGCTGAAACCAGCGGAGCGCATGTTCTCCTCGCAAAACGAAAATTCCGTTGCCAGAAAACAAAGGGATGGCGTGACAATTAATCAGCGGGTGGGAACTCTGGCGACACGTGTAGGGGTGATGTTGTGACCTGTTTGTGTTTGGTTTACCCAATAAGGGAATACCAACCAACGGTTGAAAAGTCAATTCGCTGGGGGCCCTCTCCTTGCTCTCCGCCCCCCTCCTCCCGTCTCCTTTTGTTCCCTCTTTTAAATCCCTCACGGCCATTCCGACCCTTCTGCATACCGACTAACGCGCTACCTCTCCCCCACGCCCCGTTTCCACCATAACGTCCACGTATAGACCCCGTACCTCCACATCCTTGTCGCCCTCGAACTCCGTTAGCGTCAGGATGGCCCAACCTTCCTCGTCTCATCGAGAACGGGAGCGCAGTGAACGCTCATCTTCCCGCCATCACCACCATCGCACCATCTCGTCCACCACTCTCCTTCTGGTCCTCTCCCTCGTGCTTGCGGTCCTCGCCGTCATGCTTTCGCTTCCATCGCATCAAACAGGTGCTGCTGCTGCGAACGGTGAACAAGCCAAGGACGGAGGTTTTTGGGGCATCATCTCTCCGAAACGTACTCAAGCCCTCCTCGCTCGTGAGAGCAACGTCGCCGTTCGTGAGGCCGAGGTTGCTCGCCGCGAGGCCGAAATCCTTGCAGGCGCCCCCGGCGGTGTCATTGCCGCCCCTACCGCCAGTCCTCTTGTCTGCCCAGCCTGCCCCACTGTCTATGAGAAGGTCACCGAGGCTCCTCCTCCGATCCAGACGGTAATCAAAGAAGTCGTCAAGGAAGAGTCTCTCACTCCTCCTGGCTGGTGGGACCAGGCTCGCATTCGCGCAGAGGATATCCTCGACCGTGAACTCAAAATTGCTGAACGCGAGCGCGAAATCAGCCGTCGTGAGGAAGCTGTCAATCGCCGCGAGCACGACGCGTCAAGACGCGAGAGCTGGATCATGGAGCAACTTGTGTAAGTAGGCTAACGTTTATCACGCCTTTCATGCTGATCTCATCCCCGTATAGGATGCTCAACGAGGGTCAACCTGAGACCGTGGAGGAAGAGTACATCTACAACGAGCCCCCTCCCGTTGTACCTCCCGCCGGCGCTGCCCGACGGAAACCCAAGGTACCACCGCCTCCACCCCAGCAGCGCCGCTCCGAGCTCTGAGACGAAGGGGGAACTCTTGTCCATCAATTTCATCTTCATTGTTTCACTTGTGTAGAGTTGGTATCCTTCGCCCCCTCCCCTCCCTTCGTCCCGGGCTTGGGGGACCACGGTGTTTGTCGTCTTGTTCCCCCGCGTCCCTGTTGTAAGCTGGTAGCCCGTCTGCATTCAACCCGCGTCTCTTTTCCCGATCGATGATCCTGCGACGCGCACCTCTTTCGCGCCCACGTGATGCCCAACACGCCTCGTCACCGAGCGTGACGGCCCCGATCTGAGTTGGACCGGTTCGCTTTGAGTGCAGACCGATTATCAGCCTACGCCCCTCGCTTTCCGATCTGGAGCAGTGCGCTGACCAAATGTTTTCTTCCCTACAGGCACCGGCCCTTGCCCCCGCTCCTATTATTATCACCGAAACCGCAATTGAGTTTGCGACCGAGACCAGGACCGTCACGCACACTCAGCACCACACTGTCAATTCGCAGGCGACCGCTCAGCCACCAGCAAACACTCGTCGGATAGCCTCGCCGACTCCAAACATTATCAGCTCTTCCTCTACGACCCATATCCCGAAGACCACTTCTGTGGAGGTCGTCGTAGAGGAGGAAGTGATCGAGCCAGAGGAGGTCGAGACGACGGTGACAATGATGCGTTCCCCTAGGAAGCGTCCTCCCAAGCGGTGGTTTGGGGGCTGGTGAAGTGCTTCTGGCACTGGATTGCTGACGAGTGTTTTGTGACGAACAATTACGTCTTGACTGTACGAGGTCCTCTCTCTTTTATTGCTTTCATTTCTATTCCCTTCTCTTAACGGCTGGCACACCTTGCTCTATCTCGTTTGTTGCTGTATTTTTGACCGCATAAACCCACAAGCCCTCCCCCTTTGTTCCCATCGTCTCATCTCTGACTACGCTGCGACACCTGCTCTCTATCTCTTCGAATAGCTTATCCTGCCCGGGCGGGGTTCACCTATTCAGCTACAGTGCTCCCGTTCAGTGCTTGGCTATTGCCACTGGTACACACACCATTACGACTTCTATCTGGACACAGGTCCGGTAGCACGGCATGATTACGGTTTCGCACATTCTTGTGTATCTGGCGACGATGGTGACGAGTGCTGGGATATTTGTAGAATAATAGGACTAGGATCGCTACTGTCGCGATATTTGCAGAGTCTTGGACTCGGCCTCGTAAGGACCTGCACGTGTGATATTATTGAGGAAGGGTACGCCGTGGTCAATTGCGGCCCCGATGTTCTGCGGATGCGAATAGCGTTGGCGCTCATGTGCACTCAGGCGGGATGTTCCCGATCTGGTAAGACACCTCCACTGAATTTGATTGAGTTGAATACTGATCGAGATCACACTGCCAATGAGGGTCGTCCTCCTCCTGCTCCGTTGTTGTTTGCTGCCTCCAATCGTCGCCCTTTGCGGCCCTCCTCTCTTTCTGGAGAACTTTGCAGTCCTTGCTTTCCGTTCGTTACGTCTTCATCCACGCGTCAGAAGCGCCCTCACAACGCGTTTGTGTTCCACTTATTCAGGCCAAGCACGCGAAATCGTGTTTTCCTGGACAACGTACGCACCTTCATCAGCCGTTTAGGCGCGAGCTGTTTGTATATGAATGTGCATGCTGAACGAGAAACCTAATACTCCTTGACAGCAGCTGCAGCACCTTTTGCCGCTTTCTGACCGTCCCCATCGTATCGCGCTTCTACCTCCGTTGAAGGCCTGCCCGCCATTATTTCCCATAGTTCTTTCTCAAGAACACCGTCGCGCCATCCGCATACTCTTCTCAAATGCCTCTCGTTCGTTGCAAGGTGAGCCTCCCCATCCTCCTACTAATCGCGGACTCTAACCCCCTCCCATGCACAATGGCTAACCGACGTGATTCCCGCTCCCGCCGCCCCCGTCCCGTCCCACCCGACCGACAGTGGTACGACGACAACGGCGCGCCGATCAACGGCGGCTGCCGTTTCGGAACCAACTGCGACTTCGTCCACCCGAGCCAGGCGCAGTGGACCACTGCCCCGAAGCCGAGGCAGGGCTACACTGCGAACCGGAAGCGCGGCGCGGGCGACAGGGACGGGGACCGCAGCAGAGGACGCGGCTGGGACAGGGACAGGGACAGAGACGGGGACGGGGGCGAGTCGGGGCGGAGCACGGGCAGGTTCCCGGGTACGAGCACGAACGCGCTCCCGGTGGGTCCGCGGAGGAGGGAGTCGGAGGTTGGGGCGGCGTCTTCTTCTGGGTGGGGCGCTGCGCCCGTCGGGGGGCAGGCGTGGGGGGAGGATGGTGCGCAGGCGGGCGCGAGTGCGGGTGCTAACCCCCCGGCGGCGGCGTCGTCCTCGTCTGCGGGAGCAAGCTGGGGCAACCCGTCCGACTGGGGTAACCCGTCGGCCGACTGGAGCAACGTATCGAGCGGCTGGGGCGACGCATCGAACGACAGTAACCAAGGATGGGGCGGCGGCGACGTCGACTTCTCGTCGTGGGCGGATCCAGACCCGGCCACGGCCCCGGCCCCGCTCGACTCATCCACTAGCGGGAGGGGGGTGCCACCGCAGCCTCCTTCGACTGCAGAAGCACAAAAGGGATGGGACGTCTCGGCTCCTACAAAACCTCCAGAACATCAAGAGCCCGTGAGACCGACCGTTTCCACGTCGTCGAAAGGCAAGGAGCGGGAAAGGGTCGAGAGCCCCGTTGCGATAAGCCCCCAGATCGCGTTCCACACTCCTCAGGCGGAGTTTACGACACCAAGAACGCCCCGCTCGCCGAACCCGACTCGTAGCCCAGAGGAGCCCCGCGGGCTCCAGTATCAACGAAGGAACACATCTTTGGCGGATTCTGGACCCGCCGCCTCTGCAGACGACCAGGCCATGGCGACAAAAGTCGCGAGTCATATGCGGAACGAGCGCGAGGGGTTGCGCATGTCCAGCTTTGGCGTGCCCGTCTCGACTGCGAGCGCCGGCCCCGCAGGGGCGTCCTCGTCCAAACCGAACCCGTTCGCCTTTCCGCAGTACACCCCTGCAGAGAACATGCAGGTGCAAGAGCGGGGGGGGCTCCTCATTGAAGAGCAAGACACAGACATGGCGGACGAGACTGGTGTCCCTGCAGCACAGGATCAGGCAATCCCTGAGGGTCTCAAAGCTCAATGGAAAGACTTTACTCGGTCAGTCTCGCCGGATGCTTTGCGTCCTAGTAGCATCACTCACCCCCTCTGTAGCAACCTCTCAAGAGCCGTCACGCTGCAGCTGGAGTTGCGCACTCATGAAGACAAGCGCGAGAAGCAGCGGAAGCTCCAACACTCGCGCGCGTACCAGAGCGGGTCCATGGTCGACGTGCACCGCAGACTCGAGAAGATGCGTGCGAACACGGAGAGCACGATCGCGGAGAAGCGCAAGCACTTGGACGCCTGCCTCGACAAGCTCGTGCGCTACCCGCTCCAGGGCCTCCCCGTGCCCTCCCCGGAGGACAACACGCGCGAGAACGAGCTCCAGCTCGTCCGCGATTACGTCTCGCAGATCAACGGCTGGCTGGACCAGATCCGGCCGATGGTCCAGCAGCACCAGGAGGCTCTCAAGCAGGCGCAGGAGATGCGTCAACGCGAGGAGGAGGAGAGGCGCAAGGCTAGGGAGGAGAAGCGCAAGGCGCATGAGGAGGCGGAGGCCCTGGCGAAGACACAGCTGGACAAGGCGAAGTGGGCCCCGATCGACTCGGAGCGCGTGCTCATGTCGGAGCTGAAGTCGATGATGGAGAACATGGACGAGCGCGTGACCGACCTCGAGTGCGGGGTCGACGACCTGCGCAACGAGGGTACGGGGGTCGAGGACATCGTCCTGCAGAAGCTCGAGGAGCGTGGGTACAAGCAGAAGAGCGCGCCGCTCCGGGCGCAGAGCTCTATCGAGGATGGCGAGGTGGTGCCTGAGCCTCCGCGGTCGCTCAAGGAGCTCAAGGAGGAAGTCACGGACCTCAGGACGCGCTTTGAGAAGGCCAACGGCGACGTCGCCAAGAGCATGGAGGAGCTCGAGGCTCGCAAGCAGCGCGGGCTGGCGCAGAAGCGGGACTACTACGAGCTCGCGCGGGATAACGCGAGCCTGAGCCTGAAGGTGGACGAGGCAAGTGCCACTACATAACTTGTCTTTACCTTGTACTAACCGTTATCATCACTACTTACTTAGCTCGTGAAGGCGGACAAGCAGAACGCAGAGCGCTGCGCAAGCAACGAGAAGGCGATCGCGGAACTTCGCGAGATGCTGGATAAGCACGGTGCCGCCCAGCCCCCTCCGATCCCTCCCCATCCCACCGCGGAGGACATCACGGAGATGCTCAGGAAGCCACTATTGGACGATCTGCTCGCCGTCGCCAAGCGGGCGGTGGACCGCCTCAAGTCCGGGGTGGAGGAGAGCATGAAGACCAACGAGGAGCTCATCTGCAGACAGCTCTTCATTGTCCTTCAGCCCGCGCTCGCCATGGTCGATACTGTCAAGCCTGTGATCGACCGGTACCCGGACCCGCATGCGCATCCACAGACGCAAGCTGTGGTACAGCATTCATGATTCATCTATGCGTTTCGTTTCGTGTCCCTGTGTGGCTGGGGTGTTTATTATACTCATGCAGGTATGCTTCCTGTGTAGGATTGTAATAGGCTTCGCTATGCCTGTGTAGATATGTCGCGATTGTTCTCCTTGCTCCAACCATCACCACATCGCGACGACTGTTGTCTCTTGTACTATCTCATGGTCATCTGTCCTGTATTGTCGTCGCATCTGTATTTGCTGTTTATATCGCTACTGTTCCTCCTCAGCACGGACTCTATTTCCGCACGCGGATTTTTGCCACATAATGGGTCTGATGTACATATTGAGTGACCCGCGATGTGTCGTTCCAGTCGCACAACACTTTCCACCACTCCAATCCCGTGACCATTGTGCCATTATGAAGAAGAATTGAATAAGTTATAGTCAAAGGACACCAGCTAGCAAAAGAAAAACCGCGCAAGTCAAGGCTGAGTGGCCCAGACTTTCCTCTGGTAGTCTAAGATGATGGGTATGAAGTCCCAGAAGCCGAAATCAGGCCAGTATTTACTGGAGAATTGGATCTGGGTGTCCTCTGAACACTACGCGTCCGCGATGAGTTAGGAGTGCGAGGGAAGGATAGGCGGTGGCCCGTACCTGCCAGAGCATGTAGTCACTGAGACGCTTCACACCGCTAGTGCGGATGAGAATGTCGAGAGGTGGACTGCCCGCCGTGCGCAGATGGGCTTCAAGGTCCTCCACGGTTATTTTCCTGGAGCAGCCTGTGAGCACGTTATACAGAAGGCGGGTCCCAGCTGTACTGACTCGTCGAGGGAATCATCTTCTAAACGCTCTCGGATGGTTTCTTGCACTGCGTTAGCAATTTCTTCCCGGCTAGTGTACGGAAAGCACATATTGAAGATAGCCCTGCTCGTCCTTGTTTAACATTGGGATAGACGTTGGATATAGGGCATAGGCACTTCTCGTTATGCTGCGTCCTGTCCAAAGCCTTTCGCGCCGCAACTTGGACCCTCTCCGGAAGCAGCTCCCAACGGCCGACGACGACAAGACGGATACCGTACTTGTCCAGGATTTCTCTGGAAGCAATGAGAAGGCAAAGACAATCAGGAAAGCGAATGACATACCCTTGCCTAGCGAATTCAAGTAGCTTCTCCTCGGCGAGGTCCATAAGTGCCTCGACCTCCTCTGGAGAGCGCTTGAAGTTCTCGATAGAGAACACGTATGCGCTCACGCACTTTACGCCGAGGTTCATGCACACCTCCAGCATCTAAGCGACAGAAAGCCTTCAGCGTACGTGACGGGCCCAGCGATAGTTGCTGCAAACACACCTTGCGCAGAGCCCAGAAACCCTCATAGTGGCCATCCTTGATCGCTTTGTGCTTGCTCCTAGCATACCGCCTGTTCCCGTCAAGGATGAATGCGACGTGCTTGGGGACCGGGCCTGCTGAGAGGACTGAGATGAGGGCGTGGCGGGCCTTGGACTCGGCCTTAGTGCTGATCCAGCCAAGAGAGGAAGAGATGAGCTGGAGAGCCATGTCGTGGGAACCTGTGTCGCGTCGCGTCGCGCGTTCTCGCTTATGCAGCAGGCTTTAACCTCGCCATTCTCCACATCCCCGCCTCTCGCGACACCTCCTTCCACCGTAGCTACCGCGATGTCTAAGAAGAGGAAGGCCGTTGATGATCCGTACGACAACCAGTACCTGGCTTGGAAAGATATGCCGAGCATCCCGACAATGCTCCCGCCGTCCAACTACTCGTACGCTGCCCGCCATGCTGCGGCCGGTGCTGGGTCCGCTAGCAATCCCATCCACATCGACTCCCCACCGAAGCCGAAACGAGCTCGGAAGACAAAGGACCCTAACGCCCCTGTGCCCGAGAAGCGTGGCGCTATGTTTAAGAAGGTCTGCCCTAAGAACATCATAGAAAGGGCTGTGCGTGTGAGAGACCAGCGGTACGCCTTCTTACGATACCGCGCTCTGTGCGGGTTCCTGACGCGCTCGTCTTGACAGGTTCTACATGATTGATCGAAGGCGACGGGGCAACGAGCTTAGGGAAGAGTTCAGCGTCCTCGGCTCGACTGGCAATGTGAGTTGGAACAGCCTGTGGCTGACTATTCGCAACTGACCGAAAGTGGTGTATCGCTTAGGTGTATAGTGTTGTTATTGACAAGAAGCCTTCTTGTACTTGTAAGACGCGTCGAACTCTCGTATGATTGATGGTACTCACGCTGTGTAGGCCCGGATGCTCTTAAGGGTAACCATTGCAAGCACATTGTGGGTCTTCACTCGGTTCCGTACAGGAAGGGCTCCCTGCTGACCTTGCATTGTAGCTCTTTATATTCCTCAAGGGTGAGTAGATTGGCGGCACCTACACTCTGGCCTCAACTGACGCGGCGAGCCAGTCCTCCAAGTCTCTCAGAAATCTGGTCACTGGTATCAGAAGTATGTCGTATGTCGTCGAAACCCTGGACAGACTTCTCACTCGTGATCTCGTGTCATCCCAGAGCGCTACTCACCTCCGAATTAGAAGATATCTTTGCGCGCGCTCCTCGTGATCCAGCGGCAGTTGCGCATGAGCGCATCCAGGAAGCATACGCCCACGCCACCGGCAAGAACGTCGCTTCCGGCTCCCAGAAGACCAAAAGGCGGCTCCCCGGGAAAGATGACATGTGTCCGGTCTGCTTTGAAGACATGGAGAGCGTCGACGAAAAGACGCTCACTTTCTGTGATGAGTGTGGCAATGGCTTACACAAGGACTGTTTCCAGCAATGTGAGTCTCCATTCACAACTGCTCCACTATGAAGGCTGAGGCAATGTATTACTAGGGATGAATACCCAAATCAATCAGGGTAAACCTGCTACCTGTACGTTCTGCCGTGCAAAGTGGAACGTTCCCACTGGGGCTGGCCCAGCGAGGGCTGGTCGCGCACAGATTTCTGAAGGCTACCTCAACCTCAGCGCGGCCGCGGGGATAGACCCTGTGCGAGACACTAGTTCATGTATGTATCATTCTGCGTTGGTAATGATTGGCGGAAGATTGCGTGCTGACTTTCACTCGCAGATTACCATGGACCGACTAGAGGTCGTCGGTACTATGGTTATCAAGACTACTTCTGAGCGCTGTCGTTTCTTGCCATACATCTCAGCAACACTAGCCTGCGATACCTTTCAACTTTGGTGTATATACGACTGCCGTCAAAGGCCATTTCTGACCTTCGTGCAGATGGCCGGCACGAGAAGTTAGTATGCACGTCATATACCATGCTATTCCAGGAGATCGTGAGTAAGCGAAGGTATAGAAGCCAATTGCAAGGGAATATGTGGGTACCACACTGCTCTCTACGTCCATCACGGCCCGGACAATCGTGGCCCCATGAGCGTGAAGTAGACGCATCCCGTCATATGCTGTCTCACGCCCCTGACTGTATACTCAGGTGAGCAGAATGAACTTCATAGACTCGTCACTCAAACTTAAGATTACTGTGTCTATATATTGGCGTGGGATCATGCTAGATGCGTTCGCAATCCCCCAGAGCAACTGAGCTCTATCAGCAGTTGACCCCTCTCCTGCAACTTGAATCGTCTCACCTACCAGGTTACACCGTCAGAACCATGGCGCCAGTTGCGACCGACTTTTCCAGTGACATGCCAAAGGCTGAGTGGAACGTCGCCGTTGGAAAGTTGCCCCACCCTCCACAGTTCACCTCGAAGGAACAAGAGCGGGCATGGTTGAAGTTCCGGCTTGCGCAAGCTTTCAGACTCTTCGGTTTGGCTCAAATATACATGCCTGGTTGCCAGATATAGCTGACATTCCATGCAGGGAAATTTGGCTATGACGAGGGTGTCGCGGGGCACATCACGGTCCGGGTAAGTGTTTTGGCCGCGTGTCGCCGCGGGGGATGGCGTCACGCTACGCTGCTTGCTACAAACGCTGATCTTGTTGTACGTAGGATACCATCCGGACCGACTGTTTCTGGGTGAACCCCTTCGTCAGTAATGCTCGAAACATGCCGTGAACGGACATAGATATTGATGGCCCCCTACCAGGGCAAGCACTTCTCGCTCATTCAGCCCGAAGACCTCATCCTCGTCGATCACCATGGCGTCGTACAGGCCGCCGAGTCTGGCCCGAACACGCTCCTGAACAAGGCAGCATTCATGATCCACTCCGCGATCCACACTGCGCGTCCGGACGTCCACTGTGCGGCGCATTCGCACTCGGTGTACGGGCGTGCCTTCTCGACGTTGGGCAAGCCCCTGGATATGATCACCCAGGATTCGTGCGCGTTCTACGAGGTGAGCCTGTCCATTGCTTACTCTGCTCTTGTTTAGGGCGTGAATGAGGGAGCTGGCTGTGTAGGACCATGCTGTGTTCACCCAATTTGGAGGCCCTGTCCTGGATGAGGAGGAAGGCTACCATATCGTGAAAGCGCTAGGCAACAAGAAGGTTCATACATGCTCGTAACAATTGTTGGCGTGACTTAGTTCTGACATACTCATGCCTCAGGCTGTGATATTACAAGTACGTGCGACACACTGTGTTGTGCACCTGGCTTGGGATGTTCAATTGACTCTTGGATCATACACTAGAATCATGGCCTTCTCGTAGCTACCGACTCCATAGAGGCGACGCTCCATTACTTCGTCGCGCTCGAGAAATGCTGCCAGGTACAGCTCTTGGCGGACGCCGCGGCCGCGGGTACTGGCGGTCAGACCAAAAAAATTCCGGAGGCAGAGTCCAAGATCACATACAAGGCCGTCGGTACTCTTACTGGGGGATGGTTCAATGGCTTGCCGTACTTCCAGGTTCTGGAGGCGCAGGAGGGCGTTTCGTTTAAATTGGGAGCCAAGCAGTGAGGAGCAGGGTTGTCTCCATACGTCACGTCTTTGTCAGAAGGCAGCAGGAGCTATCTTTGTACAAGGTTCTGTTCGATTAGCACCTGTCGACCCGTCTGCGCTGATCCAATTTCATACACAGTAAACTGATGTTGACGATGCAGTATATCAGTCGTTTGCCCAAGCGTCATTCATCAACTCATCCTACGACTGATCTGTAGTGGTGAGGTGCAGAAGTACGTACTCGAATTGACCAGCCCCTGAAGGTAGGATAGTTGACATGGTTGTGGACAGGGTCTATGGAGCTATAATGGCGGTGTCGACTACATCTAGAATGGCTTGTCTCAGTCTCATGGTTCCTTTCCTTTCTCTGACCATTGGCAGAGGATGATTCTGTTCAATTGCTACAGTAGCGTGACTCATCCTGGATCAGCGCATGAACCGATCTTCTCAAGCTGAGCCTCCGTGATAAGACGTATCCACAAGTTTGTTCATCTTCCCAGGACTTGTGCGGTCCCATCAGGTACCCCTCTAAACCACAGCATTTTAGTCTGCGTCACTTTCAATGTCCTCCGCACCGCGGACTTGAGCGGGCATCCTCTCAATGCCGGTGACGCATTCACTACGTACATGTCGACTGGACGCTCAAAATGGCAGCGAATGACCTCAAGCTGGACTCCTACTGTTGCTTCTTTTCTGACTGCATGGCCCTGACCTTGTCGGCCAGGTCGGGACGGGGACTGTTGGTAGCTTGGACAGTATGTGACCATCTACATTCAACGTAATCTGTGGACCCATTCACTGAGACCTACCTCCAGCTTTCCCAAAGGACGTTGACCGTGGTCAATTGCACTCGTCACCAAGATGGTAAGCTTTCGTCCCAAGTAGTGCAGTCAGTTCAGCTTTATAGATGATTTTAGTAATCGTGCAGGATGGTTGAACGCATATGATGTCACTGCGCACAACATGTTCGCGGATCTAGAGCGCTCCTCATCTCAGAGTTGGAAGGTATCTTTGAGGGTGTCTGTCGTGATCAAGCGGCAGTCGCGCATGACCGATTCTATTAGGAAGCATACAAGCCACCAGCTAGAACGTCGCCGTCGGTTCGCATTAGAACGAGAAGCGATGGGATGGACTGCGGCAACGGGTTGCGCGATGAGTAGCCTGCAACGAGTTTTGCAAACCTCTGCAAACCTCATGGTAGTCTCTACCCACAAGGACTATTTCCAACGATGATGTAAGTCTCGTTCTGCAAGTGCCCTGTTGTGGACGCTAAGCCAGTTTAGTACTGGGGTGAAGAACAAGAGGGGCGGGGGTGAACCTGTGATCCCCACGACGAGGAATGGGCTGCCCGGCGCCCGCGCCACGAGAGGCTCCGGGAGTCGATCGTGGGCGCATGCCCTCTCATCTGCTCAGCCATCATCATACCACCACAGTAGCTAGTACAAGAACGGATAGCGCTCAGGTCCCGAGGGTACTTTAGCGCAGCCGCGGGGTTTCGCCCAATGCCAAACATGCATGGATGATTATGTGTTGGACCCGATATTGACGTTCGTCTGCAGACTACCATGGACCCAGCAGAGGTAGCCGGCATTGTGGTCCGTAAGACTACTTCTGAGCACCATGTTCGAACCCTCTGTTTTGCTTCCAGAGTTTACGATTTCATTTACTCATTCTACTTTCCTGCCGTTCACTTCCGCTATGCCGATATACTCCGCCCAACTCCAAGGGCCCTCGGCTATGTTTCGGACATCTTAACCGGTTTGCACAGTCATCGCATATGTTTCGATGTGGTCTCGTGAGCGCGAAACCAGCGCATCCCGTCATACGCTGTCTCACGCCGGTTGCTGCAGTACCCAGAGGACCGGAAAAAGCTCCTATAGTCTCAGGTAGGAGCACTAGCACTGTACATGTATATATAATGTACGATACCAAGCATAATAATCGGATCTGCAAGCCCCTTGAGCAACTGAGCTTCAGGACATTTTACTCGCTGCCCCTTCATCTTGACTCGCCTGCCACATTCTAACAACCATGGCGCCAGTTGCGACCGAAGCTTATAGTGATACGCCGAAGGCTGCTGCCTTGAGCGTCGCCGTTGGGAAGCCCCTTCAGCCTCCACAGTTCACCTCGAAGGAACAAGAGCGCGCATGGCTAAAATTCCGGCTCGCGCAGGCTTTCAGGCTTTTCGGTATGCTTGTCTTCAAGATGCACGTCCGAGTACAAGATATGGCTGACATCTTTGGTAGGAAAGTTTGGCTATGATGAGGGCGTTGCGGGGCACATCACGGTCCGGGTAAGAGTCCTACCCGCGCGTTGCCGCGGGTGATGGCTACGCTGCTACAAACGCTCATTTTCTGCGTAGGACACCATCCGGACTGACTGTTTCTGGGTGAACCCTTTCGTGAGTCAGCTTGGGGCACGACATGGCCACAAGGTGCTGACAGTGTCTTACCAGGGCAAGCACTTCTCGCTCATCCAGCCCGAAGACCTCATCCTCGTCGATCACCATGGTGTCGTACAGGCCGCCGAGTCTGGCCCGAACACGCTCCTGAACAAGGCAGCATTTATGATCCACTCCGCGATTCACACTGCGCGTCCGGACGTTCACTGCGCGGCGCATTCGCATTCGGTCTATGGGCGCGCGTTTTCGACGTTGGGCAAGCCCCTGGACATGATCACTCAGGATTCGTGCGCGTTCTACGAGGTGAGCCTGTCCATTGCCTCATCACTTTCCTCATGCGAATGTCGGAGATGGTTGTGTAGGACCATGCTGTGTACACCCAGTATGGTGGTGTGGTGCTGGATGAGGAGGAAGGTCAACACATCGTGAAGGCACTCGGCAATAAGAAAGTTCGTATACATACCTTCGTTTACTCATAGCTCTGTGCTAACGGGGTTTGTGCACCAGGCCGTGATACTGCAGGTCCGTGTCGCACTCGATGTCACATAGTGGGGCTTGAGCTGTCAACTCACGGATTCCATCCAGAACCACGGTCTCCTCGTGGCCACCAACTCCATAGAGGCGACGCTCCATTTCTTCGTCGCACTCGAGAAGTCTTGCCAGGTACAGCTCTTAGCTGATGCTGCGGCCGCCGGCACTGGTAGTCAGACCAAGAAGGTCTCGGAGGCGGAGTGCAAGCTCACATACAATGTTGTCGGCACTCATACAGCGGGTTGGTTCAGCGGTTTGCCCCACTTCCAGGTCCTGGAGGCTCAGGAAGGTGTTTCGTTCGATTTTGGGGCTACGCAGTAAGGATTGGGGGTCGTCTCCTCGTGTATCAGGCTTTTCTCAGAAGGCAGCAGTTTGCTATCTTTGTATAAGGTTTTGTCAAACTCGCACCGTGCCCCTCCATCTATGCTGATTCAATCCCATGTGCAGTAGATCACTTCTGATGACGCATAACCATGTACTAGTCAACATTCAAGGTATATTCCGTCAAATGCTCGTAGAGCGATCTGTGGTGGTGGAACGGCGGCGCAAAATGTCAGCGTGGATCTAGAGTTCGGCCCCGCTCAATTGGCCCTGCATCGCTTCTCGCATATCTGGGAAGAGCATTTGATCTCGGTTTGGCTTCGTGATCTCTCCTCCCAACTCCCGTACCGCTCATCCCTCCGCAGAATCGCAAGGAAGCAACGGAAGGAGCAGCCTATGGACGAAAGAGGACATGAACTGAACCTTCCTACGACAGCGTGAGAGGCGGCCCGTGCAATCGTTTGGACGTCCTCGTTCACGCGGACGGCCGAGGCCCCTGTTCCGATTGCAGGAACGCTTCACGAGTCCTCCGTCCTGGCACGCGTACAGTCGGTAGGCCTTGCGGATGTCCTCAATCCGTGCCGGCTTCTTCGTTGTGTGCTCTGCGGTGCTCTGATGAACGGATGCTGTAGCGTTGGCCCCGGTCCGGATATTCAAAAGCAACGGTCGAGCCGTTGCGGACGGGCGTGGCACACGTTGACGTTTCTTCTATTCAAAGTAGCGTTCTTCAAAGAGTGGTCCTCTTGTCCGGCATAGTCGCTCGTGCCTTGCGCTTGGCTACGATGGTGTCTGTGCTGCTTGCAACATTCGTGTCATTCAGCTGTGTGGCTAGGACCATGGGGACAAGGCTGTTTGACCGGAACCTCGCCTATTCGTCCCCTTTCGCCAATGCACCCCACGTAAGTCCCATCAGCGATGACGACTGTACGCTTGCAAGCACTTATCGGTACTTCGCAGCTGTCTCATGACACGCGCTCCCTCCAAGCACGACATGTACAATTTGTCAAGAGGCAGCACCAGTTGGATGACACTGTGAGCTCGAATGGGTTCACCGACGAGCATTACCCCACCTTCTATGGTGGAGACTTCAGTTCTGTACGCACTCTACCATCGGTCTCCGAGGAGAGGATAGTTGACATGGTCGCGGATAGAGTCCATGGATCTACAACGGCGGCGTAAACTTCACCCATAGTGGTACGTCTCGTAGTTCCGTCGACTTCTCTGAATACCTATCGAGAATCATCCCATCCAGTTGCCAGCGTAAGTAGTGCAGACGAGTGCATGAAACTCTTCCCTGAAATCGAGTCTCTGCTACCAGGGGGACCCTCTGCAAGACTCAATCCTCCTCTGGACTCGTGCAGTCCCTGCGGGTGCTTCACCAGATCAGAGCATTCCCGTCTGCGTCACGTTCAAGATATTCGACAACGAGGGCTTGTCGGGACGTCCTCTTGATGCGGGGGACGCGTTCACCACCTACGACGTCGACTGGACGCTCAAAGTCGAAGCGAACAATCTACAGCCGGACTCCCACTATTGGTTCCAGTTCTCTGACTGTACCGACCCTGACATCGTTAGTCCTGTTGGAACGACGAGGACCATTGCTAGCCCAGACAGTACGTTACCATCCACATATACCATACGGAACGGACTCATTCGCTGATCCCTTACATGAAGCTCCCGCAGAGGAAGTCAACGGAGGCAAGCCACTTACCCTCGCCGTGTTCAGCTGCTCTCGTTATCAAGATGGTGTGCTTCCGTTATGAGTCGCATCGTCTGTTGAGTCTCATGTGTGGTCGTGCAGGATGGTTCAACGCATATGGTGTCGCTGCGCACAACACCTCCGCAGATTTTTTCGTGCACCTTGGCGATTACGTATGTCTACATGTATCACGGACTGCTGTCATCACGAGCTGATTGACATGTCTGAACCTAGATCTACGAAAGCCTTGGTGATGGGTGAGTAGAGGACGCTCTCCTGGAGTAGTGCTTGCGATCACTCAACGTCAGACGCAGTGCTCCAATCGGTCGTGCAGTGGCGGGGAAAGAACTTGCTACCATCGCAGACTATCGACAACGTCTGAATCAATATCGGACCGACCCTGGTCTAGTCTATGCGCATCAAAAGGCTCCTTGGATCACAGTCTGGTGTGTGCCAATACTATGCATGTAGAGTGTGCGCTGAATCCTTTGATCCTATTTTCAGGGTCTGTATATACTTTCAATCATCCTTTATAGGCGCCTCTGATACATTCCGAAGGATGATCACGAAGTAGCAGATCAGGCGTGGAAAGCCGGAACCGCTGACACGAACGACACAAGCGTCGGGTGCAGCTTCTCTCCCTCTGGCGCATGTTTCACGGACAGGAAGCTTGCTGCTGTTCGCGCTTACCACGAATGGATGCCCATCAGACAGGTCGACCCCGACGACAAGCTGCGTATCTGGCGGAACTTCCAGATCGGCAAGCTTCTCGTGCGTTGAATCGTATGAATCAGTTCCAAGGCATTGCTCATGCCTCTCTCACAGGATCTCACCATGCTAGACACCCGTGCGTATAGCCATGTAGGCTCTGTCGTTTGAAACGCACTGAGGTCGCCGTACGTAGGTCAATACGACCGTGATATCACTGACGTGAGCAGGCGAAACCGATGTATCAGCTCTGAACTCTATTAACTGGACTATCTCGCCTAGCTCTACTACAATACAGGTCAGTTCCTGGCGTTCTGTATAACAATGAGGTGCTCAATCGACGACTGCGGCAGATTGTGTGTTATATACCATCGCCATGTGATTCGTCGTTTATGAACCACAATGATATAGTCATCAAGTCCATCGCCGACGAAATGAACAGATCTCTGATGGGCTCTGAGCAAGAGGCTTGTAGGTCCAGTCTCCGTAACATGCGTTCAGCGGTTGAACACATACTGCGTAGGGTTCTATGAAACGCTCTCAAATTCGAAAGCTCGTGGTGCAGTGTGGCGTGTCGTTGGGTATGTTCACATTGCACCTCCAATCCTTGATACATTCTGATCTTTGATGCCCCCGCAGACAACAGATTGTCTTCACGATGTTGAACGAGGATGATGGCTGTAAGTCTTCGTGGCATTAGGTCATTATATCTGCTGAAGTAGTCGTATTCCAGTGGATGTAGTAAGTACTACTGCTGCAGCGTCATACGCATCCGCTTTCCGATCTTGATCTCGCTCATATCGATAGGATGCTTGGGACGGGTACCGTGCCAATCGTAACCGTGTCCTCGATCATCTGTATAGCAATGAAATTAGCAACACAATCATCCTTTCCGGGGACTCGCATGCAAACTGGGTTAGCGACTTGGCACGTGAGTGTTATGACCACTTATTCCTCGTCGCATGGCTCGCCGACCAGACACCGTAGATCCTAATCAGACAGTCACGTATGTGTTTTTACCGTCCTTTGACAGCTCGCACCAAACATCTCTTCCAGCTATGATCCTATCACCGGCAACGGCGCCATCGGGGTCGAGTTCGCCGGAACCGCGGTGTCATCTACCTCCACGTTCGGACCTGGAATTTCTCCCGCAGATGCAAATAAGTTGTCAGCCAGATACGTAGCAGCGAACATCGACCTGCAGTGGAGCGAAGGTTCCTACCGTGGCTTCTTTACCCTTGCGCTTGATGCACACCAGGCAAACGCGACTTACTGGGCCATGCGGAACGTTAGTGAGTATAGTGACCTATATTCATTATTAGCGTCCAAGCTGAGAGTGGTCCCCCCAACTCAAATCAGATACCACGAATCTCGACGCGTTTGCCAGTGCATCGTTCATTGTCAAATCAGGTACTGTCTGACGGGCACTCGTGCGTTCACGAGTCGTTCTCATATTGAAACGCAGGCACGAACAGGCTCTCTCGGCCCATCGCAGGGGGAGAAGTTCTCGCTGGAGTACTCAAATTTCCCGGACAATGATGACGGGTTGTTTGGATTGACCGTACTATTTCAGTCGGTGCTACGAGTTCTTGTTGCCCGATACTTGTGCCTCGTGCATCGGACAATACATTCAACTTGTCCGAACGTCAGCCATGCACACTTGCAAAGAATCGCACTGACGGTATTGGCACCGTTAATGCCAAAATCCAACACATCTTTGACAGGTTCCTCGCACATGGTTCTTCTTCGTCGCCTGAGCTTTATTCGATAGATCGAACAGCATCCACGATTGCCTAGACCCATAGTCTAGTGCATCTCAGCAGGTACTGTTCTGAATGCAGGATCTTCGCGAAGCGGAGGACGGAGCAGCAGACGCACATGTGAGAGGCACGTGTATCAGTGTTGGGGCGACAGTGTGAGAAGGGAGGCGTCTTCGTACGTACACCTCCGCTCACGTGCATTCTACTTCACTGCTCATAGACAACGTAGCGTGTGCCGCGCCTTCTGCGGTCCGGCGTCGATGGCGTCGATGCCAATGACGAAGCATCCTCTTCCTTGCAGTCGTCATTCAGGCCAATCACCTTGACATTTCTACGAACGTGGGCGGAGGTACAGATCCCGGTCCCGGCATTGTGCAAGCTTGGCTCAATACCTCATGGTCAAGGTTGCGGTGCTTCGATAACGTTTGGTCCACTGTCAGGAAGACGTGCATCATCTGTTGGACCATAAGAACAGCGACAGCGGAATGGGGCGCCCGGCGAACCCAGCACGTCGACTGAAGAATGCTTGCTTTGCTTTTGGCGGGCGTCGCGTCTCTCAGTGCTCTTGCGGGTGCGAAGGAGTTGTTTGATCGCAACTTAGCATACTCTTCGCCCTTCGCAAATGCTCCTCATGTCAGTACCCTATGCCGTACCTTGGATCCTCTGCTTTGTACTGACCTTTCACGTTTCCCCACCAGTTATCCCACAACACACGTGCATTGCATGCTCGTCACTTGGCGTTCGCTAAGAGACAAATAGACGGCCCGACGCCTTCGCAGCTCGCTGATACACAGAGCTCCGATGGCTTCGTAGACGAGCATTACCCCACCTTCTACGGGGGTGATTTCAGCTCTGTCAGTATCGACTGCAGACACTCCTCGCATTTCACACACTGAGGACTCGAACTTTCAGAGCCCCTTCATATACAATGGTGGCATCAACTTTACCCATTCCGGTGCGTGATTGTTGGCCCATGATGTCCCATTACCCTAACGAACTTCTCCAACTAGTTGCTAGTGTGCGTTCCTGGTAAATAAGACTGTCAGACTTCTCGACGTGCTGATACTTGTGATCAGGGAGATCCCTTGGACAATTCCGTCTTGCTTTGGACCCGTGCAGTCCCTATTGGCTCGCAGCTTCCCGACCAGAGCATCCCCGTTTGTGTGTCGTTCAAGATCTTCGACAACGCCAAGCTTTCCGGTCGTCCCGTAGACTCGGGGGATGCTTTCACCACTTATGATGTCGACTGGACCTTGAAGGTTGAGGCAACGAACCTGAAACCCGACACCCACTACTGGTTCCAGTTTGCCGACTGCACGAACACAAGCACCGTAAGCCCTGTTGGGAACACGCGAACAATTTCCAGCCCAGACAGTATGTCAATTCTTCAATTGAGCTACTTATCGTAGTGCTTACCGTCGCCGATAGCCCCAGCCGAGCAGGTGAATGGAGGGAAACCCTTGACGTTCGCAGTGTTCAGTTGCTCCCAATACCAAGCAGGTACGATGCGGAATCCTCATATTCAGTGCTGGTATTGACAACGACCAGGGTGGTTCAACGCATATGGAGTTGCGGCACACAACACCACAGCGGACATATTCTTGCACCTCGGCGACTATGTACGTATTTTTGTCCAAGGAGGCTTGCACACACTCACTGCATATGCATAGATATATGAAGCTCTTGGTAACGGGTGAGTCCACTATTCAATGCGCCTATGCTAATCAAGCTTACACCGGACACCCTAGCGCACCGATCGGCCGTAAAACTCTTGGCAGAGAATTGGCGACCATCGCGGACTATCGCCAACGCTTGAATCAGTACAGAACGGATGTAAGCTTGAGGGATGCTCATGTTAAGGGTCCTTGGATCACTGTATGGTAAGAACTTCTACATAAGGGTCAATGGGTTGACTGACATGGCGTATGCTTGGGTTTCTCCGCGAGCAGGGTAAGACACCGTCCTGGATCGTCCCTGATGTACCCGGCTAACATTTGCACTCGTCAGGATGACCATGAAGTCGCCGATCAGTCCTGGAAGGCCGGTACCGCCAACAGCAACGACACGAGCGTCGGATGCAGCTTCTCTCCCTCGGGCGCGTGTTTCACAGACAGGAAGCTTGCTGCTGTACGCGCATATCACGAATGGATGCCCATCCGACAGGTTGATCCCGACGACAAGCTTCGTATTTGGCGCAACTTCCAGATTGGCAAGCTTCTGGTATGTCGCTTCTCTCCGCCTGCGCTGCGTAAGATCGTAATTAATAACTAACCAATGTCCAATGACTCACCTGCGCACAGGATCTCACGATGCTGGACACTCGTGAGCAGCTACATTGGACTTGTCAGGCGAGTCGTACTGACCTGACGCCATACACAGGCCAATACGACCGTGACATCACTGATGTGAGTTCGTTTTCACGAGAAATGTAGCATTTGAGATACAATCCGAACCAAATGCTTATGACAGCTTTACTATAACACCGGTATGTTTCCCTATCCTTGGATCATTGTTCATTGATTCGATGCCGTTATCGAAAATAGGATGTATGTGTATACGTCTACGTCCTAAAACGCATCGCACTGAATTTGAACGTAGTCATCAACTCCATCGCGGATGTAACGAACCGCTCGCTTATGGGCCCGGAGCAGGAAGCCTGTACGTACCTGGTACTCGCATGTCAGAAGTTATCCCCACTGATGGGCAGCTACCAGGGTTCTACGACACAGTCTCGCAATCGAAGGCTCGGGGTGCAGTATGGCGCGTTGTAGGGTACGAGCATGGGCCGTCTCTGTCAGCTGTCCTGGCTGAATCCTCGTGTAGGCAGCAGATTGTCTTCACGATGTTGAACGAGAGTGGTGCTTGTGAGTATCCCCACAGGTTATAGCATGTTCTACCCACTAATGGTGCTGTTGCAGTGGACGTTGTAAGCCGCACAGCCGGCTGTCTCTTATATCCTACTCAGCGAATGATGGATGCAGGATGCCTGGGACGGTTACCGCTCGAACCGTAACAGAATTTTGGATCACTTGTACCAGAATAAGATCAGCAACACGCTCATTCTTTCCGGGGACTCACACGCCAATTGGGTCAGCGATCTCGCTCGTAAGTGATTCTATCTGACTTGTCCCAGTCCCTGTCAGCTCAAATGGCGATTCCGCTAGACCCGAACCAGACCGTCACGTTCGTCTACCCCCACTGTAAGTGCAACATATGTTGACAATGCCTTCTTCGTCAGGTACAACCCCATCACAGGCGACGGCGCAATCGGCGTGGAATTTGCAGGGACTGCAGTCACGTCCGGGTCCCCATTCGGCTCGAATGTGACGCCGGAGCGTGCGGACAACGTATCTACGGGTTACGTCGCGGTGAACACTGACCTGCAGTGGAGCGAAGGCTCGTACCGCGGCTTCTTCACCCTCACGCTCGACCCCCACCAGGCGAACGCGACGTACTGGGCGATGAGGAACATCAGTGAGTGTCGCTCCTCTTGATGACTACGTCGCCGAGTCTCACTGAACACACCCTACATACAGGCAACCCCAACCTGGACGGCTTCCCGAGCGCCACGTTCATTGTCAAAGCAGGTGCGCTTGACCACTGTTTTGCTTGTGCCTGCGCGAGCTTCTGTGCCTAACGAGGAGTTGTGGGCACAGGTGCGAACAAGCTGAGTCGTCCCGTCGCGGGAGGCAAGGTCGCGGCCGGTGTTCTCAAAGTCCAAGGCTAGTAGTAGTGAGCGTTGATTGAGTTTCATTCTCAGTTCCCGGATCCTCGCTTGCGTAGTATCGTACCAATTGTATGCATAACCTTTCTACGGAGACGTATTAGCGAATGGGAAGTACCACCTGAGATGAAAATCTGTTCTAAATGCCAAGAGTGAGCATTCAGTACACCATATACTTACTTAAGCGCTCTTACCCGGCGTCCACTTCTGATTGTTGAGACCAAAAACTGCAAGGTAAAAGCTCACTTAATGAAGCGTATACTTGCGTAGACAATACTTGGGTTCGCGCGAAGTCCGAGAGCCGAAGTCGCCGGCGACCCCCCCGTTTGTATAGCACCGTCTAGACATCAGTCGTTTACACTCGGGACCTGCACAACAGACCTGGAAAGGGAAGGATGAAGGCTCCATAAAGCCTCGAGCTCACTCGCACACACAGAAGATATGAGAGAGAAAAGAAATGTGCAGATTCTAACTGATGCAACTATGATACATGCTACATTTACTTTCGGAGTCCACAGACGTCATGATCGTAACAAACAGCCAAACAATGCGTGTGCGTATGCGAACCGAGAACAAGACCATGCAGACGACGAGCACCTAGAGCAACACGCCCACCGCTTAGTCGACCTCCTCGACGCTCGGGCCGTCCTCGCCGCCCGGAGCACCGCCGGGGAAGCCACCAGGGGCACCACCGGGGAAGCCGCCGGGAGCACCACCAGGGAAGCCACCGGGCGCGCCGCCTGCAGAGGCGTAGAGCTTCTGCATAATCGGGTTCGCGACAGCCTCGAGCTCCTTCTGGTGCTCCTCGTACTCCTCCTTCGACGCCTCCTGAGCGTTGTCGAGCCATGAGATGGTGTCGTTGACGGCCGACTCGAGCTTCTGCTTGTCCGCGGGGTCGAACTTGCCGGAGAGCTTGTCGTCCGTGAGCGAGTTCCGGAGGTTGTACGCGTACGACTCGAGGGCGTTCTTCGCGGAGATGCGCTCCGTCGCTGCGGCATCCTCGGCCTTGTACCGCTCGGCCTCGGCCACCATGCGCTCGATCTCCTCCTTCGACAAACGTCCCTTGTCGTTGGTGATCGTGATGCGGTTCGACTTGCCGGTGGTCTTATCCGATGCAGAGACGTTCAAGATACCGTTCGCGTCCATGTCAAACGTGACCTCGATCTGAGGAACACCACGAGGCGCGGGCGGGATACCGGAGAGCTCGAACTTGCCGAGAAGGTTGTTGTCCTTGGTGCGCGCACGCTCACCCTCGTAGACCTGGATGAGCACACCAGGCTGGTTGTCGGAGTAGGTCGAGAAGATCTCGGCCTTCTTCGTCGGGACGGTGGTGTTACGCTTGATAAGCGGCGTCATGACACCACCCGCAGTCTCAATACCGAGCGACAGAGGCGCGACATCGAGGAGGAGGAGGTCCTGCGTCTTCTCCGAAGTATCGCCAGTGAGGATGGCGGCCTGCACGGCGGCACCGTATGCGACGGCCTCGTCAGGGTTGATCGACTTGTTGGGCTCCTTGCCGTTGAAGAAATCGGACACGAGCTTGACGATACGAGGGATACGAGTCGAACCACCGACGAGGACGATCTCGTGCACCTGAGCCTTGTCGATCTTCGCGTCACGGAGGACCTTCTCGACGGGCTCGAGGGTCGAACGGAAGAGGTCCTGGCAAAGCTCCTCGAAACGCGCACGAGTGAGGGAGGTGTAGAAGTCGATACCCTCATAGAGAGAGTCGATCTCTATCGTGGTCTGAGCGGCAGAAGAGAGAGTACGCTTCGCACGCTCGCATGCAGTCCGGAGACGACGGAGGGCACGAGGGTTGCCGGAGAGGTCCTTCTTGTGCTTCCGCTTGAACTCCTGGGAGAAGTGGGTGACGAGACGGTTGTCGAAGTCTTCACCGCCCAAATGCGTGTCACCAGCGGTAGCCTTGACCTCGAAGATACCCTCCTCGATGGTCAGAAGGGAGACATCGAAAGTTCCTCCGCCAAGATCGAAGATGAGGACATTCTTCTCGCCCGTGGTCTTCTTGTCGAGACCGTAGGCAATGGCAGCCGCGGTGGGCTCGTTGATGATACGGAGGACGTTGAGACCGGAGATGGTACCGGCATCCTTGGTCGCCTGACGTTGCGAGTCGTTGAAGTAGGCAGGGACGGTAACGACGGCGGAGGTGACGGTACCACCGAGGTACGACTCAGCAGTCTCCTTCATCTTGACGAGGACCATTGACGAGATCTCCTCGGGGGACTAGAAGAGAACGATGTCAGAACTCTCGCGCGAGAACACATTTACAAGCGAAGCTACTTACGAATTCCTTGTCCTCACCGCGGTATGTTACGCGGATGTATGGCTTGCCGCCCTTGTCGAACACCGTGAAGGGGAAGTGCTTGATGTCGGACTGAACCTCGGGGTCGGTGAACTTGCGACCGATAAGACGCTTTGCGTCGAAGACAGTGTTGTGAGGGTTCATCGCGACTTGGTTCTTCGCGGCGTCGCCGATGAGACGCTCGGTGTCCGTAAAGGCGACATACGAGGGTGTTGTGCGGTTACCCTGGTCGTTGGCGATGATCTCGACACGATCATTCTGCCAGACACCGACACACCTGAAATGATCAAAGTCAGTACAAATTTCGCAAGCGGCGAAGGCGCGCCAAATTACTCACGAGTAAGTGGTACCCAAGTCAATACCGACAGCCTTGGTCATTTTGGTCGTGGATTAGAAAAAAGGGGGAAAGGGATGCGAGAGGATTATAAGATGAGGTGAGAGCGTACAAGAGATCGTTATGCAAATCGTTGAGGGGCTTCGGAGGGGGACCCATGTTTATATACGAGAGTGCGAGACGGGAGTTCGACCGCGTTCGGGGACCTTCCACCTTCTTTCTTTCCCTTTCCAGAGCATTCCACCCGTCACGTCACCCATAAAAGTCACGTGTGACACAGCGCCTCCCGTCCACCAGCTGTGACGAGAACATACCCAAGACATTGCCAGAACCGCGCAGACAATCCCATCCACATCCACGAAGGTTCCTGCCTCTACCACAGACCACGACGTTTGTCTCGCGTCGTCGCAAAAGGTCGCGTTACGCGCGTACACACCGCGTCATAGACACCCTACTTTCCAGGCCAGTCTGCGACTTTCGAGCCTCGATGTGCTTCTCGAAGATCCTTGGGGATGCACCTTGAATATCCAGATGCGCGATCACTAAGCTCTGAACGGCTTCCGACCGACCCGTTTGAGTCCTCGTAGTGTCTTTGTCGAGATATCTTGCCGAGTGCTCGATCGTCTCGTGTCATTGTACCTATTTCGTTCATGCGGCGAGCAATCGATGCGACTCACGGCTATGTTCTCTGTGGAGATCAACGTCAGCGTGTTTAAAGCATGTTCAACTACGTGTACTGTCTAGACGCATTATGCTCACCAGGAAGAGGAGAGCAACTGCCCGAAACAACGGGCCTCTCTCCTCAGCAATATATGCCAGAGATATATCATTAGGTCGTGTGTTTTGTCTCTCGTACGTGGTGCCGCCTGCAGTCAAGGTACCGTACATACATACTCTCCTCGTCCACGGCCGATAGCTTCGCAAGCGGGCGCTTGACGGGAATGTCGGTGCAGGCCGGACGGAGGATGGATGGGATTGCCTAATGGGGCGCGTCGCCGCCTCGCTGGCCGGAATTTTTGGAGACGTAGAGCAGCGCTCGCAGGTCATCGTCCTCAGTCGTCATGTCTTCCTCCATCCCCGTCAGCGTCGACCCTCCCGCCCCCGACCCTGGTCCTTCCTCTTTGTCCGCGTCACGATGGCCGTTTAGCTTGTACAACCGCTTCTCTGCGTGGAGGAAGGCTCTCGACCTTCCTAACCCCGGCACGTCCGAAAACCTCACCAAGGAGGCCAAGAGTCAGTCGCGTCACCCAACCTTCTGATTAGCCTCAGAAGTATATTTACTTCTCGTGCTTCCAGACACGCTTCTGAACAACTATCTGTTCGATGGCGCGAGGGCTGACCTGTCGAAGTCATTGTCGATGAACCCTGCGTTCAACGTCACACATTCGTTCACATTGGGCTCGCAAACTGCGCCACCAGCATATCACTTCGGCGCGATATTTGCCAATGAGAACGTGAGCACATAGCTCAACAAATGCTTGCTTGAGCTGGTTATGCTCACGCGTGTCGCACAGCTGTTTCTGCACGGGAACATCGACAATGACGGAAGCATGTCCGGGCGCATCAACCAGGGTTGGACTGCCAACAATGTGACGAAGGCTCAGGCTCAGGTGAGTTTCCTGTTCCTCGATGCACAATTTGGGTGCCGTGGCGCTCTGCATCGTTCGCCACGTATTCACCTCTTCATTGCCTCAAGTAAGCGCGGTCTAACATACGTTTACGCCGACAGCTCTCGTCACAAGCTGGCCAGAACTTCTTCCAGGTCGAGCACGACTACCAGGGCTCGGATTACACGCTGAATGCCAAAGCTGTCAACCCCAGCCCCGCGGACGGCACGGGCATCTACATCGGCTCCTACCTCCAGTCCTTCACCAAAAACCTCGCGCTCGGCGTCGAGGCCGTCCTCCAGCGGCCGTCCCCGGATATGGCCGACGTTGCGGCGGCGTACATGGTCAAGTACACCTCCACGGACCGCAACTGGATCGCGACCGCGCAGGTGCAGGGCGCGGGCATCCTGCAGGCGACGTACTGGCAGAAGCTGAGTGACAAGGTCGACGTCGCTGCCGATCTGCAGCTCGTCGCGGGCCAAGGGAGGAGAGACGCGCTCGCGAGCCTTGCGGCGCGTTACGAGCTCCGCATGGCGTCGTTCAGGGCGCAAGTCGACTCGACGGGCAAAGTCGCTGCGCACCTCGAGCAGCGGTTTGCGCCGACGTTCTCGTTCTTGGTCTCGGGTGAGATCGACCACTTCAAGGTACGCTTACACTTTCTGCAGTAGTCGTAATCTCATGCTGACTTGATGCTATTTCGTCTCTGCAGAATGCGGCGAAGGTCGGTGTAGGCGTGATGATCGAGAGCGCGAGCTTCACTCCAGAGGAGATGGCCCTGATGCCTCCTCCGCCCGGATCAGCGGGGTTGTCCGCGCCCTAGCACTGAGACATGCAAGTATCTTACTAGCCATAGAATATTAGGTGCATATACGCACTGCCACCCCTCTTCATGCTCCGATAATACTGCACTCGCATCTTGCATTCACGTCGATACGAGCCGTGTCTCCTGGTCTTTGAGACTGTAACTGCTACGTTATTGTGTACTTCATTCGCAATGTTGCTTGATGTCTCTGTCGAGAAGACATACTTCATGTCTTCTGTCGATTCATGGGCAATTGTTAGGCCGCAGTATGTTTTGCGGCGGCGTGCGCGCAAGCTGAACAGATCGGGCGCTAGTATCGGCAACAACGTCACCTACCCGAAATAGCTGGCATTTGAACCTCGCCCGCCGCAGCCCAGGCACAGCGAAGCTTCGAGTTCAATATGCACCTACTACCTCCACTACCTAGCAGGACGGGTTTCGTACAATATCTGCTACCTACGCTATGTCTATCACGCCGTTGCTTCAGCTGAAGGATGTCAGCTGCTACTACAAGGACAAGACCCAGCCCATTTTCAGTGGCGTCAATTTGACTCTCAACGAGGGCGACGTGCTGGTGTTTCAGGGCAAGAGTGGTTCTGGGTGAGCTCTGTAGTAGCTGCAGATACGCTTCATCACCGGGTACTTACATGTCTGTAGCAAGTCGACATTACTGAAATGCATCTCGCACCTCAACCTATACACGGGGGACATACTGTACCGTGGACAGTACGTCCAGGTCAGAAGTCTATTCACACGCGTGCATACTAATCCTTGCTTCCTACAGAACACCACAATCCTTTGGTGTGCAGCGTCTATCGTACGCGGATGGTCCATTGATTGACTAAGATCCTATGTCCGTCGCCAGGCATACCAGCCTTCCGCACGAAGGTCATGTACGTCCCGCAGCGGGCCTCCCTCCTGCCGGGGACACCACGGGACTTCCTCAAGGCAGTACACACCTTCGCCGTACACAGCCAGTCCTCAACATCCTCCAAGGCTGCCTCAGCCTTCTCCGGCATCTTTGGCACGAAGCAGGACGGGCCAGACGTGACATACCATGACGCCATCGACCTCGCCGAGAACTGGGGCGTCGAGCACGACCTGTGGGACCGGAACTGGTCGAACCTCAGCGGAGGAGAGGCGCAGCGCGTCGCGCTCGCCTTGGCTGTGGGTCTGGGCACTGCGGAGGTCCTTCTGCTGGATGGCGAGTGCTTTTTCTGTCATGCCCAGCGAGAGCAGGGGCTAACGGCGCTCCGGATACTCCTTTTGTAGAGCCCACCTCGGCGCTCGACTCCGAGTCGTCTTCAAGGGTGGAGAATTACTTGGTCGAGAAAGTCAAGGCGAGGAACTCAAACCTCAAGGCTCTGGTGTGGATCACACACTCGCCTGAGCAGGGCGAGCGCGTTGGGACGCGCTTCGTCCGGGTAACACCACAGGGACTGCGCGAGGAATACGTGCATCCGGATGTTTAGATGTTTATGATGTTTTGATGTTGTTGTAACAATTGTGATCTGGGCTGGACCTTCTGCAAGCAAAACACTTCATTTCCATGCGTCCCCCACTCAGATTGTTTCAGGAACGACAACGCCTTACGGTCCCTTAGCTCAACTGGTTAGAGCTTTGTACTTATAGGGTTATCTCTGCCTTGTCATGCAAGGGTTCCGAGTTCGATCCTCGGGGGGACCATTTCGTTTTTGCGCCGGGGCCATGGCTGCGCACCCAATGAGATATTACATGGAATTCACTCCTACACGACTATACTACACAGTAGAGTAAAAGCAATCTGCATGAGCTATATGTACAGTGCAATGCGAGTACATCCATTGGTCTATGGGGGAGGGTCAAGATTGCGCTATATATACGTTCTCCGTGCTCTCACTGGCTTCAGGATGAGGATGTTGGTACGGAAGACGGTGCAGCATCAGCGGCTGGGGAGGCTCGAACTTTGTCCACCCAATTGGAGACCAGCTCAACAGCGCGAATTGTAGGTGTGATTTGCGCCAAGAGCGCCCCGTTCACCTGATTGAGCTGGTCCTTCAGCATTTGTTCGATGTGCGCATGCGACTCGTTGAGGAGTGGCTGCATCTGTTGGTGCATCGCCGTGAGCAGCGGGGGTCGCACCGTCTCGATGATCTCGGCAGCTGAAGGCGGTGGCGGAGGCGCGGGATGCTGGGGTTGAGAGATGTATGCCCGGACGGCCTCACTGAGGGCGTTGATTTCGAGGGTCTGAGCCTGGAGCTTCGCCGACATCTCTGCTTGATGCGCCTCCATCTGGACAGGTGCGACCATTAACGAGACGCGAACCACGACATCGCAAACGCTACACACCTCCTCAATGGTTTGTGTGAGTTTCGCGTTTTGCTCCCGGAGCTGGGTGTTGATGTCCTCCTGACCGTCCTCATCGACCTGAAGCTTGGCAAGTGCAGCGAGGACGACCTCCGCGCGCTTTTCTGTGTCCTCGACGTCTCCGCGGAGCTTGTCGACGTCCTGCGTTAGCTCGACGCTCGTCTTCTTGTCTTCGTCTGGGACGACCACGAGGTCCGGGAGACGGTAGTCGAGCTGGGCCTCAACCTCGTCGTCGATTTTGCTCGAGTACTGCTCAAGGTCGTTCTCGACATTCGAGAGACGCCCGGCCAGTTCGGTGAGACCGTCCCTCATCTGCGCCAGCTCCTCCTTAGTGGGTCCAGGTGGATTCGAAGGAGCATCCTGCGCACGAGACGATTCGGCCTCTACGGACAACCGACGACGCTTTTTGGGGCGGTCGCTACTCGGTCCCGACGTATCTCGATCTCTATCCTCTTCCTGAGGGGCGGGAGGTATGGGAGTGGCCTGCAGCGCTGCGACAGCCTCGTACATGAGCTTGACGTCGTTCTGCAGCGATGTGAGGAGGGCGTTCATCTCGCAGAACGCCGCGTCGCTTTGTCGTTCGGGAGGTTGTGCGTAGGGGAAGAAGTCGCGCGGTATGAGCTTCGCCAATGCCTTGCTGAACTCCGCCTCCTTCGCCCTCAATGCCTTCTTGGTGTCCTCGACGAGCTTGTCCAGTTGCTCCTTGTCCTCCGCAGGGAGTTGTTCGTAGGACACGGATCTACGCAGCCGCTCGTATGTCCAGGCATCTTCTTGCAGGCGGAGGTGCTCTGTGCGAGCGAGGACGGACTCGGAGAGAGTCCTGAGGACGAGGATATCCAGAAGGCCATGAATAGAGAGGGATAAGGATTTTTGATTGGTGAAATGCCACTTACTTGACGCGATCCATCCATATTCGCCGTTTCTCCTCCTCCGATACCTCTACCCGCGAGCGAGACCTCGATACGCTCCTCTGCCTTGACCGTCGGTCGTCCTCGTCGCGTCGCCGGTAGTCGTCGTCCCTGGACCTTCCTCTCCTCTCGTCATATCGCCTGTCATCTTCTCTGCGCCTATCGACGTCCTTGCGTCTGTCCTCATCCCGATACCGCCGTTCCCGCTCGCGTTCCCTCTCCCTATCCCTATCCCTCTCCCTATCTCTCTCCCTTTCCCTCTCCCTCGCCCGCTCCTTATCCCTGTCCAGATCACGCTCGTCCTCTCTCCGTCTGTCCGAGAAGTTCATAGCAGCGGAGTTCTTGCGCACGCGGGGGTCAGACGAGGACGCGATGGACGAAGCACCAATCGACTGCTCGCGCAACGGCGCTCGTCCCGATCCGTCAGGGAAGCGCGAGCGCGACCCTTCCCCGTCCTTCCCCTTCCCCTTCTCCCCTTCCTTCTCCCTGACGTCCCTGCCGCGGTCGCGCTCCGCACTAGGCCCACTCGGGATGCGTTCGATCTCTCGCGGCCGCACCTCCGGCGCTGCGTTCACGCTCGAGCTCGGGCTTGCAGCAAGTGGCGCGGGGGCCGGCGCCGAGGGAGGGGGCTCCTTCGGGGCAGGGGGCGGCGCAGTCTTCGGCGGGGGCGGGGGCACATGCGCGATGTTTGCGGCGAAGGACAGCCTGGCGTCCGGGGGAGGCAGGTGTGCGACGGCGACGGGCACGCTGCCCGATGCGGTGGGCCACTGGGGATCGTCCGGGTGCGCGAAGCCGCAGCGCGTGCCTTCGGGGCAGCCTCTGCCCCCCACGCCGTTCGGGCGGGGCTGTCCGGCGTCGTCGAAGTACTGCAGCGAACACGGAAAATTTGCACGTCAACGGGCGAACGTAAGCGATGGGGGAGCGGCGGGCGTGGACGTCGCGTCAGGGACGCGCAGAAAGGGCGCTGAGGACACACATTTTATAGACGAAGAGGACGTACATAACATCGGCGTCGTTTGAACCTTGCCGGTCCATATATTGCGCTCATGATACCCGGAGGGCGAAAATACGAAGGATGGGAGGCGTTGGCGAGCGAGCAGCGGTGGAGCAAGGCCAACAACAGACAAAGAAATTGGGGGGGCGAGATCACTCGAAAACGAGGGCGGCAAGGGCATGTCTTAGTAGAATAGATTTGACGCTCAATTGATGCTATGGTGAAGTTCACTTAAACGCCTCCACTTTTGTACGCCGTTAGGCGCCGTGTCATAAGTCCTCCAGATATTCATGATTTCGGTCAATTTTGTGTGAATTGCAAGGAATTGAACAGAGGGAGCGATCCCCAAAGGGGATTCTCGATAGGGTGAGAACTGGCAAAAATGGCCGTACCAGTTCTGCTACGGCACGTGATTTGGGCGTCTATATCCCCAAAGAGTAATTTCATGCTTATATAATACCATACCATCGCCTGTACGGATCTGCATCCTTGAACTTGGGCCATGCATGGGAGGGTTCAGACACTAACGTGTCATGGGGTAATGGCTCTATGGAGGTTCTTTGGGCTTGCACTTCCATCTGTGCAGCCTGGTGAGCTCTCGCGAGGCCTGCTAAGCAACGACAACTGATACGAGCATATTGCCAAGTCACGTGACAATTAAACGCGCGCTTAATCGCGTACAAAGGCGGAGGCGTTCAAGTGAACTGCACCATAAGACTGCTGCACCACTCGAGCGTGATACACGAGGATACAATGATACATACACTCCGCGAGCCAAACCAAACACGACCAACAACGCGGCCAATGCATCGTCATGTCGTCCCGACATACGCGGACAACGTCGTACTGACCCATCTCGACACATCTCACAAATCCCCGAACTCCGCGTCGAACTCCGTCTGGCTCAACTGGCCCTTCTTCACCCGCTTCGCCAGCCTCTCCTCCCTCGCCAGTGCGTCCCAATCGTCGCCCCCGTCCTCGTCGTTCCCCTTCTCCCCGTCCATGTCTATGTCCCCGAGCCCACGCTTCGTCCCAGCGTGGGCCTGATTGGCCCTCTCCCACTTCCTCTTCCTGTCCTTCTTCTCCCTCCTCTTCTCGCGCTCCTCCTTCCTGCGCATCTTGTCGCTCCACGACGTGTTCGCCTTGCGCTTCTCCGCGCGCAGCCCCTTGCGCTGTTCGACCTCCTCCGCGCTCGGCACAGGCTTCGCGGACTCGGCGAGCCGCTTCGCCTCCTGCGCCTTGTCGGCGTAGCTGTAGCTATTCCACTGTAGCGTGCGAACGGGAAGGAGAAGGGATTCGGCGAGGGTGGTTCCTGTCAGCGTGGGGGAGGGAGCGATGGGAAGGAGAAGGGGGGAACGAGCTTACATCAACGTGCGCGTCCTCCCAGCCGCCCTTCGGCACGTCTTTGAGCTCGGGCATGCGCGGGAGCCGGAGGAGCCCGAAGCTCTTCGCGAGCCCGACGAAGTCGAGGTCCTTCACGCGGAAGATGTACGACGCCTCGTGCTTCGAGTACGCACGCGCGAACGAGACGAATGCTTTCACGGCCTGAGCAAGTCGCGGAATAGAGAGCGCGTCAGTGACGTCGGTACCAAGTGCGTGCGAAGGGCGTGCGAAGCCAGGCCACGCGAAACGTAAATCACCTTGTCGTGCAGGGCGCGGTCTGTCAGCGCCTTCTTCCGAATTGCATCCATGACACTCGACACCTCCGGATCATCCGTGTCCGTGTCGTCATGTGAGACAGGCGTCCCGTCGCTCGCGAACCGCGGCCGCTCCTTCATGGGAATCTTCCTGACCGCCATGAACTCGACATAGTCGACCTCTCGCCCGACCAGGAGCACCCACGCCCGCCCGCTCCGGCCCGCACGCGCGGTGCGTCCACATCTGTGGGAAAACGCCTTGGTGTCCGTGGGCGGGTCGAACTGGATGACGACGTCGACGTCGGGCAGGTCCAGGCCCCGCGCGGCGACGTCTGTCGCGAGGAGGATTGACGGGGCGGATGGCAGCGCCGGGGAATTTGTGAAATTGGCCAGGGTTTTTGTCCGGGTGCTGGGCGGCAGGTGGCCGTGTAGGGAATACAGGGTGGTGTTGGTTGGCAGGAGGGGCGCCAGGACCTACGTCGCCGGGTGCGTCAGTGAGACAGTCGGAACGCGAGCGGGAGGCACCGACTCTGTAGAAGTAATCTACGCAGGCACACGTCGCGAAGTAGACGATGAAACGCGACGATTGCTGCTTCTGGGTCTCGTGCCGGATGATGCGAGTGAGCTGGAGCATCTTCTCGGAGGCGCGACATGACATGTAGTAGTTCTGCAGGCTGCGACGCCGACATGTTGAATGATGGCTACCTTGACATACAGAGAAGACAGCTTACTTGGCTGGTATGCGTCGTTCCTCTACGGTCTCTTTATCCGCCTTGATGCCGTCGGCACCAGCTCTTCCCTTCGTCTTTTTGGTTTGCACCTTGACAACTATGCGCGCCGGGTTGCGCAATCCCACCCGGACGAGCTCTGACAGGGCGTCCGCATCTGTCATAGTGGCGCTGAATAAGCCTGTCCTCCGCTGTTTCGGGAGGGCGGTGAGTATGCGGGTCAGGGCGGCCTGGAAGCCCAGATCAAGCAAACTGCAGACGAGTTTCAACGGCCACATCGTGACGCTAGCTGAGACGCACGTACCGGTCTGCCTCATCGAGAACGAGAACTTCAAGCTCCTTGACGCTGACAATATTCCTTCCCTTCCCAAGGAGGAACTCTTCTACTCGACCGGGTGTGCCGATCACAATGTCGGCACCAGTAGACAGGAAGCGTTGTACGTCTTGCGCTGGGGGAGAATCTGAAGAGACGATGAGCAGCGGGGGTGGGTATTCAGGTGTAACGTCCAATTGGACGTCGGAGCCAGAAGCTTCGTCCGGCGGCGGGGAAGGACGGCGTGGGGAGGGTTGGGAGTCGAGGAAGAGGGAGAATATGGAGTGTATCTGCGTCGCGAGCTCTCTGGGATAGACAAGGCGTGTCAGGACATCAACATAAGACAGATGCGAAATGTCCGAATGGGAGCGCACGCACCTGGTGGGGCTGATCACGAGTGCGCCGACCTCGTTTCTGGCGAGCTTCCGTTCTCTGCGTATCAGCTTCTCCAAGATGGGGATGACGAAGGCGAGAGTTTTCCCAGAGCCGGTGACAGCCTCGACGACGACGTCCTTATGGCGCATGAAGAGGGGGATGGTGGAGGCCTGGACGGGGGTCATCTGGGAGTGACCCATTGAGTGGATAACATCTAGACTGAGTAGAAGTCAAGTTGATTACAGACGGGCACGCAACATAGGAACGTACATCCATGGTGTGAGAGGGGTTGGGAGGGATTCCCATTTTCCAGCGAATGCTGTTGAAGCGGCCATGAACGGCGCAGGCGGAGGCAAGAGTGAGACTGGGCCGCCGCACAATCTTTCTCGGTCTGGACGGTAGACGCCTGGAAGAGGACGCGGGTGTGACGTGTGACAAGGAGGGCGGGGGCGTGACGGTTACGGTTTGAAAGATCGAGCAGACGCTGAGCGCTGCCCGAGTCCGAGTCCAGGTCTGCGTCCTCTGCGTTGGCCACGGACCGCGTCCTGCTCTCCCAGCGTCGGCCTCCTTCATCCAAGGTCCCCTTCTCTCTCTCTCTCTCTCCATTGTCCTAGCGACCGTCCTCTTCCTCCTCTGCTTTTTGCCCTTCTCTCGCTAGGCTCCTCCGCGCACCTGCTTTCTGTATGTCTGGTTCTGATGGCGAACATTCCGCACGCAAGTCCTCCACCACGTCCAGAACTGCCGCGCTCTCCCCGCTCCCTTCCCTCTCCTTGACAAGAGATCATATCACCGACGCACTCGCAAAGTCTCCAGATGGAGGCGCAACCCTTGACCTCGCCTACAAGGGCCTCACCGACGTTGGCGAGTCTGGCGCCGAGGAACTCGCCACCGTCGGCCACGACGAGCAGACAGGCACAGAGAGCTCTGTAGTACGGTGCGTTCTCTAGCTCTACACCCCACCCGTCCGCGCGGCTCACACGCCTTCTCCAGCATCGCGCTTGCCCACAACCGCCTCACTACTCTACCCATGGCATTCTCCCTATTGTCCCGCCTGCGCTATCTCGTCCTGAAGAATAATAGCTTCACCGTTTTCCCCGACGTTGTGCGTCATCCCGTGCTGCTGCTCCCATTGTCTCCGACTAAGTACAACGTACAATGCAGCTGACTGTCATGCCGTCACTGGAGATTTTAGACATAAGTCGGAACAAGATCAAGCGCCTACCTTCCCAACCGGGTTCTTTGGTAAACTTACGGGTACGAGTCTATGCCTTTTCCTCATACAAAGCAGCACCGCCGCGCGAGATGTACAGCCCCTCGCAGAGGTCTTGCCTGTGCTCCCGGACTTGGAAAAGGAGCGTCTACATGTCCTTCAGCTGTGTATGACGTTTCCCTTAACTGCCGATCCTTGGCGTCGCGTGCGGCCAGGAGCTAACGGTCCTGTCCGGGTCTGAGCGATACTGAATGGCGCGCTAGACCAATCACGGAAGTCCCGAAGTACGGGGCAATCGCTCAACAACCTATGTTTCCGAACAAACCTTAGACTTCCGTTAACATATTCGTATAGGTCTTCTCCCTCACCCGAAATAAGCTACACAGGCTGCCACCGTATTTGGCCAAGTTTAAGCAACTAACATTGTTGAAAGTTGACCAAAATCCGCTGGAATGGCCCCCAATACCGGTACTGGAGCACGGGAAGAACAACAATGATCCTCAGTCAATGTCGGAGTGGATCCGACATCTGCAGGCATGGCTGGAGGACAATGCTGGTACGTCGGGTGAGCGGAAACAGAGTGACGACTCCATCACGAGTGATTCTGGGAACGACTCGAGTTTGTAAGTCTTGAGATTCTGTTGGGTCTGCTCAAGTTTCATGATGTCTCGTAGCCTGGACGCTCCTCGTAGTGACCGGACACCCTCCGTACACGCCGAATCTCTGTATCATGCGCGTTCGTTCTCCCTTGAGTCGGATGCATCGTCCTACTTCCAGCTTGACCACTCTCCCGGACCTTCTCGAAAGCCGACGATGGATGACGGCCCTCGTCTGCACTTGGATCCGTTCTTCTCTTCTCGTATAGCGAAGAGCGCTACGCCGTCTCCTCGTTCCCCAGAAAGCGCTATTTCTCCCACCGACGACTCTGTCTTGGCGAACGGTTTCCATGTCGGCCATGCTCGGGTCCCCTCCCACGCGCACCACACTGGTAACGGTATCAACGGCACGGCTAAAGTCTCACTAAAGCCTATTCCTTCGTCGAAGAAGAGCTTACCTGATCTGAGACCTGCACGGCAGCACTTCGCCAACGGCGCGCCGCGAGCCGCTACCCATGCTGCTGACCATTTCCCCAGGTGCGTAATTGCTTGTGCGCGACAGGTGTCTGGCTATGCTCACCGTCGTCCAGCATCCACAGCCACCATCCCCACCACTCCATCACCGATGAACCCGTGTCGGCGTCCCCCATTTCCATGGATCGAGCGGCGCCCTTTGAGAGGCCCGTTCCTTCGATGGACAGCGAGCGTAACTCCTACTTCCGTCGACTATCCACCCTGTCCGCCGCCACGATTTCCAAAGCCATCCCCGAATCCCTCCTCGCGGTTGTAGACGCTGTGCGGGGGATTCTGTTCGCCCTGTCTCAGATATACCAGACGCTCCAGCACTATACGGTGTACGCGATCGACGAGCGGCTATCTGCCGTCCTGCTCAAGGTCCTCGGGCCCGCGAGCTCGTACATGACCCACCTGATCCACACCTTGGACCGCTTCGACACCGTCAGCCGGCGCGCGCTGCCCAGCCCGTCGATATGCCGCGCGGTGATCGAGAGCTGCCGGGACAACGTGACGGTGTTCGGGAAGGCGGTCTCGATGCTCTCGCTGCAGCTGAAGGTGCTCGCGAAGCACGACGACGCGCGGTACACGCGGCAGATGCTGCTCGTCCTGTACGGCGCCATGTCCGAGATCGCCGCCGCGTGGGCGGCGATCGCGGCGCACGTCGACGCCGTGCGGCCGTACCTGTGGGACGCGCGTCCGCCCCCCGCGTCGAAGCTGTACGCGTCGAAGACGCCGACGGTGCGCGGCGCACCGAGCGCGGGTGGGGACAAGCCGCGTCCGCCGGCGTCTGCGCCCCCGCACGTCTCCTCCCCCTTCCTGCCCGCACAACAACAGCAACAGCAACAGCAGGCGCCGGACACGCCGTCCCCGCAACAGCGCTCGCACCTGCGGACGAACACGCCGCAGCAGCGCTCCCTGGACCTGGGCAAGAGCCAAATCACCCTCAGCCGGCGGCATGCGGGCTCGTTCAGCTCCAAGGACGTCGAGATCGGGAAGATGCTGCCGTCGTACGTCGACCCGCCGCCCACGCCGTTGATGCCGTCTAGCTTCCTCCCCCTGGGCGGCGGTGGCTATGGTGGTGGTGGTAGCGGGGGTGGGAGTGCGAGCTTGATGAACGGTGTAGGGGGCCACTCGACGCCGACGCACGGGGTGCGGACGATGCGGAGGCTTGTTCTGCCGCTCGGGCAGCAGCAGCATGATTGGCACTCGCACGGGCATGGAGGGGTCGGGGCCAGCCATTCGAGGCAGGGCTCGCAGAGCTCGCTGCTGACCGCATCGCACTCGTCACCGTCCCTCGGAGGCGCCGCGTTCCCGGCGCCGCTGTCGGGGTCGAGCACGCTCGTGGACAAGGAGGTCATCGGGGCGATGAGGGCTGCCGTGGAGGCCGCCCCGGAGATCTGGGAGATGATGGACGAGATGCTCGACGCGGAGGAGCAGGGGGACGCGGAGGGGGAGGACGGGGTTGCGAACGCGAGGGCCAGAGAGGAGTTCCGGGAGGTGCTGGGGCGGGCGAAGGACGTCACGGAGCGGCTGAGGGGGAGCATCGCTGCGGTGCAGCAGGAGGGGGCGTCGCATCCGCATCCGCAGGCCGTGGACGGGCGGGCGCTGCACGACGACGCGCATTTATTTGTGAAGGTGAGTGGTGCGTTTCCCGCTTGCGGTCGGCGGCGAGCCGCGGCCTCGTGTCTCCTGCGTGGTGGACCATGCTGCCAGTGTTTTTGCCGCTCTGGGACTGCTTGCCTAGTTTCGAGCTCTTCTCCGTTCTCCGGGACGGTTTGTACACCGGAGGTGGGGAGTGTTCATGGGCTTATGTACCACTCTGTGTGGCCGTTTTGTTTGCGCTCCTACGCCGTTGGCGTTGCTACCCGTTCCGAGTTTGAGTGCGTGCTAGTGGTTGAAGTGGATACTAACCGCCGCCCCCTGTCACCTCTGCCAGACCGTTATCCAACTGTCGCACTCCCTGAAGACGCGCGGTGCCGTGAATGCCAACGGCCCCAGTTCAACGCCCACCCCCGCATCCTCCCTCGCTGCCTCCCACCTAAATGGGCACACCAAGCACGCACAGAACCCGACACAATTATCATCGACGCTACGGACCAAGATGGTGAAGCTGACGAACGCGACGCAGGAGTTCGTCATGCTCCTCCACATCTCCTCGTTCTCGCCCGCGCCGACGCCCGGCCTGCGCTCGTACTCGCCCATGGTCGGGTTCGCCACTGCCGCCGCAAGCATCGTGGGCGCGCAGCCGTCGCCTGGCCTGTCGCCGCTGGCGACTGGCTTGCCCGAGGACGGGCGACTGGCGTCGAACTTGTCGAGGAACCGCGTGGCTGGTCCCGTCGGGAGCTCGAAGCTGCTGTAGCGCTGGTTTGCAGCTGCCTGCTGTCGCTCTCAAGCCGTCTCCTGTCCGGATTGCTCGTTGCTGTCTCGGAGAGGAGACTATATACGTATGTGGAGGCGCTACGACGTGGACGGGACGGCCCTCTGTCACTCGTCTCAGCGTTGCTCCGGTGGTGCTTCGAGCGGTCCCCTCAAGGTTGGTCAAGTCTGACGCCGCGTGCGCTGGTGGACATGCTCAGAATGGGCGTCACTTAACCCTGGCTGGTGTCCGGGGTGCTGATTCTGCGGAGTGGGAGCTGCGCATGGACATAAGGGATATGTCATCGCGCGAGCAGGCATGCGGGCACGTTCAGAGGATGCAGTATACGCTTACATACATCAAGCATCATTTACAGCATCAACATTCGACTCATCAGATCCTGAACCCTTTCAGTCGCTCGGTCGACATAACTTATCTCCGCTAATGCGTTACGTCTTCGTCATCGAGGCCTCGGTGTTCTCCCTCCATAGTCACCGCTACGTTTCCGTACTTTCTCTCGTCATCCATACAGTTATCCCTTTGCATTGTCACGGCTAGCATCGTTCCCCTCTATCCATCTCCCGTTCATAGTCTCACTCATGTTGTGCACGTGTCATCATGTCTTAATGCTCCCGTACTAGTAGTTTAGCACCTTATCATCCCATGTCTTCCCTCCCATACACCGCATTGCCGCCTCGATCCTGTCTGCCGTCAGATGTACGCGTCTTCGCGACCCGTTAAGGCCCGTACGGTTCCGCATTGACTGATGTTTTTGTTTGCACGTCATGTGCCAAAATGCCATGGTGGCTGCTGCTCTCAGTAACATGTAGTCGTCTGGCCTTCCCTCAGAGGAGGATTAAACGGACCGAAGGCGACAATATTGCGACCTAGAACGGCAAGAAGAGTCTACCTGGACAGGCCACCCGTGAAGCACCAGCGACTAGATCTGCTGACATTGTAGCACTATCACGATCGAAGCAGCAAGCACAAAAGACAAGGCCTCTAGAGCAAGATATCAAGCGGTATGATCTACGCTCGCATGCAGCCTCATGTCCTTGCCGACGTCCTTCTCGTCGCTGGGGCCTGCTCCTCCGCGTTGACAAGAATGCGCTCGATCTCCGCGCGTATCTCGCGCAAGTTGCTCTTAAGCGTCTTGACGTCCTCGAACTTCCGGTGTGCCTTGGCCTCTTCGACGAACGTTTCGAGCAACGCCTCCTGCTCCAGTAACGGCTGGAGGACACGTGCGACCTCCGAGTCGGGGTCGATGATCTGGTCTTCTGGGGGGTTCGGGCTATGGGAAGAGGGAGAACCTGCTTTCTTGCCGTTGGGCTTTGGCAGTGACTGTCGTTGAGATGACCAATACGCTGAGTGGGGCTATGAAGGAGCATGAACCATGTGCGGCTTACCTGGAGCGGCAACATGTTCTTCTGTAGAAAGTGGTTCGCGCGAGAAGCAATGGCTCCCTGTATACGATCCTGTGAACTGCCTGGTGCGCAGGGCAGCTGTCGTATACGCTTAGCTAGGGCATCAAACTGCCCGAACGCCTCTAGCAGCCGCTTTCGTACAGCTGTAGCTTCTGGTGTCGGACGTTCCTGCCTGCTGCTCGTTATTGTGAGTGACCAATCGAGCACATTGGCGTGAAACAACATACGCAAGGTTCACGACAAGCTCCTGGAATACCGGCAACTCGTCCTCGATTTCTTTCTCAAGCGAGATGAGAGCCTAGATAGCCAGCATTGGGTTATGCATCTCAGACTGCATCGGGAAACGTACATTGTACAGTCGCGTGAAGAGAGGCACGACGCCCATTTCATGTCGGTACTGCTGTCGTCTGAAGAGTCATATCAGATGCATGACATGCAAATGAACGTGACGGAGGGCTTACAGGAGCACGGGTCGACAATCACGACATACCCGCACGCCCTTCAGGAACTTCTCCTCATCGCTGAGCATATTGTTTCGTCTCTGCGGCTTGCCAGGTGCCGCAGTACTGCGTCTCCGCACACCGTAATCAACGCCCTCCCCGACTTCCTCTATTCGACCTGTGTTCTGGTCCACAACAAACAAGAGAGAACATGTCTGAGGTCGTTGGGGATACTTCACTGGCAATGAGCAGACGATACGTCCACATAGTCGACAATGGTGTTTCCGATTGGTAAGGGGATGAAATGATGCTCTTCACAAAGAATTAGGTTTCCGGGATGTGGGTGATATCACTGGAAACACTTACGAGCATATAGGACATTGCGACACGGAAGCATCGTCCTCCCAAGGTGTGATCTTCTGCTCAGCGACTACAAGACAGGTCAACTTTGCGAGGCGCACTGAGCCAATCAACTCACCTCGGACATCGTTCTTGCCATTTTGTGAAGCCTGCGATTGCACAACCTCCCGCCACAGATCGCCCGCGCTCTTGCTCCTCAACTCCGACAGATCCAGATCCCAGAACGAAGAAGCACGTCTGTTCTCGTGCTTCGGCCGAGGCTCTGCAGCCTCCGACTTGCTCTGTCCAGGAGGAGGGAAATGCAAGTTGATGAGCTTCTCCAGACGGCGCTCCAGTCGTGTCCGCTCTATCCGTCCAGCATCCCGACTCCGGTTCCGCGCGTCGATGAACTCATCTGTCCGGGGCCGGTACACACCCTTCGGTTGGAAACCAGGTCGGTAGGGCGCTGGTGACCGAGCAGGCGTCCGCGCAGTAGATGGAACAGCAGAAGAAGTCGATGTCGATGGCGTCATTGTAGGAGGCGTAGATGAAGATACAGGATGCGTAGGCGGTGCTACATCTGGTGCCGGGGATGTCATCAGTACTGATGAGCGCTTTGGCACGGCAACGGGGGCATGTATCGGCGCTATGGGCGTGGGACTGGAGGAGGCGGCGGCGGCGGCGGAGAGGGATTGGGATGGCCGTGGCTGGAGTTCGAAAGCCGGTATAGGGGGCAGCGTGCGGTCTTGCGCAGGCATGACAGGGCTCGAGACGGCCGAGGACACGGCACTGGTAGGCTGGTTGAGGTTCCATGGCGAAGATCGGGGTGAGCCAAGCATTGAGGAAGTGTTCTGGACGATCATGCTAGTTGGACGGCTGAGCGGAGATGATTGCAAGGTCGGCCTAGACGCCGCAGGCGGACGCAAGGGTACATGTCGGAACGTCGATGACTTCCTGGGGGATGCCACGGGCCTGTCCGAGGCCACCGGCGAAAGGGTCGAAGGGCCAGCGGCGGGGGACGATTGTGCGACAGCCTTCCCAAGTACTTTGGGGGAGCTAGTCTGAGAGAGCGGTAATGGAGAACTAGGTTGAGGCGATAGCGGCACAGGAGCTGGAGGGGGCGAAGCTGGCTGGGAAGTCTTGGGAGAAGAGATGGGCGACCTCACAAGACTTGGAGTAACGGCCGTTGGGGATGGCACCACCAGAGGAGGCGGAAGAGGCTTCTCAGCCGGTTTCTCAATGGTCCTCTCCGCAGGCAGCGCAATTGATACTTTCTCGACATTCGCATCAGACAAGGGCGGAGAAGTAAACTCTTGACGTAGGTGAGTAAGGGTATCTATCATTGAGACAGGTCGTTGCAGAGTACTGCGCCCATTGAGTGTGGCAATGGAGCGCTTTTCCGCATCGGCGACACCGTTAGACGCATGAGGTACTATGGGCTCGCTTTGGGCAAAGCCATTGATGACAGTAGGATTCGGGCGAGCTTGCAAGGGTGGAGGAGCGCCGTTCGAGGTTGCTTGCGGGTGGGATTGGACACGATTGTGCCGCTTGGACTACCGCACATAGTGAGACGACTCAAGAGTATGAGAGCATGGTATGTACCTTGTAAGCCTGATACGGAACATAGGGCGGGTTCTCCATGGTGTGGCAGAAGAGAGTTGAGAGTGAGTGCCACGGCCAAATACGCTAGCTGCGTGGAGCGGTGAACCAGCGCCGAAAGAGCCGCCTGCTGTCGGTCGTCGTCACGCAAGGATCTGAGGACCTGCGGAGAGGCTCACCGACGAAGCTGGAGAAGACGGATGCCACCGCAAGAGTGTGTACGTCGAGGCTGGGTGCAAGTGCTACACAGGTAGTCCGATTCCGAAGTGTGCGGTCACCGATGGGCGCTTGAGAGGCGTGTCTTACCCCGGACATCCGCGCCGGTCTTCATCTAGCCGCCCGTTCACCTCCCTGCGGCCTCAGTTCCGCGGCAACCTCTGCTGCATCTGCTCTACAACGACCATGTCGGCGCCGACGGGGATTGCTGTCTCTCCAGAGCTAACTTCTGCATTTTCCGATGCTGTGGATTCCGGGAACGTACGATTCCTCAAGATCTCCATTCAGAATGGTCTCCGCCAGTGTCACTTCTCTACACTCTGTCTGGCCGCTCATGATGACTTCGCGCCCTGCCAGAATCTCTCGTTCCAGATGGCACTCACCCACCATCGGGCACCCTAGAGCAGGATCTCGACAAGCTTGGTGATATTTTAGAAGAGAGCGTGCCTGCGTATGTCCTGGTCCGGCTGGACGACCCTCCTACGGAATGGCTGGCTGTGTACTATGTGCCCGACTCGGCAAAGGTCAGGGACAAGGTACGCAAGCCTCCCATGCATATGTACTGCAGTGACGAATACGGATTGCCTAAGATGCTGTATGCGGCTACGCGCAATACCCTGACTAAGAGCCTTGGATCAACGCACTTCACCGACAGCATCTTCGCTACTGCGAAGGAAGATGTCAATGCGGAAGCGTACGCGAAGCATAAGCGTCATTTGGCTGCCCCCAAGCCGCTGAGCGCAAGAGAAAAAGAGATGGAAGCCGTCAAGGCCGCAGAACGCGAAGCAGGCGGACGGAGTTACGAAGGCAGCCGGGCAAGACAGAATCATGTCGGACAAGGTGTCTTCTTGAAATGGTCTCCTGAGGCGGAAGAAGCTATCAAAGACCTTGTTACCGCGGATGATAGTCGGCTTGTGATACTGGTGATTGCGCTGAGACCTAAAGATTCGTCATATCGTGCTTACTGCAGATCGGTAGTCAATTGATCCTACGACGGAGACGCTACTACTAACGTCTACCAACCAAGTTGATGTTTCGCAGCTGGGAAGCTCCCTCCCTCTGGACTCGCCATGTACGTTCATATATTATACAAGCCATCAGGCGCGACCTTACTACCATGCATGTCAGCGTATGCCTTCTTTGCTTGGCCGCAGAGCATCACTTCTCCCCCGCGTCGAGAAGTCGGTAAGTAGACTTTGAGGGTTCACGGCATACAAAGACTTACTTCGTTTCTTGCACAGTCCCCATCTACTCTTGCCCCTCTGCCTCTCCCGTGAGGCACCGCATGCTATATTCGAGCGCCGTTCTGTTCGTCGTGAAGGAAGTGAAAGAGTTCCTTTCCTCAACCGGTAGTACCTCCACTTTGTCTTCGCGCAAGGTCGAGACCTCGGATCCTTCAGAGCTGGATGAGAAATACCTTGTCTCCGAGCTGGGCTTAGCCGGAGCCGACGTACCGACGAGCGCAGCAAGTGGTCCTGCTGAAGGTGGCGATAGGAAACCATTCGCACGTCCGAAGGGTCCGGGCAGGAAGCCACGGTAATCCATCGGGATAGTGGTGATAGGATAGTGGACGATGCTGGAGTGTATACGCAATGTAGAGTATCCCGACCGCTATAAACAGCTGTTTAGGTGAACAGGGTGACTGGTTTACACCAGGGTATGCTCTATGTATGCGTCTGAAGCGTTCCCCGCATTGAGCATTCCGTCCGTTGCTTCCTTCGCGGGCAACGGCGTTACGCGGAGACGCGGGAGCCGGGATTAGCGGCAATGATATTGATTCATAGGCCATTCTTGTAACTCGCGCTCTCACATGCGCCGGCCGATGCAGCTCACATGCCCTTTCGGACCACGACTGCTGCACGAAGATGCTCAGCGAGCTATACATATAGCGCGGCATTACGGCCGAAAGCCTGCCCACTCCTTCCTCTTCCTGTCCGCGTGAAGTCCCGCCAGCTACCCACGCGTTAGGCTGTCGGACTTGCACAGGAACACCCGCTCGAGCTTGTGACCAGCGTCCACCACAACCCCCGACGGCGACCACGACTTCGGGAGGGTACACCCAGCACCGATACAGCGTAAACTATACCGTGACAGATATAGGAACATGCATACCGTACGGCGGACAATCTGCTCGATCCCGTCCAGGACCGTGTTGCGAGGATACCCGGCACGGAAAGCCACCGGAACGCTCCTGAGGGCAAGTCTACCCCATGGGCACTGGCAAGCCCCGCTAGCGCAGTCATGCGGGGTTGATCGTAGTGCATACAGCACCGCAGCCCCGGAGGAGGTAGTTCCGAAGAAGAAGAAGGTATGGGATTCGGTGGACGCGGCGGTCGGGGACGTCAAGTCGGGGGATATCGTTCTAAGTGGAGGTATGTCGCAGCATTAGGACATGCGTGCATGCGCGGATTGTTGTTGATTCCAGTTTCTTTGGGGGCATAGGCTTTGGACTATGTGGTACTCCTGGTGCGTAGCTCGCATCTCGGACGTTGCGAGGGCGAGCCTAACTGTGGGGCCGGGGTTTGAAGACACTTTGATCGAAGCACTTTCCAAGAAGAAGGACACGATCAAGGACCTGACCGTCGTCTCGAACAATGTGGGGTCTGGAGAGAAGGGGCTCGGTGCGTATCATCGTACGTCAGCTCAGATGAACGCGTCCTGAGGGCGCGCACAGGCAAGCTGCTGTATACCGGTCAGATTGGCAAGGTCATGGCGTCGTACATTGGGGGGTACGAGGGGTTTATATGCTACCCATACTCTACTCATCATGTGCTACGCTACTGTGCAGGAACAAGCACTTCGAGGGCCTCTACCTTGACGGCAAAATCTCGCTCGAACTCATCCCCCAAGGGACGCTGGTGGGGAGGCTGCACGCGCACGCATCGGGCTTCCCAGCGATATGGACGCCCACAGGTGCCTCAACGGCAGTCGAGGAGGGCTCCATTCCCCTCCGTCTGAAGGAGGGCGGGCACAAGGCCGGTGTCGCCATCCCGGGTAACAAGAAGGAGGCGCGAGAGTTCAACGGCCGTCGTTTCATCCTCGAGCCTGCTATCGCCGGCGATGTCGCCCTCGTGCGGGCGTGGAAGGTCGACGAGGTCGGGAATTGTGTGTTCAGATATACTGCGAACAACTTCTCCACCACCATGGCGAAGAACGCGAAGCTGACCATCGTGGAGGTGCGTATCCCGAAGCATGCGGTTTCCTCGGTCGAAGCGTTCTGACCTATATGCAGGCGGAGGAGATCGTCCCTGTTGGCTCGCTTTCGCCGAACGCCATTCACTTGCCGGGTATATATGTCGATCGCATTGTGAAGGCGACGGCGCCCAAACAAATCGAAATCCTGACCTTGGCGCGTGACTCCTCTCCCGCAGAGGAGACGTCGTCGGACCCTGCTAAGCAGGCGGCGCTCGCGGTGAGGAACAAGATTGCAAAACGTGCAGCGAAGGAGCTCAAGGACGGCTTCTACGTTAATCTCGGTATTGGGATGCCCACACTGGTCCCCGAGGTTGGCACAACCGTTGGCCTTGGCGACGCCTAATACTAACTCGTGAGCTGCAGTTCCTCCCGCCAGGTGTCAAGGTCTGGTTGCAGAGCGAGAATGGTGTCCTCGGTATGGGTCCGTACCCCACCAAAGACCAAGTCGACGCGTGAGTGTCAGCCTTTGACCTTGCTAGACATCATGCCCACTGACTTGCGTCATTTAGGGACATCATCAATGCCGGAAAGGAGACTGTGACCCTCCTTCCTGGTTCGGCGGTGTTTGGTAGGAATCAATTCCCGAGTTGGCCGGCGGCAGCGCGATCTAACGACGTCGATCTCCAGATTCGTATGAGTCGTTTGCGATGATCCGTGGTGGGCACATAGACGTCGCTATTCTTGGCGTACGTCCCGTCATCTTCCTTCACCTGAAGATGGCAGACTGATTCAGCGGTATGACACTCACAGGCGATGCAAGTGTCGGCGAAGGGTGACATTGCAAACTTCATGATCCCGGGCAAGCTTGTGAAGGGTATCGGTGGTGCGATGGACCTCGTGTCGAACCCGGACAAGACTAGGGTCATCGTGGTCATGGAGCATTGCGCGAAGGATGGCAGCCCGAAGATATTGAACGAGTGTTCGCTCCCGCTCACGGGTGCACGCACTGTCAGCCAGATCATCACGGAGCTTGCGGTATTCGACGTCGACCGGAAGGCGGGCACATTGATTCTATCGGAGCTGCAGGAGGGGGTGACACTGGACGAGGTGAAGGCTAAGACGGGGGCAGATTTCCAAGTTTCGCCCAACCTCGGCACGGCTTGAGCCGTGTTACTCAAGCTTGGTGTACTCATCTGTAACACATACTTATTGTTCGTTGGCTTTCTACATATCACCATCCCGGCCACGCCCTGGCGTTTGCCTTTCTCACGATCGCCACTGTCCCCGCAATGATGTACACCCTGCAACCGGGCTGTAACGGCTCTACGCCCCGAGAAGAGGGGTGAGATATTACTCATTGGAAGCCTGAGCACGGTAGAGCACGGTCAAGCAGCGGAACAGGGAGACGAACGATAAGCCTAGATTGTGAGGCGTGATTGGCTGGGCCTGATAGACGCTCGAGGCCCGCCGGGACGCGGGGTATGGCAGTCGGATCCGGGGCAACCCAGTGAGCATGCTCTGCCGCCACCACCTCCTCCGTAAATTGTACCAAGATTCCAACCCAGATCATCCTCCAATGACGGAAATGCGCCGGAAAATCGAGTACCCCAAGGCCTCGCCCACAGCCAGAGAATCTATATAACGTCCGCATCGAGCGAGTTGCCTTGGGCTTGCCTCATCACATACCCCGCTCCACGCTTCTCTTCTGGCTTTGCGTCACAGACACTCAACCCCCATACCCCGCATCTCCAGTTTCCGTCTCACAAACATACCCTCGTCCCTTCGCAATCCTCAATACAACATGTTGGCTCTGAGGGCTCGCGCAGTCGCGATTCCCCGTGCGCACAGCAGCAGTAGAATCATCATCGCCGCGCGTATCAGGTACTACTCCGTAGTTGCCAACGCGCCGCGCCCAAGGAAGACAAAGGTTTGGGACTCGGTGGACGAGGCACTCAAGGATGTGAAGACTGGGGATACAATTCTCTCCGGAGGTACGCCCGCACATTCCCCCAGCAGTGGGCTCGCGCTCAGTTTTCTCCGCGCGTAGGGTTTGGACTGTGTGGCATTCCTGAGACCCTCATCACTGCCCTCACAAAACGAGCCGACGTTCGGAATCTCACTGCCGTGTCGAACAACGCGGGCGCAGGAGACCACGGCCTAGGTGAGCGTTTCCGACGGCTTTCCGGGCGCTGCTTCGATTATGCTGAACGGCTCCTTAGTTAAACTTATCAAGACGAAACAGCTCGACAAGGTCATGATCTCCTACTTAGGAGGGTACGCAGTTTTGCCGGTCTATGCCCGCTTCTACCCGCCTGACCTGCCACTCGATCGTGTTCTTTACGTGCAGAAATAAGTACCTCGAGTCAGCCTATCTTAACGGTGACGTCGGCATCGAGCTTGTTCCCCAGGGTACCCTCGTTGCCCGTCTGCACGCGCACGCTTCTGGCGAGCCTTGTATCTTCACGCCTACGGGTGCCAACACAGCCGTCGAGACCGGCGGCATACCCATCCGGTACAACCCAGGAGGACTCAAGGCGGGGGTCATGATCCCCGGGAACCCGAAGGAGGCCCGCCTCTTCAACGGTCGGAGGTTCGTCTTGGAGCCTGCTATCGCGGGCGATGTTGCGTTCGTGCATGCGTGGAAGGCCGACGAGGTTGGTAACCTGGTCTTCAGGTCGGTATCACATTTCTTCATTCATGCCGGCGCTCGAATCAGAGGCTGATAGGACGGCAGGTACACGGCAAACAACTACAATGGCGTCATGGCCCGCAACGCTAAATTGACCATCGTCGAGGCTGAGGAGATTGTGTACGTCACAGTTGACGTTCTGACTGTGTCAGCGGGATTGCTAACTTTGACGTCGCAGTCCGGTCGGCAGCCTCTCGCCGAACGCCATTCACGTCCCCGGTGTATACGTCGATCGCATAGTACAGGCAACCGAGCCAAAGACCATCGAGGTGACCAAGTTGGCAGACAACCCGGCTGAGCAGGAAACGAACACAAATCCAGCGGAGAGCTCAGAAAAGGCCGTCAAGGATTGGCGCCACCGCATCGCGAAGCGTGCTGCTCGGGAGATCGGCGATGGCTTCTACGTAAACCTCGGTGTTGGTGTCCCTACCCTCATTCCGGAGGTAAGCTGCATCGAATGAATACGTCACTATGTCCCACTCATGAGTGAATCTAGCACCTGGACCCTAACGTCAAGGTGTGGCTTGAGAGCGAGAACGGCATCTTGGGAATGGGCCCTTACCCTACGCCCGACCAAGTTGATGCGTAAGTGCACTATCTTGATTGGGCGCCACTCCTGAACTGAACAGGTCACTGCCTCCAGGGATATTATCAACGCTGGAAAGGAGACTACGACGTTGCTTCCAGGCGCCTCGTGTTTCGGTCAGTCTTCTTGTGGTGTTAGCTATATGTGTAAGACTGACCACTTCCTGCAGACTCCGCGGAGTCGTTCAACATGATTCGTGGTGGACACATGGATGTCACTTGCCTTGGTGTCAGCATCGCCGATGTTCTCTGTCAGTGTTGAAACCTCGACTCACAGGTGCATCATTCAGGCTATGCAAGTGTCACAAGCGGGTGACATTGCCAACTTCATGATCCCTGGAAAACTTGTCAAGGGTCAGCCGCACTTCATCCCTGACCTGTGGAGCTCTCCCGATACTGATAATTTCTCAGGCATTGGTGGTGCAATGGATCTTGTCTCAAATCCTGACAAGACGAAGGTCATCGCGACGATGCAGCACGTGTCCAAGGATGGCACGCCTAAGATTGTGAAGGAGTGCTCTCTGCCACTCACTGGTGCGCGCGCTGTGAGCTTGATCGTGACCGACTTGGCAGTGTTCAAGGTAGATCGCGCTGCGGGCGAGCTGTTATTGACTGATATTGCGGAGGGCGTGACGCTCGACGAGCTTCGCGCAAAGACCGCTGCCGACTTCAAGGTCGCGGACCAGCTGGCGACATTCTGAGAGGCTGTTTGCACATACTGTCGTAGTTGTACATGTTGTATCATTATCTAGGATCCCACGTACTCGGACGTTAATAGAAGGCTTCGAACTTTCGAATGGGATTGGATAGAATGAAATTGCTAGCGACTGCCATGGAGGCGTCGACCGGATCGCCGGTGGCACACCCATGGCCTGGAGCGTGTTGCAGAGCGTGTGCGGGCGCCTGGGCGTCGTGCCCCGGCGGAGTGCGGCAAATGATATGTTTCATGCTGTACTCGACGGCGGCCAGTCCTTTCCAGCTAGCGACACTTGGCACTCCTCCCATACCCATCCACACTCGCACCGTACGACACTCTGCCCCGGCGCCGCCTCGAGGTCCCGGCATTATCTGTGCGCAGCTGCTCTGATTTGTTTTTGCTTTTGGCACTTCGCCAGGCATCCCGATTTAGCGCTTCGCCCAGGCGCGGCTCTTCTCGCTCCACTGAACTGGTTTGGGATCACTTGCCTCTCCTGGTATCCATTGCTGCTGTCTTGACCAGCCATCCTGGCCGACGACACCTACGATGAGCTGGTTTGCAAGTCTCTTCTCCAGCAAAAACAGCCGCACCTCCTCTCGCAGGGCCATGACATCCACCCACGAGGCCTTCAGCCTGCCGACATCATCCCCGGGTTTGACATCGCATCCTGATGCATTCAATCCCGAGACACTGCAGACTGCACAGTTTCCATCGTCTTCGACGTACTCGTATCCTCCCTCGTCGCCCTCGGGCCCCTACTACGATGTCCCTAGCTCGTATGTATCCATGGGCCAAGTGTACGTGATGCCCTGACGATGCTAACGAAACGCTGTCCTTGGACAGTGCTGTGACCCCCAAATCCACGTCCATCCTCCCATTACACAACACAGCAGCGGGCGCTGGTCTCCCATACCCCCCGCTTTCCAACACCTGGAACCGACTGCGCTCGTGGCTCGAACGCGAGTACCCCGAATTAGGTGACACCCTGAACTACGGTATCCTCCCGCAAGACCTCGCGCAGCTCGAGATGGCCTTCGGATTCTCACTTCCGCAGCCCGTCCGCGACTCGTATCTGTGCGTCGATGGACAGGAGCCCGAAAGCGCAGCAGGGTGCTCGGAGGGGCTCTTCTTCGGGCTCACGCTCCTCCCGCTCGAGGACGTCCTGGAGGAATGGCGGTTCTGGCGCGAGGTCGATGATGACCCTGCAACGGGCGCGAACGCGGCGCTGAAGGAGATGATGGACTCAATACCCGCGGGGTGGGTCCGGCGGGAGTACTCATGTCGCGGGTGGATCCCGCTCGTCGCGGACAAGGCGGGTAACTACTTGGGTATCGACATGAACCCTGGCGAGGGCGGCGCTGTCGGCCAGGTGATCGTCTTCGGGCGAGACTTTGACACGAAGGTCGTTATGTGGCGGGGCGACGGGCCGGGCGGATGGGCAAAGTTCCTGGCGGGGTTCGTGGAGGATCTCGAGAGCGGGGAAGGGTTCGAGATGGGGTCCGGTAACGATGGGAGCGATGGGAGCGAGGACTCGATTGGGTACGAGAGCTATTTCTTCGACGGCGTAGGAGGTGGCCAGGGCGACACTGGCGGTGATACGGGCACGGGTGGGTTGCGGTTGGCCGGAGAGTACAAGGGCTGGAACGTTTTGGAGGCCTGGGCGGACAAGAGTGTCCGGAGGTGGATTGATGCCGGCATCGTGCCGGAAAGCATCCTTCAGCAACCTCCAGAGAAGGGCAAGGTGAGTGCAGGACGTCGCTCTGTTTTTTCTGCTCCTGTAACGATGTACAGGAGAAGGTCAGCTTGGAGCCATTGTCGCTCGCATCTTCTACAAGCAATGCTGGCGCTGGTGCGGAAGTCCCGATACCAGTCCTCGCCGCCGAGGATAAGGAAACGAGTGCTCTCGACGAGTCGTCTCTGCCCACCCCCTCAGCGAAGGTTACCAATTTTGCACCAAAGCAGCTCCCCACGATTTCTGTTACCAAACCTCCGGCCCCCTTGCCTGTAGACCTCCCTTCACCCAGTCAGCTCACACCAGACGACGACGACGACGTTAGCCGGACTTTCCCACCTCAAGACGATATCGAGGGAAGACCCGCACGCCAAGAATCCATGTCCGCCGTTCCTCTCACAGCAGTTCCTCCTCGCACGGCACGATCACGATCACCCTCACCAAAGCTCACATTGGAGATCCAAACGAAGCTTGTCGACTCTCCGGAGGAGGCACTCAAACCTGCCGTCATTATCGAGTCGCCCCCAGCTGTACCCGATCTCCTCCACGAGGATCTGACGCTTGTCGGATCGTCGGAGCTTGATACTGCAGGGGAGGAGTCGCCAGTCCTCATTGATGCTCCGGAGGCCCCCTCGAATCAGGAGCCAGACACAACGGTCCGCCTCGTCGGCGGCGGTGGCGTCTCCGGCATCACCGGCATCACCGAGGATGCCCTCGCAGCTGATGGCGTGCTCGTCAATGGCCACGAGGAAGACGCCGACGCCGACGCTGCGGCCGAGGTGGCGTCGGTCAAGTCGACAGACTCGAAAGCATCGACAACCAGCAAGAAGACGCATGGGAGGAAGAAGAGCAGCATCTCCAGCGGTCTCAAGAAGCTCGGGCACCTCGGTGGTGGGAAGCGGAGAACGGACTCTGTGACATCGACGGACTCGAAGCGTTGACAGAAGTATCAGGATAAGCAGCTGGGACTTCAAGGGCTCGCTCGTTGTCCAGGTGGGCAGGGGCTTCGTCGTGCTGTCTCGCGAGCGCAGGTGTTGGGGTGCTCGGTACAGGGTGAACCCGGCTCTCCTTTGTGGACGCTCATAGACTATGCTATTCGCTGTGATGATCCTGGCTCTCTGGCTTCCTCATTGGCATCATCCTTCTCTCCCGCCGTGCCCCTCGTTTGTGTACAGATGCACGCATTTTTTCGTGATACCCGTAATTACCAACTAGTCAGATGTATTGGCTGCGCTCGAGCAACACCGGGGGCTGCAGAGCGGCACCACAGATAATTATTATGCAATGCTCATCGGCTACGGGTTGTGTTTAGGACCGTCGTCTCTTCTAGTCCTTTCCTATTACAAGTTGAGCAGAACAAATCTCCATCATGTCTCATTGGCCAGAGATGTTCCGACCTTCATGGAAGGAGGAAAACTGTGTGGTAGTTACTGCAACGTGATGGTGTAGCTATATAGAGCGAGTGCATCGCTCGGTGAAGGGATGGGATTCTGAACTTGGACGGTTGCCATATTAGGATGAGCACAATTTCGGGCTTTACCGAACCACCTTTTGACCTTGCGCCACGACCTCCCCATCCTCTTCTTTGTTCCTCCCCAGCAGGGCCTTTGTTAGCCTCGGGTGGCGTTCTAGTAGACGTGCCTTATAACACTCCAGACTCTGTGTGTTCTTCGTGACTCGACACATCCTGCGATCGCGCTCCAAGTGGCCTCAGCCTTCAGCCACACACGCGACTTCCCCGCATTCTTGTCACACATCCTCTCGGCGCTGGCTCGTCTCTCACACGGAATGATGTCTCACTTGACGGAGTCACTCGTGGAAGAACGCGTAATGCAACTACAGTTAGTCATGTCTTCCTCTCGTCGTGCGCTAGCCTTCATCGAGTCTATGCCTCCAGGGAAATAAGCAGGCGGCGAAACGAGCTCCTACGCGAATTGTATCATCTCGTGCAGAAGCGCGACAAGCTCGGGTCCTTAGTCACGCTTGAAGAGCAAGAAGAGAGTCACGATGACGGCCTTCAGTCATTCTTGGACAGGTTCGATCTTGAGAGACAGTGAGTCTTCGTCGTTGCATTGTGGAGATTACTGGCACTCAGGTGTTGTACATTCTGTGTCACAGTCCCGAGACGGGCTCCATCTCAAACCTGCTCGAAGACGAAGTAGCTCTACCCGAGACCCCCCCGGCCTATTCCCCCGTGGGTGTTCCTGAACCTGAGCCGATGGCGGAGACGGCGGACGCAGCCAATGTCATCTCGGAATCTCCCATGTCCGATCCGCCCGCGTCACCTACCATCCGCGAACGCCAGGAGGAGGAGGAGGAAGAGGAGGAGAAAGAGGAAGAGGAACGAGACTCTCCAATCCCTGATGTATCAAAGGTGGAAGCTCTCATGGACGTTGACCTTCCCCCGCCTGTCTTGCCCCCCGAAGAGCCCACTGTTCCGGAGGCCAAGCCTGATATGACGCAGAACGTGAGGTCGCCTGAGTTGCCCCAGGTACCGGAGACTGCACGGCAGTCGCCAGATTTCGTAGAAGGAGAGCTACATCCCACGCAGGTCGCAATTCCTGGGAAATCCCCTACCCCTGCGCCGGAACGCCTAGTAACACCTCCTTATATTGCGCCGAGTCGGGATTCTCCCATGCCTCAAACGTCCACAGGATCAGTCGCTGCCACACGAGAACCCTCATTGAGCCGAACCTCCCTTCCTCTGTCACAGCGCGTGCGGTCTCCCTCGCAGCGCGCTGATTTTGAACCCGATGGCATCAAGGCGGAACCGCTAGATGACGAAGACATGGGAATTATGGACTCTCAACCACAAGTGAGGTCTTCATCGCCCGAGGAGAGGACAGCCGTTCCGTTCGAGACGGTGACACCCGCCCAGCTGATGAAGGAGCCCAGCGAAGACCAAATCATGACTATTTTGGGACCCACAGATCCTCGGTCATCGCCCGCACCTACCGACGAACATGTATCATATCCCGTCATTGACTACGCTATCCCGCTCCCCACCCCCGGGTCACCCACTTCGTTCTCCTTCAATGACAGGGCAGACCAACCCATGCCTGTCGAATACACCAGAGGCCCCCATCAATTCCCTCCCGATCCGCCTTATCCTCGGCCTCCACTCGAACTGCTTCCTCTGGAGTTCAATTGGAAGAAACCGTCCAAAAAGAAAAACAAAGGAGCGGATAAGAGTGATCCGAAGACCCACGAATGGCAGCCTATGGGTCTCAATAAGTGGGCAGCTGTTTTGAAGGCCAACCCTGTACACACCAAGTTGCAGAGAGCGACCAAATGCCTCAGCACGCGCGATTGGTCGGTGCGTACTTCTCCCGAGACACCATGTTGATCCGGTGCTACATGACTTGCATAGATCGGCATCGCCGAAATGCATCTTCTCCGTGTATTCGAGCGCGTCGACAAGCTGAAAGATTCCGGCCAATGGAGCTTCCGGCAGCCCAAGAAGCAGCGTGGCGTCGGCGGTTTGATGAAGACACATTGGGATTATCTCATGGACGAGATGGTAATCTGACAATTCCTACCTTCTATGGCGGCTACTGAGCAAGTCCCACAGAGGTGGATGCGCACTGACTTCCACGAAGAACGGATATGGAAGATCGCCCTTGCGTACAATTTAGCTCATGCGGTTATGGAGTGGCACGAGGCAGGCTCTCTGGAGGAGCGTGTTCGTAGAGGTATCGTCGTTCTCTGGAAGCCTCCGCCACTGGAAGACACGGAGATGGCGGATGGGGTCGAAATCGAAGACATTGATGGACCTTTCCGCGACGCCCAGGACGTCGACGAGGACGGCGGCGACTCGAGGGAGACCGTCACTCCGAACGATGGCTACGGGTCTGATGATGAAAGCGAAGACGAGCTGGACAAAGAGCCCGCCAACGACTCCCTCGAGCCTGGTCAGGCTCTGCAGGACGCTCTTGAGCAGCTGGAACAAGAGCCTCTACAGGGAGACGGCCAAGATGGCGTTCACTTCAAGCCTAAACTCGAGGAGATTGAAGACCTGACGGCGTTGGGTGACGGCAGCTCTGGCCGCGAAGAGAATGCCATGGAGGTAGGTGTTGCCAAGGCGTTGGAAACTCAAGCAGACAAGCCGCAGGAGATGCAGGCTCCTCCGAAACCAGTTGTGCCGGAAGCTCATCCGGGCTTGAAGGCCTCGTCGAAGAACCCTGTCTTGGGTCCCACTGGGAGAGAGGGCGTCAAGGAGAAGATCAAGTACGATTCCATACGCGATCACATCTTGTACTCCGATACTCGAAAGCTTTTCATTGACTTGGATGACCTCGATCTCGTGAAGCATATGTCGGCACTGACAACGAACGACCCTCCTCTTCCGCCTCCGCCTCACGATCTTGCCCAATTATTCCCCGACTGCGGCGTCTACGGTATGCTGGATGTCGCCCCTCCCCCCACATTCGGCGAGGATAACCGGAAGAAACCGGACCGCCGCATCAGCAAGGACGACCCGGATAGGCGTATCGACGAAGCGATGTACACGAAGCTCACTCCTACGAGCAAGTTTATGTTCGAGAAACCTGTCCTTCTTGGCACGCTCAGGCCTGCCAGTAACTTCAAGGATGGCAAGTGGTCTCAGATCGAGGAAGCCCCCGTCTTTGTCGATATCGATATTCCTCCTGCTAAGCCTGTGGACGATAACCCATGTGGTAATTGTTAATTTCCTTGTGCCGGAAGCCATACTTACGCTGTGTTCTAGTTCTCTTCGAGGGTACCGCAACCAAGACCTCCACGCCATCGGGCCATCCTGTGTTCATGCCTCCACCTCCAAGGGACGTGCGCAAACGTAACGCGGAGCAGGCTGATTCTCTTTCCTGGACTCCGGCGGACGATGCCCTCCTCAAACAGGCGGTGGAGAGGTATCCACACAACTGGAACCTTATCGCTGATGCCTTCAACTCGTCGCGAGTTACTATCTCGACAGACAAGCGTACTGCTTGGGAGTGCTTGGAGCGCTGGAGAGGGAAGTCCAGCACCGCCGCCCGTGGCGACGCGGCAGAGGACAACACGTCGTCTGTGGCATCGACGTCGGCGTCAGCGCACATGACGACTAGAGGGCTGAAGAGATCTGCAACTCAGAGCGCCACCACGTCTGCCAATGGTGCCGCGAGCTCTGCATCTCAGAGTGAGCCCAGAAAGCGTCGTCGACATGCAGCCATCCACGATACAATCAAGAGGGCAGCGAAGCGGAGGGAGCAAGCGCAGAAGTCGAATCGTACGTGCACATACCATGCCATTGGCGCCTAACGACGCGCTGATTGGCGATGCAACGCACCAGCTCCGCGCGCGAAAACTACGGCTGTACACGATACACACGGCCAGTTCACCAAGTTGCCAAAGCTGACGCCTGCTGAGCTCAGTCGGATGAAGACAGAGAAGGAGGCGAGCATTGTTGCTCAAGAGTCCCTTGTGCGACGTAGAAATGACGAACTTGCTCGACAGCACCTTCTACGGGAACAAGCACGCACGCAGACGCAGACGTTGCCCCCGAATGCGGTAAGATGACCCAAGAAACCCTCGAGAATGTCGCTTATACATCGTGCATCTGCCCAGCAACAACCTCAGACGCCTCAAGGGCAGATGTTGCCGCCAGGTGCCACCCCGAACGGTATTCCGCGGCCCCAGAACGGCATTGCGCAAGTGCAGCCGATTCGCAGCTCCCAGGTCGGCATATCGCAACAGCAGCGTATCGCTGCCCTGGCTAACGCGAATGCCCGGATGTCGCCGCCGCATCTGGCCCATGCAGGGCAGATTAGGGTCATGGCAGGGCAGGCCCCTGCTCCAGCGCCAGCTTCCGGTCAAGGTCAGGTACAGGCGGCAGGGCAAGTGCCGCACTCGAACGCCTCAGCTGCGCTAACTGCAGCCGCTCCTGCGCTCAGTGCCGCCCACTTGTCCCCGTCATTCGCTGCTCGGGCGACGAGCTCGTCACCGGGCGCCCCACACCGTTCGCCGCCGCTGCCTGCTGCTAGTCCAGCGAACGCCAACGTTCCTCGGCCACCCTCGGTGCCTGGACAACCTGTACAGGGTATGCAAGTGAACCCACTGCTGCAAGTCCAGGGCTTGCATTACTACATGCAAAGCAACAGGCTCACCGCAGAGCAGATCCAGGCCTTGATTGCCCAAGTGGGTGAATAGTCGTGTCAGTATAGGAGAAAAGCTGATCTTTTGTGCCCAGCAGCAACAACGGTCGCA